CCTAGTCACTTTACCCCTACCTATATGTACATATCTACCTCAATTACCACATACCCCTGCACATTGACTCGGTACTGGTACCACGTGTATATAGACAATTTATTCCTCCTGTTATTATTTTTCTATTTATTCCAATTTTTTCATTTATTTCTACTATTTCATTTTATTTCTCTCTGTATTGTCGGGAAGGGCCAGTAAGTCTGAACCAAGAGTTTGATATCAGATAATTTCTTAAATTAATATGTCACTTTGATTTGTCTTGTCTTCCAGGTCTCTTACTTGGTCATTTTGTAAATATATATTATTTTCTGTAACTACTACATGTGCCCATCTCATTGATGTAAAATTATTAGAGATACACAAATTGTTTTTGCACCCACCATGCGTCATGTGCGTAATGGTCATGTGAGGTGAAATGTGTATATTTTGGGATATATGAGCATTCAGTTTGTTTGTTTGACCTGACGAAGATCCGTTTCGGATCGAAACATTGTCAATAAAGCGGTGAATTTTGAGCTTTAACAGTGTGCAGGCCTTCTTGTTCTTTACTTGTTATTTACTAGGGCCAGTATGTAAGCATTTCACTGTTAGTCTACACCTGTTGTTTACGAAGCATGTGACAAATTACATTTGATTTGATTTGAATACTTATGTAAATGAGATATATCTGTATTTCATTTTCAATACATTTGTTTTCACTTTGTCATTATTGGGTATTGTGTGTAGATGGGTGAGAAAACAAATATATTTAATCCATTTTGAATTCAGGCTGTAACAACAAAATGTGGAATAAGTCAAGGGGTATGAATACTTTCTGAAGGCACTGTATGTAGCAGACAGTGGCGGTCGGTGCCGTTTAAGATGAGGGAGGACAATAATGTTTTTATGAGCATGGCCTTATTTCTATTACAGCATATTGGATGACTGTCATTCATATTCCATTTACCCAGCTCAATGTAATATCGATAGATTTAGGCTGCTACATTATACTCACATTTTCCCTATACCAATCATGAGGTTGCTACAACCTAGCCTACGAATTAAAGTTTACAATGTAGGTGCACTGGTCTAGAGAATTATTTTGTAATCAAGGTGACAGACAGTGACATTCAATACCACCTTGCACTCTCTTGCCTGCATCTAGCTGATTTAGGGTGTAATCATTAGTCCAACGAGAGTTTATATTGGACAAATTCAGGTATGTTTATCCGTGTTTCGTTCTGTTTGCTTCCATGTAATATTTTTATTTCAACAGAATCGGCGTAATGAATACACACCTAACCACCCGGAAACACAGTTCACTTTCATAGCAGCCACATACAAACAGCATGATCACTTTGCTCATTGTATAATTCCTTCTCGCATCTACGCTGTCCTCCTACTGTACACCTTCATTGAAAAACAGTGTGCTTTAATTAATTATTTGGTGACGTGAATATATGTAGTATAGTTTTTTTCTAAAAAGGATAACTTTTTGAATGTTCCTACTATTTTTATTTTATTTATTACAGAGTCAAGACCAACACCAGAAAATTGAGAGTCCAATTCTAGACCATGATTGTAATTGTGTCAAATCGCCACCATAATAAGAGTTAAAAATGTCCAGTATTTCTGTGTTGATATTTCAAAAGAACAAATGGATTCTTTAGACATTCAGAATGGTGAAAAAATACATGCGAGGGAAAATAGAGAGCCACTCTACAAATGAACACTAACCCAAACAGGTCTATAATAGATACAAATACTATGTTATAACTTCCCCCGGTCTCCCCAAATAATAGTGGGCATATAACTTTCAAACAATTTCTCCCATTCTTCCCTACCAGCGAATCAAGGAAATTCTGACGAGAGTGACAAGGATATTGAGGATATTTTTCAACTAAAGTAAAGGACAGTAATTCTATGAGTAAAGTAGGAAGCCCAGGTTTCAATGGGCGATAACATATTAATGGGTCATTAACAGAGTGTGGATATATGGCCTGACCAAGTGGTTTTATGCGCTGAGTGAATGGGAGCTGAGTTTTTATACTCCTCTGGTCTTGGCTGGTATCTGAAAGAAATTACGAGTTTTCATTGTCTGAGACCGAGTCAAGACCGAGTAAAAATGTATCCAACCCTGAGACAAGACAGAGACGCTCAATATGTGGTCTCCAGTACTACAACACTGCTGATGGGCTTTATTAAATGCCACATACACTTCATGACCAAAAGTATGTGGACACCTGCTCGTCGAACATCTCATTCCAAAATCATGGCCATTAATATGGAGCTGGTCCCCCTTTGCTGCTACAGTGAGGGAAAAAAGTATTTGATCCCCTGCTGATTTTGTACGTTTGCTCACTGACAAAGAAATTATCAGTCTATAATTTTAATAGTAGGTTTATTTGAACAGTGAGAGACAGAATAACAACAAAATAATCCAGAAAAACGCATGTCAAAAATGTTATAAATTGATTTGCATTTTAATGTGGGAAATACGTATTTGACCCCCTCTCAATCAGAAAGATTTCTGGCTCCCAGGTATCTTTTATACAGGTAACGAGCTGAGATTAGGAGCACACTCTTAAAGACAGTGCTCCTAATCTCAGTTTGTTACCTGTTTAAAAGACACCTGTCCACAGAAGCAATCAATCAATCAGATTCCAAACTATCCACCATGGCCAAGACCAAAGAGCTCTCCAAGGATGTCAGGGACAAGATTGTAGACCTACACAAGGCTGGAATGGGCTACAAGACCATCGCCAAGCAGCTTGGTGAGAAGGTGACAACAGTTGGGGCGATTATTCGCAAATGGAAGAAACACAAAATACTGTCAGTCTCCCTCGGCCTGGGGCTCCATGCAAGTCTCACCTCGTGGAGTTGCAATGATCATGAGAACGGTGAGGAATCAGCCCAGAACTACACGGGAGGATCTTCACAATGATCTCAAGGCAGCTGGGACCATAGTCACCAAGAAAACAATTGGTAACACACTACACGTGAAGGACGGAAATCCTGCAGCGCCCGCAAGGTCCCCCTGCTCAAGAAAGCACATATACAGGGCCGTCTGAAGTTTGCCAATGAACATCTGAATGATTCAGAGGAGAACTGGGTAAAAGTGTTGTGGTCAGATGAGACCAAAATCGAGCTCTTTGGCATCAACTCAACTCGCCGTGTTTGGAGGAGGAGGAATGCTGCCTATGACCCCAAGGACACCATCCCCACCGTCAAACATGGAGGTGGAAACATTATGCTTTGGGGGTGTTTTTCTGCTAAGGGGACAGGACAACTTCACCGCATCAAAGGGACGATGGACGGGGCCATGTACCGTCAAATATTGGGTGAGAACCTCCTTCCCTCAGCCAGGGCATTGAAAATGGGTCATGGATGGGTATTCCAGCATGACAATGACCCAAAACACTCGGCCAAGGCAACAAAGGAGTGGCTCAAGAAGAAGCACATTAAGGTCCTGGAGTGGCCTAGCCAGTCTCCAGACCTTAATCCCATAGAAAATCTGTGGAGGGAGCTAAAGGTTCGAGTTGCCAAACGTCAGCCTCGAAACCTTAATGACTTGGAGAAGATCTGCAAAGAGGAGTGGAACAAAAACCCTCCTGAGATGTGTGCAAACCTGGTGGCCAACTACAAGAAACGTCTGACCTCTGTGATTGCCAACAAGGGTTTTGCCACCAAGTACTAAGTCATGTTTTGCAGAGATTTTTGACATGCGTTTCTCTGGATTTTTTTGTCATTATTCTGTCTCTCACTATTCAAATAAACCTACCATTAAAATTATATTATATATGTCTTTGTCAGTGGGCAAACGAACAAAATCAGCAGGGGATCAAATACTTTTTTCCCTCACTGTATAACAGCCTCCACTCTTCTGGGAAGGTTTTCCACTAGATGTTGGAACATTGCTGCGGGGACTTACTTCCATTCAGCCACAAGAGCATTAGTTAGGTTGGGCACTGATGTTGGGCGATTAGGCCTGGCTCGCGGTCGGCGTTCTAATTCATCCCAAAGGTGTTCGATGGGGCTATGTGTAGGCCAGTCAAGTTCTTCCACACCTATCTTTACAAACCATTTCTGTATGGACTTTGCTTTGTGCACGGGGGCATTGTCATGCTGAAAAAGGAAAGGGCCATCCCCAAACTGTTGCCACAAAGTTGGAATGTAATTGTATGCTGTAGCGTTAAGATTTCCCTTCACTGGAACTAAGGGACCTAGCCCAAAATATGAAAAACAGCCCCAGACCATTATTCCTCCTCCACCAAACCTTACAGTTTGCACTATGCATTGGGGCAGGTAGCGTTCTTCTGGCAGCCGCCAAAACCAGATTCATCCATCAGACTGCCAGATGGTGAAGCGTGGTTCATCACTCCAGAGAACGCGTTTCCACTGCTCCAGAGTCCAATGGCGGCGAGCAATACACCACTCCAGCCGACGCTTGGCATTGCGCATGGTGATCTTAGGCTTGTGTGCCACTGCTCGGCCATGGAAACCCATTTCATGAAGCTCCCGACGAACAGGTATTGTGCTGATGTTGCTTCCAGAGGCCGTTTGGAACTTGGTAGTGAGTGTTGCAAACAAGGACAGACGATTTTTCAGCACTCTGAGGTCCTGTTCTTTGAGCTTGTGTTGCCTACCACTTTGCGGCTGAGCCGTTGTTGCTCCTAGACGTTTCCACAGAACAGAACTTACAGTTGACCGGGGCAGCTCTAGCAGGGCAGAAATTTGATGAACTGAATTGTTGGAAAGGTGGCATCCTATGACGGTGCCATGTTGAAAGTCACTGAGCTCTTCAGTAAGGCCATTCTACTGCCAATGTTTGTCTATGGAGATTGCATGGCTGTGTTCTCAATTTTATACACCTGTCAGCAACGGGTGTGGCTGAAATAGCCGAATCCATTAATTTGAAGGGATGTCCACATACCTTTGTATATATGGTGTATGTGTTGTAAAATGTCACCTGTGTTTTAGGGCTGGATAACTGGCTGAATCTGACCCGGGTGGACCCAGATGAGGAGGTGCAGGGTGAGATCCACCTGGGTCTGGAGCTTCTCAGAGATGCCAAGAGGATAGGACTGCGCTGCCATTTCATAGAGGCCAGGTAAGACACACACTTTATTGCCTAGTTGATGCTACTGTAAGCCGTTATGGTCTCTTGTTGAAATGTATAACTGCTTCTTCAATCTCAAAAGGTCGTCAAAATGGTCATCCTCTGTTTGACAGATCATCATGCAGTGCTATGGGGTTGAATTCATAAAATCTGCAATGCTACCAAAAATAATTTAATGAAACTGGTTACAATTGACGGAGTCACCCATGATTCATCAAATGATATTTTGAATGAAGGAACAAAGTACTGTAAGCATATGTTTTCGTTTCAGTCGCCGCCTCCTCCTCTAACTGAAGCTAATTGTAGAGATTTTTTTCTATTGATAATGTAAAATTAACAGCCATACAGAAAGACTCATGTGAAGGTGAAATTACAGAGGAGGAACTTCTGGATGCAATTAAAGACTTTAAGTCCGGGAAAACTCCAGGGTTGGATGGCATACCAGTCGAGGTATACCAAACCTTTTTTGATATACTAAGAGGACCGTTATTAGCATGTTTTAACCACTCCTATGTAAATGGTAGATTATCAGACACTCAAGAAGAAGGTCTGATTTCATTATTACTGAAACAGGATACAAGTGGAAAATATAAACATCCAGTCCATTTTAAAAAAATTGGAGGCCCCTTACACTTCAGTGTTGTGATGAAAAAATTCTAGCAAAATGTATAGTGCATAGAATTAAAAAGGTATTGTCGGACATTATTCATTCTAATCAGACAGGTTTTTTACATGAAAGATACATTGGAGATAATATAAGGCAAGTACTGGAAACAATAGAACACTATGGAAAATCTGGGAAACCAGGCCTGCTATTCATAGCAGACTTCGAAAAGGCATTGATAAAGTACGACTGGGGTTTATATATACAGTGGGGAGAACAAGTATTTGATACAATGCCGATTTTGCAGGTTTTCCTACTTACAAAGCATGTAGAGGTCTGTAATTTTTATCATAAGTACACTTCAACTGTGAGAGACGGAATCTAAAACAAAAATCCAGAAAATCACATTGTATGATTTTTAAGTAATTGATTTGCATTTTATTGCATGACATAAGTATTTGATACATCAGAAAAGCAGAACTTAATATTTGGTACAGAAACCTTTGTTTGCAATTACAGAGATCATACGTTTCCTGTAGGTCTTGACCAGGTTTGCACACACTGCAGCAGGGATTTTGGCCCACTCCTCCATACAGACCTTCTCCAGATCCTTCAGGTTTCGGGGCTGTCGCTGGGCAATACAGACTTTCAGCTCCCTCCAAAGATTTTCTATTGGGTTCAGGTCTGGAGACTGGCTAGGCCACTCCAGGACCTTGAGATGCTTCTTACAGAGCCACTCCTTAGTTGCCCTGGCTGTGTGTTTCGGGTCATGTCATGCTGGAAGACCCAGCCACGACCCATCTTCAATGCTCTTACTGAGGGAAGGAGGTTGTTGGCCAAGATCTTGCGATACATGGCCCCATCCATCCTCCCCTCAATACGGTGCAGTCGTCATGTCCCCTTTGCAGAAAAGCATCCCCAAAGAATGATGTTTCCACCTCCATGCTTCACGGTTGGGATGGTGTTCTTGGGGTTGTACTCATCCTTCTTCTTCCTCCAAACACGGCGAGTGGAGTTTAGACCAAAAAGCTCTATTTTTGTCTCATCAGACCACATGACCTTCTCCCATTCCTCCTCTGGATCATCCAGATGGTCATTGGCAAACTTCAGACAGGCCTGGACATGCGCTGGCTTGAGCAGGGGGACCTTGCGTGCGCTGCAGGATTTTAATCCATGATGGCGTAGTGTGTTACTAATGGTTTTCTTTGAGACTGTGGTCCCAGCTCTCTTCAGGTCATTGACCAGGTCCTGCCGTGTAGTTCTGGGCTGATCCCTCACCTTCCTCATGATCATTGATGCCCCACGAGGTGAGATCTTGCATGGAGCCCCAGACCGAGGGTGATTGACCGTCATCTTGAACTTCTTCCATTTTCTAATAATTGCGCCAACAGTTGTTGCCTTCTCACCAAGCTGCTTGCCTATTGTCCTGTAGCCCATCCCAGCCTTGTGCAGGTCTACAATTTTATCCCTGATGTCCTTACACAGCTCTCTGGTCTAGGCCATTGTGGAGAGGTTGGAGTCTGTTTGATTGAGTGTGTGGACAGGTGTCTTTTATACAGGTAACGAGTTCAAACAGGTGCAGTTAATACAGGTAATTTTTACATTTGACATTGTAGTCATTTAGCAGACGCTCTTATCCAGAGCAACAGTTAGTGAGTGCATATTTTTTTATATTTTTTAAAATACTGGAATCGAACCCACAACCCTGGTGTTGCAAATGCCATGCTCTACCAACTGAGCTACATCCCTGATGAGTGGAGAACAGGAGGGCTTCTTAAAGAAAAACGAACAGGTCTGTGACAGCCGGAATTCTTACTGGTTGGTAGGTGATCAAATACTTATGTCATGCAATAAAATGTAAATGTATTACTTAAAAATCATACAATGTGATTTTCTGGATTTTTGTTATAGATTCCGTCTCTCACAGTTGAAGTGTACCTATGATGAAAATTACAGGCCTCTCTCATCTTTTTAAGTGGGAGAACTTGCACAATTGGTGGCTGACTAAATACTTTTTCCCCCACTGTATATATAAACATGGGGGATTGGAAGTGATGCAGACAATTACATTGATGGAAGTTACAATCTATCTGCAATATTAAGCTGATCTACCCCCTAAAGAAAAAAAAAAAGGAAAAAAAAATGTATTCTGCAATGCTCCTCCTTATGAGAGATACAAACTTGTTAGAACAATATTTCATGTTACCAGGAATATCACACTCCGCTTCAGTGTTTTATAAAACAGTCTCGTATGCACAATATGGAAATTGTGAGAATTTAAGGTTGATTTGGCAGAGGGATCTTAATTGTGACATTGAGGAGGATGTATGGAAAAAATTGTTTCCAATGTAGGTTGGTGTACCAGGGATACAAGGGGTAAATGTACACATTATGAGATTGTTCATAGATACTACTGGATCCCAGTTGGATTACATCAAATGGTTTATTGCTCAATAATTTCTACTGGAAATGCAAGGGTGAAGTAGGTACCTTTTTGCATGCTGTATGGGAAATGTCCCATTGTGCTCCTTTTCTGGAAGTAGGTTCTTAAAAACTTGAAGAATGGGTGGGACAGCCTATCCCAGAGTCCCCACAGCTGTGCTTATTAGGGGATATATCTTATTTACCACCAGACGTTAGCAAAGAAGAATTTGGTCTTGCCTCAGTGGGTTTTCTTACAGCCGCTAGACTCATACTACATAACTGGAAGAGTGCAGATTGTCCGAAATCAACAGATTGGCTCAAACTCTTGATGGAAACTGCATCTCATGAATCAATGATAGCAAAATTACAGGAGAGGAAAGGAGAATTTAGTATGATATGGGAACACTTTTTTATTTATTTTTGTATAAACAGGTCACTAACTGGCTCTCTGTGAAAGAGTCTGTCTCTAGCCGACCTCTGTGGTGAAGTCACTGTCTCTGTTCTGCTCACGCTTCATCACTGTCACTCAGCAGCTTGCCTTCTGCTCATGGATGCAGTTCAGTCTGAGTCATACTCTCACTACACTTACTGTCTCACTATCTCACTACACAGGCCCATCTAACAGGCTTCTATGCTGCTCAAAGTTCTTGCATCTTTAGATTTGGCAGAGTAATGTAAAATCTAGGGTAATATCTGCACATATCATCCCACTCATTGAATCATTCCAGCACCATGTATAGGGACAGGTAAAGGGGCAGGGTGGTTGCTCATAATATAATAATATGCCATTTAGCAGACGCTTTTATCCAAAGCGACTTACAGTCATGCGTGCATAAATTTTTTGCATTAATGTGTTTCTGTTCGTTGACCTCTTAGAGACCTGGCACCAAGAGACATCTCTGGAACCTCTGACCCCTTTGCCAGAATCCTCTTCAATAACCACAGTGCAGAAACTTCGGTGAGGAGGGAGATGGGCCGGATAACAAAACATATACATGTCTGAATTATCACCAATTTTAGTGGAAACAAAGACTGATTTGAGTACGTGAAATAGTAAAGGGTTTTTCTGGTGTGTGTGTGTGTGTGTGTCAGATCATTAAGAAGACTCGTTACCCACACTGGAGTGAGACCCTGGAGCTGGAGCTGGAGAACAGGGAGCTGACTGAGGGAGGGAGTGTCACAGTGGAAGTCTGGGACTGGGACATGGTGGGCAAGAATGACTTCCTGGGAAAGGTGAAGAGGTTATGTTCCTAATGTCCAATCCTTCTATGGGTTACTTATGTTATTCTGTGAGGACACATTATACTTATTTCTACTATGTAGAATCATTCATATTTTTACAAATGCAAATATGTATTGTTGGTGCTAGAGTGCCGTTTCAGTTTAGTGTATGGGATGATGTTTTGGTTATTTGTTTTCCTGCTCAGGTGGAAATCCCTTTTGCTTGCCTGCACAAGACACCTCTGTTGCAGGGTTGGTTTCGTCTGCTACCCCTGGGAAACCATGAGGATGATGCTGGGTAAGGAGAATGTGTGTGTGTTTTTTGTTAGTTTTTTTGCCAACCTTGTGCGGACCAGAAGTCCTCACAAGGATAGTAAAACAAGGAACATTCAGACAAGTGGCGACATTTCACTAGTCCCCACAAGGAAAAAGGCTATTTTAGGTTTAGGGGTTAGATTTAAGGTTAGGGTTAGAATTAGGTTTATGGCTTGGGGTTAAGGTTAGGTTTAGGGTTAGGTTTAGGGCTGGACAATATGGCCTAAAAATCATATCTCGATTTTTCCAAACGTATGGGCAATTTAGGCTGGGTTTCTGTATAACACTTTGTGACATCTGCTGATGTAAAAAGGGCTTTATAAATCAATTTGATTGATTGATTGATAGCTGCCTTTTGGCAAACTCCAAGCGGGCTGTCATGTGCCTTTTACTGAGGAGTGGCTTCTGTCTGGCAACTCTACCATGAAGGCCTGATTGGTGGAGTGCTGCAGAGATGGTTGTCCTTCTGGAAGGTTCTCCCATCTCCACAGAGGAACTCTGGAGTTCTGTCAGAGTGACAATCGGGTTCTTGGTCACCTCCCTGACCAAGGCCATTCTCCCCCGATTAATCAGTTTGGCCAGGTGGCCAGCTCTAGGAAGTGTGTTCTTGGGGACCTGTGTTCTTGGGGACCTTCAATGCTACAGAAATTGTCCTCGACACAATCCTGTCTTGGAGCTCTACAGACAACTTTGCACACTCTTGCCATTCTCTCAACCAGCTTCACCTGGAATGCTTTTCCAACAGTCTTGAAGGAGTTCCCACATATGCTGAGCACTTGTTGGCTGCTTTTCCTTCACTCTGCGGTCCGACTCATCCCAAAACATCTACATTTGGCTGAGGTCGGGGGATTGTGGAGGCCAGGTCATCTGATGCAGCACTCCATCACTCTCCTTCTTGGTAAAAGGTGGATTGTGGAGGCCAGGTCACAGCCTGGAGGTGTGTTGGGTCATTGTCCTGTTGAAAAACAGATGATAGACCCACTAAGCCCAAACCAGATGGGATGGTGTATTGCTGCAGAATGCTGTGGTAGCCATGCTGGTTAAGTGTGCCTTGAATTCTAAATAAATCACAGACTGTGTCACCAGCAAAGCACCCCCACACCATAACACCTCTTCCTCCATGCTTTACGGTGGGAAATACACATGCGGAGATGATCCGTTCACCCACACCACGTCTCACAAAGACACGGCGGTTGGAACCAAAAATCTCAAATTTGGACTCCAGATCAAAGGACACATTTCCACCGGTCTAATGTCCATTGCTCGTGTTTCTTGGCCCAAGCAAGTCTCTTCTTACTATTGGTGTCCTTTAGTAGTGGTTTCTTTGCAGCAATTCGACCATGAAGGCCTGATTCACACAGTCTCCTCTGAAGTGTTGATGTTGAGATGTGTCTGTTACTTGAACTCTGTGAAGCATTTATTTGGGCTGCAATTTCTCTGGGTCTTCCTTTCCTGTGGCGGTCCTCATGAGAGCCAGTTTCATCATAGTGCTTGATGGTTTTTGCGACTGCACTTGAAGAAACTTTCAAAGTTCTTGACATTTTCCGTATTGATTGACCTTCATGTGTCTTAAAGTAATGATGGAATTTCGTTTCTCTTTGCTTTTTTGAGCTGTTCTTGCCATAATATGGACGTGGTCTTTTACCAAATAGGGCTATCTTCTGTATACCCCCCCTACCTTGTCACAACACAACTGATTGGCTCAAACGCATTAAGAAGGAAATAAATTCCACAAATGAACTTTTAAGAAGGCACACCTGTTAATTGAAATGCATTCCAGGTGACTACCTCATGAAGATGGTTGAGAGAATGCCAAGAGTGTGCAAAGCTGTCATCAAGGCAAAGGGTGGCTATTTGAAGAATCTCAAATATTAAATATATTTTGATTTGTTTAACACTTTTTTGGTTACTACATGATTCCATATGTGTTATTTCATAGTTTTGATGTCTTCACTATTATTCTACAATGTAGAAAATATTTTTAAAAATTAAGAAAAACCCTTGAATCAGTAGGTGTTCTAAAACTTTTGACCGGTAGTGTATATTTTTGTATATACATTTGCAAAGATTTCTAAAAACCTATTTTCGCTTTGTCATTATGGGGTACAATTGATGAGGATTTATTTGGGGGTTTAATCCATTTTAGAATAAGGCTGTAATGTAACAAAATGTGGAAAAAGTCAAGTGGTCTGAATATTTTCCGAATACACTGTGTATATGTGTATATATATATATACATACAAAAGTTTGGGGTCACTTTGACATTTCCTTGTTTCCATGAAAACATACATGAAATAAGTTTGAATATGAAATATAGCTAAATGAATAGGAAATGTAGTCATTGACAAGGTTAGAAATAATGATTTTTAATTGAAATAATAATTGTGTCTGTGGTGAATGATGGACGGCGTCAGGCGCAGGAGTAAAATAACTGGATGCAGATTTATTCCTTCCAGACATACAATGCGCCTACAACGGCAATCGAAACAGGTACAGGGGAAACAATCCTCCCTGACCAAACACAGTCTCAGAAAATACAATAAATGTAATGACACAGGGGAAAATCAACCCTGGCAAAATAAATGAGAGAGTATCTCAACCGAGTTACTCTCCTCCCACATAGAACAATCACTCACAAAGACAAGGGGGCAGAGGGAACACTTATACACAGACTAATTAGAGGATGAGCACCAGGTGTGTGTGATTGACAAGACAAGACAAGTGGAGTGATGAGAATGGGAGCGGCAGTAGCTAATAAGAACGCCGAAACCTGCCCGAACAAGGAGGGGAGGCAGCCTCGGCGGAAGTCGTGACAGTACCCCCCCCTTGACGCGCTGGACACTGAGGTGGAGATGGATCTGTGCGTAATGCCGGCTCTATATCCGCGTCCATCGCCAACACTACCGGCGCCACGATGCAGGAGGCCGGAATTATGGGGGTGTTGTCTCTGGGCCTCTCCTCTGTGTCATACAGTCGGGACAGTGCGTCTGCCTTCACGTTCTTCGTACCCGGAATGTACGATAGTGTGAAATCAAACCGGGTGAAGAAGAGGGCCCACCTGGCCTGGCGAGGATTCAGCCTCCTCGCTGCCCGGATGTACTCCAGGTTACGGTGGTCTGTCCAGACGAGGACAGGGTGTTTCGCCCCTTCGAGCCAATGCCTCCACACGGTCAAAGCTCGGACAACAGCCAGCAGCTCCCAATCACCAAAGCCGTAGTTCTGCTCCGCCGAGCTAAGCTTCTTAGAAAAGAAGGCACAGGGGCGGAGCTTGGGTGAAGTGCCTGAGCGTTGAGACAGGACAGCGCCTATCCCTACCTTGGACGCATCCACCTCCACTACGAATGGTTGTGATGGATCGGGGGTGGGCCAGTACCGGGGCTGAGGTGAACAGACCCCGCAGTCTACTGAAGGAAAGAAGAAACTTGAGGAAGCAGGTGAAGTGGAGGTACGGATATACCCCTGGCCCAGGGACTTGGTGACTTATGTCTCCATAGCCTCCATTTCAGCCTGCGACAGGGGATACATATGACTCCTGGGAGGTACAGCGTCTACCTGAAGGTTTATCGCGCAGTCCCCCTCCCGATGAGGTAGTAATTTAGTCGCCTGCGTCTTGGAAAATGCGAGCACCAGATCATGGTATTCGGGGGGAATGCGCACGGTGGGGGTACTGTCTGGACTTTCCACCGTGGTTGCACCAACGGAAACACCTAGACATCTACCCGGACACTCTCGCGACCACCCCGTAAGAACCGTCTGCGGCCATGAGAAATTGGGGTTGTAAAGGGCTAACCACGGGATACCTAATACTACAGGGTAAGCAGGAGATTCATTAATCAAAAAGGTGATCTGCTCAAAATGAGTCTCCTGGGTGATCATGGTGACTGGTACAGTAACCACCTTAACTAACCCGGACCCTAATGGTCGACTATCAAGGGCTCTGATGGCGAGTGGAATGGATAGGGGAACCAATTAAATGCCTTGACGGCGTGCAAATGCCCTGTCCATAAAGTTCCCAGCTGCGCCTGAATCGACTAGCGCCTTACACTGGGGAACTACCATTCGATCGGGAAAGGAGATAGATAGGGTACAGTGCGCCGCAAAGGGATCTGAACGAGTGTGGGTGTTCGATACCAGACCCAAAAGAACGTTGACTGCGACGTGAGGTGTATTGTCCCTTCGTGCCACCAGAGTGGCACTGTCGCTGTCCTCCTCCGCTCTCTCGACTGGCGGCTCCACCCAGCTCCCTCTTCTCGGGATCCGTGTCGTCCGGGGTGGGAACGGGCAGACCCCTACCAGGACGACCTCTGGCTGCCAGCAGATTATCCAGCCGGATGACCATGTCCACCAGTTGGGAGAACGATAGCATGGCATCCCGGCAGGCTAGTTCCCGTCGGACGTCCTCCCGTAGGTGGCACCGGAAATGGTCGATCAGGGCCCGCTTGTTCCACCCGAACCCCGCTGCCAGCGTCCGGAACTCCAGCGGAGTTGCCTCCAGCTCTTCACTGTTGACGTTGAGACTGGTGTTTTGCGGGTACTATTTAATGAAGCTGCCAGTTGAGGACCTGTGAGGCATCTGTTTCTCAAACTAGACACTCTAATGTATTTGTCCTCTTGCTCAATTGTGCACCGGGGCCTCCCACTCCTCTTTCTATTCTGGTTAGAGCCAGTTTGCGCTGTTCTGTGAAGGGAGTAGTACACAGCGTTGTACGAGATCTTCAGTTTCTTGGCAATTTCTCGCATGGAATAGCCTTCATGTCTCAGAACAAGAATAGTCTGACGAGTTTCAGTAGAAAGTTATTTGTTTCTGGCCATTTTGAGCCTGTAATCGAACCCACAATTGCTGATGCTCCAGAGACTCAACTACTCTCAAGAATGCCAGTTTTATTGCTTCTTTAATCAGCACAACAGTTTCAATAATTGCAAAAGGGTTTTCTAATGATCAATTATCCTTTTAAAATGATAAACTTGGATTAGCAAACACAACGTGCCATTGGAACACAGGACTGATGGTTGCTGATAATGGGCATCTGTATGCCTATGTAGATATTCCATTAAAAATCAGCCGTTTCCAGCAACAATAGCCATTTACAACATTAACAATGTCTACACTGTATTTCTGATCAATTTGATGTTATTTTAATGGACAAAAAATAGCTTTTCTTTCGAAAACAAGGACATTTCTAAGTGACCCCAAACTTTTGAACAGTAGTGTATGTGTGTATGTATGTATGTACACACATTACCAGTCAAAAGTTTTAGAACACCTACTCTTTCAAGGGTTTTTCTTCATTTTTACTATTTTCTACATTGTAGAATAATAGTGAAGACATCAAAACGATTAAATAACACATATGGAATCATGTAGTAACCCAAAAAGTGTTATGTTATATTTGAGATTCTTCAAATAGCCACCCTTTGCCTTGATGACAGCTTTGCACACTCTTGGCATTCTCTCAACCATCTTCATGAGGTATTCACCTGGAATGCATTTCAATGAACAGGTGTGCCTTCTTAAAAGTTAATTTGTGGAATTTCTTTCCTTCTTAATGCGTTTGAGCCAATCAGTTGTGTTGTGACAAGGTAGGGGGGGTATACAGAAGATAGCCCTATTTGGTAAAAGACCAAGTCCATTTAATGGCAAGAACAGCTCAAATAAGCAAAAGAAACGACAGTCCATCATTACTTGAAGACATATGAAGGTTAGTCAATACGGATAATTTCATGAACTTTGAAAGTTTCTTCAAGTGCAGTCGCAAAAACCATCAAGCGCTATGATGAAACTGGCTCTCATGAGGACCGCCACAGGAATGGAAGACCCACAGTTACCTCTGCTGCAGAGGATAAGTTAATTAGAGTTACCAGCCTCAGTAATTGCAGCCCAAATAAATGCTTCAGAGTTCAAGTAACAGACACATCTCAACATCAACTGTTCAGAGGGGACTGTGTGAATCAGGCCTTCATGGTCGAATTGCTGCAAAGAAACCACTACTAAAGGACACCAATAAGAAGAGAGACCTGCTTGAGTCAAGAAACAATGGACATTATACTGGTGGAAATGTGTCCTTTGGTCTGGAGTCCAAATTGGAGATTTTTGGTTCCATCCGCTGTGTCTTTGTGAGACACGGTGTGGGTGAACAGATCATCTCCGCATGTGTACTTCCCACCGTAAAGCATGGAGGAGGAGGTGTTATGGTGTGTTTTTGTTTTGCTGGTGACACTGTCTGTGATGTATTTAGAATTCAAGGCACACTTAACCAGCATGGCTACCACAGCATTCTGCAGCGTTACGCCATCCCATCTGGTTTGGGCTTAGTGGGACTATCATTTGTTTTTCAACAGGACAATGACCAACACACCTCCAGGCTGTGTAAGGGCTATTTGACCAAGAAGGAGAGTGATGGAGTGCTGCATCAGATGACCTGGCCTCCACAATCCCCCAACCTCAACCCAATTGAGATGGTTTGGGATGAGTCGGACCGCAGAGTGAAAGAAAAGCAGCCAACAAGTGCTCAGCATACAGTTGAAGTCGGAAGTTTACATACACTTAAGTTGGAGTCATTAAAAGTCGTATTTCAAACACTTAACAAACTGTAGTTTTGGCAAGTCAGTTAGGACATCTATTTTGTGCATGACACAAGTAATTTTTCCAACAATTGTTTACAGACAGATTATTTCACTTATAATTCACTGTATCACAATTCCAGTTGGTCAGAAGTTTACATACACTAAGTTGACTGTGCCTTTACACAGCATGGAAAATTCCAGAAAATTATGTCATGGCTTTAGAAGCTTCTGATAGGCTAATTGACATAATTTGAGTCAATTGGAGGTGTACCTGTGGATGTATTTCAAGGCCTACCTTCAAACTCAGTGCCTCTTTGCTTGACATCATGGGAAAATCAAAAGAAATCAGCCAAGATCTCAGAAAAATAATTGTAGACCTCCACAAGTCTGGTTCATTCTTGGGAGCAATTTCCAAATGCCTGAAGGTACCACGTTCATCTGATGAAACAAAAATAGAACTGTTTGACCATAATGACCATCGTTATGTTTGGAGGATAAAGCGGGTGGCTTGCAAGCTGAAGAACACCATCCCAACCTTGAAGCACGGGGGTGGCAGCATCATGCTGTGGGGGTGCTTTGCTGCAGGAGGGACTGGTGCACTTCACAAAATAGATGGCATCATGAGGAAGGAAAATCATGTGGATATATTGAAGCAACATCTCAAGACATCAGTCAGGAAGTTAAAGCTTGGTCGCAAATTGGTCTTCCAAATGGACAATGACCCCAAGCTGTGGCAAAATGGCTTAAGGACAACCAAGTCAAGGTATTGGAGTGGCCATCACAAAGCCCTGACCTCAATCCTATAGAAAATGTGTGGGCAGAACTGAAAAAGCGTGTGTGAGCAATAAGGCCTACAAATCTGACTCTGTTACACCAGCTCTGTCAGGAGGAATGGGCCATAATTCACCCAACTTATTGTGGGAAGCCTGTGGAAGGCTACCCAAAACGTTTGACCCAAGTTAAACAATTTAAAGGCAATGCTACCAAATACTAATTGAGTGTATGTAAACTTCTGACCCACTGGGAATGAGATGAAAGAAATAAAAGCTGAAATAAATGATTCTCTCTACTATTATTCTGACATTTCACATTCTTAAAATAAAGTGGTGATCCTAACTGACCTAAAACAGGGAATTTTTACTAGGATTAAATGTCAGGAATTAAACTGAGTTTAATTGTATTTGGTTAAGGTGTATGTAAACTTCCGACTTCAACACTGTGGGAACCAGGTGAAGCTGGTTGAGAGAATGCCAAGAGTGTGCAAAGCTGTCATCATGGCAAATTGTGGCTATTTGAAGAATCTCAAATCTCAAATATATTTTGATTTGTTTAAAACTTTTTTGGTTACTACATGATTCCATATGTGTTATGTCATAGTTTTGATGTCTTCACTATTATTCTACAATGTAAAAAATAGTAAAAATAAAGAAAAACCCTTGAATGAGTAGGTGTGTTCAAACTTTTGACTGGTACCGTATATTATTTTTCTTTTTTTTTTTACTGTTTTCTCGAAATAAGCTTTGTTGCACAATTAAATGTCAATATACTGCATTTCAAACATCCGGGAATAATCGAATGAATGCTGAGTTTGAAAAATTATACCTAGGCTAAATACACTGCTCAAAAAAATAAAGGGAACACTAAAATAACACATCCTAGATCTGAATGAATGAAATAATCTTATTCAATACTTTTTTCTTTACATAGTTGAATGTGCTGACAACAAAATCACACAAAAATTATCAATGGAAATCAAATTTATCAACCCATGGAGGTCTGGATTTGGAGGTCACCCTCAAAATTAAAGTGGAAAACCACACTACAGGCTGATCCAACTTTGATGTAATGTCCTTAAAACAAGTCAAAATGAGGCTCAGTAGTGTGTGTGGCCTCCACGTGCCTGTATGACCTCCCTACAACGCCTGGGCATGCTCCTGATGAGGTGGCGGATGGTCTCCTGAGGGATCTCCTCCCAGACCTGGACTAAAGCATCCGCCAACTCCTGGACAGTCTGTGGTGCAACGTGGCGTTGGTGGATGGAGCGAGACATGATGTCCCAGATGTGCTCAATTGGATTCAGGTCTGGGGAACGGGCGGGCCAGTCCATAGCATCAATGCCTTCCTCTTGCAGGAACTGCTGACACACTCCAGCCACATGAGGTCTAGCATTGTCTTGCATTAGGAGGAACCCAGGGCCAACCGCACCAGCATATGGTCTCACAAGGGGTCTGAGGATCTCATCTCGGTACCTAATGGCAGTCAGGCTACCTCTGGCGAGCACATGGAGGGCTGTGCGGCCCCCCAAAGAAATGCCACCCCACACCATGACTGGCCCACCGCCAAACCGGTCATGCTGGAGGATGTTGCAGGCAGCAGAACGTTCTCCACGGCGTCTCCAGACTCTGTCACGTCTGTCACATGTGCTCAGTGTGAACCTGCTTTCATCTGTGAAGAGCACAGGGCGCCAGTGGCGAATTTGCCAATCTTGGTGTTCTCTGGCAAATGCCAAACGTCCTGCACGGTGTTGGGCTGTAAGCACAACCCCCACCTGTGGACGTCGGGCCCTCATACCACCCTCATGGAGTCTGTTTCTGACCGTTTGAGCAGACACATGCACATTTGTGGCCTGCTGGAGGTCATTTTGCAGGGCTCTGGCAGTGCTCATCCTTGCACAAAGGCGGAGGTAGCAGTCCTGCTGCTGGGTTGTTGCCCTCCTACGGCCTCCTCCACATCTCCTGATGTACTGGCCTGTCTCCTGGTAGCGCCTCCATGCTCTGGACACTACGCTGACAGACACAGCAAACCTTCTTGCCACAGCTCGCATTGATGTGCCATCCTGGATGAGCTGCACTACCTGAGCCACTTGTGTGGGCTTGTAGACTCCGTCTCATGCTACCACTAGAGTGAAAGCACCGCCAGCATTCAAAAGTGACCAAAACATCAGCCAGGAAGCATAGGAACTGAGAAGTGGTCTGTGGTCACCACCTGCAAAACCAGTCCTTTATTGGGGGTGTCTTGCTAATTGCCTATAATTTCCACCTGTTGTCTATTCCATTTGCACAACAGCATGTGAAATTTATTGTCAATCAGTGTTGCTTCCTAAGTGGACAGTTTGATTTCACAGAAGTGTGATTGACTTGGAGTTACATTGTGTTGTTTAAGTGTTCCCTTAATTTTTTTGAGCAGTGTATAAGCTTTCAACCATAAAACCCACTAATCATGTAATTACTTTATCAAAATAGTTTAACCTGCTTTTTTGCAATAATCGCTGATAGCTCAGGTGGTAGAGCACGGTGCTTGTAACGCCAAGGTAGTGGGTTCGATCCCCGGGACCACCCATACTCAAAAAATTTATGCACGCATGACTGTAAGTCGCTTTGGATAAAAGCGTCTGCTAAATGGCATATTATATGGCTTTCAAGTCTGTGTATGAAAATGCACTTTTTGTAACAAATTTAACCAGAATCATGCATAATGCACATTCACTAATAATGACTAATTTCTTGTAGCAGGCCTTATTGAAAATATACACAGGTCTCATAAACAACCTATCATTACAAGCCTACCTGCTAGTGAGTAACCAGCTAATCTTAATGTTTAAGTCTAGCCAACTTGCATCCATTTTCTTGCTAACATTGTAGAACAGTTGAACTGTTATGAATACACCCTCCTGTCCATCTCCAGCTGTTTGAACAACATAGCCTGTTCACTATGTTTAGAAAAAAACTTTTGTTAGTTGAAATCAAGTGGCCTACCTGGATAATATGCTTATTTCTCAGAATGAGAATGAGTTGCCATGCAATTCTTATATAAATGCGTATTTTTATGCTCATTGCACATTTATAAAACACAGACTAGACAGCTAACACATAACAGTCTGTGGCAAAAATTCTGGCAATGCTGCTCGCGATAGAAACTGAACATACATTTTCACAATCACGTTAATCTTAGTAGGGTCTGCTCTGTTCAGAATTTTGGGAGTTGAGAAATAAAAAGGGTATCATTACAAAGGTTAAGTTCTCCTCTATTACAATGTGTTTCGGTGTCCATATGACCGATTTTATGTTGGACCAAACCTCAAATTCAAATAGCGAGTTGAAACTGCTTGTTGTCAGAGAGGAAGAAGATGATGTATTGTCTTTGTTGTTGTGAGTGTCAAGGGGAGGGACTTGGTGTTTGTGTACAAGTGGGACGGTGCACAGTGCACACAGCACAGAAGGAGCGAAGGAGAGGAGACGAAAAAGACACAAACCCAAAATAGATTCTTGTGATACAGGCATTTGGAACATCTCGCTAAAACATACATTAAAATCAAATGATAATGATTTGATATATTGCCAAGCCCTAGTTAGGTTTAGGGTAGCTCTCGAAAACTCTAGGCGGGATTCTGCCTTTCCCTACTGTTCTCAGCCATTCGCTTCGCCCACGACTGCGTCATGTGAACTACAATCCCGACGCGGCATTTTAACATTTAGAAACGTCAATAATCATCGCTTGTGATACGGCTTTCGAAACATATTGCCCTTATCTTTCATCAGCGAGAAGGAATCCTTCAAATAAAAAAAATATACTTACCATAGTAGCTTTGCACAGATCCATACAGCTATTGGTGCCTCCATCCAACGAAACTACACTTCCGCTACACTTCCCGAGTTACGCTTACACACAGGTGTTCGGAGCATGCTAGATAACTAATTAGCACAGGGAGTTGCCTCGTCTTCTGTCTGTTTTCTGTAAACAAGCGCTGTAACCTGGTGATATGGCCGTGTGGGAACACTAACCCATAACCCTATCAAGGTGTGTATCAATTAACCTTTTTGTTTTTTGAAAATAGTTTCTTGCTGATATGAAAGATAAGGTCCTTATGCTTCCAATACCGTACCGCAAGCGACACGTGTTAATGTTCAGATTGAGCGTTGGGGATCTTAACAAAACTCCCCCCTACAGAAGAAGCCTTCGTCCAATTACGCTTTTGTGTAATGTAATGGAACTGAGAGTCATGATCATGGGCTAGGTTTAGGATTAGGGTTAGGGAAAATAGGATTTTGGTCCCCACAAGGATAGTAAAACAAACGTGTGTGTGTGTGTGTCCCCATCTCTTTAATGCCAGAGGTCACAATTGATGTCAGAGTTGCTTGTCAGGTGTCTTGTCTGAGATGGGGTTTTATTTATATTTTGATATTTTCCTTTTCAAAACACAGAGGGACAGTCATCCCTTTTTTAGTGATTAAAATGAACTGAACAAACAGAAAAGACACAGCAAACACAGTCAACAGCATAAAATGGCATACAAGAAGCTCCAGCCCATGATAAAAAAAATAAAAAGCTGATTAAACAGCATGATCATTATACAGGTGCACCTTGTGCAAGGACGATAAAAAGCCACTCTAAATGTGCAGTTTTGTCACACAACACAATACCGCAGATGTCTCAAGTTATGAGGGAGCGTGCAATTGTGGCATGCTGACTACAGGAATGTCCAACAGAGCTGTTGCCAGAGAATTGAATGTTCATTCTACCATAAGGCGCCTCCAACGTTGTTTTAGAGAAATTTGGCAGTACGTCCAACCGGCCTCAACTGCAGACCACGTGTAACCACGCCAGCCCAGGAGTATTTCTGTCTGTAATAAAGCCATTTTGTGGGGAAAAACTAATTCTGATTGGCTGGGCCTGGCTCCCCAGTGGGTGCCCCTGCCCAGTCATGTGAAATCCATAGATTAGGGCCTAATAAATGTATTTCAATTGACTGATTTCCTTCTATGAACTGTAACTCAGTAAAATCTTTGACATTGTTGCATGTTGCATTTATATTTTTGTTCAGTATATTTAGCTAAAATGATGAATTACTGAAATAATATGGACAACTGAAAAACGGATCCCCAGGTATTTTCTTAGGTGTTTATTACCCTGTCAGGTGAATGTCAGCCTAATAAGTATAAGGCAAAGGTCTGGAAGACAGCTGACAGATCACTGCTAAAGGATCTTATTCCCTCACTGAGTTTCATCAAGGGACAAGGGTATACAGCTAGGGCTCTGCAGGCATCTGTTCTCTGTGATAACATTAGAACAAGGGGAACTGTGATAGCAAGGCACACACACACACACACACACACACACACACACACAGAGTCATTAGGGAATGAGTCACAGCTTTAGGCGGGTGTTTGTTCCGGAAGGAATGACAAGGTACTATCAGAAGGGAGGTCTGTCACTCCCAAGATGGCAGGGTACAGGAAACTGGAAAGGCCATTACAGGGTGGTTGTCACACATCATACCCCGCATGGCAATCCACCAAACCTATCCCCGGTGAGGGAACATTCCCTTGGTAATGCTCAGCACTGCTTGTGCTATAACATGCTTGTGCTAAACAAACTTCGTGTGAGTATTGTTTGAGTGTCGTGACTGTAGTGTCTCTGAGGCCTCCCTCCCTCCCTCCCTACCTCTCTCTCTCTCTGTCCACAGAGGTAAGCTGGGTGCACTGCGTCTAAAGGTGCGTTTGGTGGAGGACCTTATCCTGCCCTCCATGTACTACCAGCCTCTCATTGACCTGCTGGTGGAGTCTGTCATCTCTCCTGCTGAGGTCAGCATCACACTGCTGTCACAAACACAACCCATTGTTATTAACTAATTCTACAGGATATTGTTATGATTTATTCAACCACTAATGAATTCCATTTTCATGCCATATGAAGATGCCATGATACGTGATTCCTTTCTATGAAAATGTCCTTCTTTAGATTTCTTAGAATATGCCACATCCTTCCACCACAGGGTTATATAGAGAGCATAATGTGCTCCATGGCTGACAGACACAAAGTCAGCTTCCTCTCATATATGAACACCTGGCTAATAGACTCTGACTATCTCCACCCTCTGACCCATCCCAGGTGGAGGACAGCAGCCCTCTGACAATGCTGGAGGAGGTGACCACGGTTGAGAGCCGGCAGGACGTGGCCATGACCCTGGTCAAGATCTACCTAGGCCAGGGCCTGGTGGTGCCCTTTCTGGACTACCTCAGCACCCGTGAGGTCAACCACACCTGTAAGAGACACTGGCTGGCTTGGGAATTTAACATAGGATAGGAAAGTCATATTTTTTAATTATTTTTTTATATGCTCTTGTAAAGAATCGTGGTTATATGACCACTGAGTCTCTTGGATGTAGTGAAACAAATCCTTGTGCAGCTGTGAACAACCAGACAGTGTGTAGGTTAGGGTAGTGTACAGTTTGGGAAGGAGCTTTGAGTGTGTGTGTGCTAGGCAGATTGAATAAGAGCCCAGCTGCTCACCTGCTCTTGTTCCTGCGTATCCCACAGAGGCTCTAAGCGTTGTTGGTATTTAACTTTGATTTGACGCTCTTTCTCTAATCGCAGCCGCAGCCACAGTTGGTCTGTGTGGGTGGGCGGTGCACACCAGCCAGCACTATATTTATCAGACCTCTGACAATTATCCACCCTTACAGTCGTTTCACAAGTTCTGCGTGTTCATTAATTATGTTTCTGTCTCCACCCGGGTCCCCAGGCTTAGTCATAAGGAGTTTTGTTGTGCTCTGTGTGTTTTCTTCTCTTTCTGTTAGTGTAGCTTACGATAACAAGCAAAGTGCCCAGGTTTCCATAGCAACTCCACACGATCTGAAAGGGAGATCAAAATAGATGTTGGGGAGCAGCAAGACATTAAAGCAAGGACAAATTAGAAAAAAACAACCTTAGAAGTTGTGTGGTGGACCCAAACTTCTAAATATCCTTTATGTCATGAAAGTGCAGGCAGCTCCTCCCTATCTCCTCTCACAAATGACCTTTAGGTATACAACTAAAACACTTTGCCCGGCAACAGGTCATATCACCATGACTATATCAATGTTCCTCCCTCCAAGATAAAGGTAACTGTGTAGCAAAGAGGGCCAATGAATACTGAAATTAGAGTAGCGCTAGTATTTGGGTAACCCTAGTAGACCAAGATCAATATCTGGTTCATGACTCCTCTTAGCCCCTTACACAGTGGTTTAGAAATATGATGTCCCTGAAATGTATAGCCTGTCCTATGTTATAAAGATATGTTACATTTTTATGATTTACATTCCCCTTCTCTTTCATGTATCCTTCTAACAGCGGATCCAAACACCCTGTTCCGGTCCAACTCTCTAGCTTCTAAAGCCATGGAGCAGTTCATGAAGGTGAGTGGAACTCCAGTAAATCCAACATGTTAGCTGGATTCTCTCTTGACAGTCTCACTATGCTCACACCTGTCCCACAGTATAGCACTATAGCATAGTCCTAAATACATGCCAAGGACTTAAATCTAAGAACCACTATTGTTCTGAATAACTGGTATTAGCTGGATAAATATAAAATAGCTTTGAATGGATGTTTTGTAAATGTGTGGTATTGTGCACTGGCAGGCTGTGGGGATGCTGTACCTTCATGAGGTCCTGAAGCCCATCATTAACCGCATCTTTGAGGAGAAGAAGTACATTGAGCTGGACCCGTGTAAAATTGACCTGAACAGAACCAGGTAAACAGGAAATACTGGTGTAGAAATAAAGGTGTAAAAAATGGTTTATGAGATGTAATAGTTTCCTGGATAACAGCACGTGAAGCACAATCTTCAGTTTGACTAGAGACGATAACATCAAGACATGAAAAAGGAATGTAAAAATGGGGGAAGGTTGTTGCCTGGCAACCAGAGAGAACCCCCTAAGATAGAACGCCACGACCCTGCCCGCATGTGGGGAAAAAAAACCTGTGGTTACCTAGGTTACCCCATTGGCTCACAGAAAAAACGTGATCTTTTTCAAACGCAATTTTCTTGTCTGCTTGTTTTAGTCAATTACAAAACTACGTTTAAGAAAAGTACAACATGTCTAAAGATTACTTTTCAACATTGCCTGCTCCCTAGTGTTCTCACTACTTAGAAAATGTAATATTGTAGGGATTCCCTCATGCCCCTTTTCATGACGATGCTAGCAGCCACTTGAGTGAGTGCTAGCTAGCTACCGACTGGAACATTAAGCTAGCCAAGACCAACAACACAAACAAACGGACTATACAGCTACAAGTAGTAAGTGGAGTTACAAACAGACTGTACTAAACAAGTTAAATGTCTTACCTGTGATGAAATGTTTTACGTTTAGCCTACTTGGACACCGCATCCGAACATTTCCCACTATCCAACAGTGAATAGCCTGAAGCCAGAGGGCTCTTCTCGCAGGCTCTATTTCCCTTGGTGGAAGCATTACAAATCGTAGGTTGGGATTTTTGACCTGGCTGCATGTACATTGAACAACACAGCAGCTTTTCAGCATGTTTTGTTATTTTTGTATAACAAAAATGTACAACGAAGTTGCCTCTTTTACAATGGGGGTCAATAGGAAAGAATGTTGGTTTTCCCCAATTTGTGGGCGTGGTCGAGGGGAATTCCTTATTATTATGTGAATACCGACTGGGACTATGCCTATCTCTAATACCCACCCATCTCTAGTATCTATCATCCCTACAGCACAGACTGATCCTAAATATCCTCAGACTTAACCTGCTATATACTGTACCACTATGCTATCCGTCCACATTTGTGCTCATGTCTCCACAGACATCATAACACTGAGGCATCTATTGACACATGGAATGTCTTGATGTTGATGTATTGATTTGCCCTGTGCACAGACTTCATAATTGGTGACAATGCTGTTTGTACAAAGCAAAGGTCACAGTATGGGTCCCACAGACCCTTGCGTTTCAGAGCGTCATTGATTTGGCAGTATACATTTAATTTCAATGTAACACTGACCCCTCTCTTTCTCTCTGGAGGCGTATCTCATTTAAAGGTGCGGTGTCTGAGGCTGAGTTGAGGGAGAGCAGTGTGGAGATGCTGCAGGGCTATCTGTCCAGCATCGTGGAGTCCATCGTTGGGTCAGTTGCCCAGTGCCCTCCCGTCATGAGGGTGGCCTTCAAACAGCTGCACAAGAGGGTGGAGGAGCAGTTCCCTGAGCCAGAGAATGAGGTCAGTCTCACCAAGAGGTCAATGGTCAAATGCACATACAAAGGTCACCTAGATGAAGGTGTGCTTTCAATGCTGGATAGAGAATAACCATGGGGATGGTGTCAGTGGTTTTATTTATTCATATCTCTTGCACTCCTTCCCTCCTGACCTTCCCTCCTGACCTTCCCTCCTAACCTTCTCCCTGCAGGATGTGAAGTATCTGGCCATCAGTGGATTCTTCTTTCTGCGATTCTTTGCCCCTGCTATCCTCACACCTAAGCTTTTCCACCTGAGGGACCAGCATGCAGATACACGCACCAGCAGGACACTGTTACTACTGGCCAAGGTACTGTGCCCTTGCACACACACACACACACACACACACACACACACACAAACACACATTCACAAACCGTGCCACACAGTAAAACCAGCCTGATCACTAGAAATAGACTTTGATTTCAGATATTTGAAAAGTCCTGAGAATGTTGATATACAAAACAAAAGAAAAACGATTGCCCAGCGCTGGGCGCGAACTTGTGATGCTCAGACCACTGCGCCACCGCAGTTCACAATGCTCTAGCAAGCCGTGAGAATACTTGATGATACTTGATGGTAATAGGTCGTTTTTAATTATTTTTCTTTTAAACCTTCCCCAAACCATTCCCCTAACCTTAACCACTCAGCATTCATGCCTAAACTGTTAACCATTGAGTTGATTCTGTTTCAACCCTGTAACCACGCTGAATTAACCCTGTAACCATGCGGAATTAATGCGTAAAAAATAGAAATTCATCCATAATACGTCGAATTTCGGAGGGAAACTATGAGATCTTGTTGGTAAAAGAGTTGTAGAGGATAGAGTTGCTGTCCGTGGTGCTGAAGTCCTGTTGCTATGGGTCCTCTACAGAAAATGGTCTATTTTTACCTCTGGCTGTGGTTCAAAGCAGAGCTTCAGAGAGGGGTGGAGAGGGGCTTCCTCTGCGCTCTAGGCCAGGTGTGTGTGTGTGTGTGTGTGTGAGAGAGAGAGAGAGAGCGACAGAGAGAGAGAGAGAGAGAGAGAGTAGTAGTACTCTGTTACTGAAAGCACAAGCAGAACCTGATCATACTGTGCTGTTCATTTAATACCAGAATTGATCATGATACTCCCTGTCCATTTGATTGATGGTTATGGTTACATGAGAGAGTGGTGGGTGAACATGGATGTTTTTCTGTGTGCTCCAGGCAGTGCAGAGTGTGGGGAATCTGGGCTTGCAGCTGGGCCACGGTAAGGAGCTGTGGATGGAGCCCCTGCATCCCATCATCCTTTGCAGCGTGGCCTCTGTTAAAGACTTCCTGGACAAGCTCATCGACATAGACCAAGATAGCGGTAAGCGGCACCAGCAGGACACTGTTTATTCAATAATGCATAGGGCCAGGAGTTTTTCATCACCACATCACCTGACTAGGGGAAACTCTGGGCCCTAGTAGTAATGCATCAGTAGCCTGATGAAGAGCAAGCAGGTTACTGTAGAGATCAGAGATAAGGTAGAGCCACTGGAGAGGAACATCAGAACTTGGCTGGGCTCCTGTCCTGGCAGGCTAACCCACCAGGTGCCAGTGTGGCAAGGCCAGTTATTACTGGTATCAATAGTAAGAATAGACCCACTGGTGAAATATTAATGGGCAGCTGGGAGCTGATACTGGGGTATCAAGGGAGCGGGGTGGGCTGGGCGTTGGACTGTGGAGCCCTCGCCACCCCTACACACCACACTGATTAGATAGCACGCCCATGCCCCTTTCTCGTGGTCATGTGTCAGCGACTCTGTTGTTGTGATCTGTCTTATCCCTCTGAAATATCACGTTCCAATCTCCATGTGTCATCTCAGCCACTGGGCTCTCCAACAAAAGCCACTTTGACATTTAATGCACTTGAGGTGAATTTATTATGCAGGAGTGGATTTGTATTGTTCCATCTGTCTGAGGGTGTTCAGAACACGAGGGTGACAAAAGGGAGGCAAGATAACACAAACTATGATGTCATGATGAGATGATGCATGTACAGTAATGTGCTGTATAGAGGAGGCTACTGACAGGACAACAGCTCATAATAATGGCTGGAACGGAGCAAATGGAATGGCATCAAATACCTGGATACCATGTGTTTGCTGTATTTGATACCATTCCACTGATTCCGCTCCGGTCATTACCACAAGCCTGTTCTCCCCAATTTAGGTGCCAACAACCTCCTGTGGTATATGTATAAGTTAGCCATAATAATACTGCTGCAGCTCCACCTTGTGTCCACATTGATAAAAAGTATCATTTTTGTTTGTGTGCTCCCCCATATCACCCGTCTTATTTCTCTCTCTTCCTTTCTCCCGTCCTACCTCATCTCCCTTCCACTCTCCTACTCCCTCTCTCCATCCCCCCATCCTCTCTCGCTCTGCAGTGTCTGAGGTGCCCCAGAGAGCTGTGTTCCTGCCCTCAGTGACAGTGAAGGAGGGCTATCTCCAGAAGCACAAGGCCGAGGGCCCCCAGCTCCTGTCCCGCTTTGCCTTCAAGAAGCGATACTTCTGGCTGAGCAGTGAGACCCTGTCCTACGCCAAGACTTTGGACCCCTGGCAGGTCCCAACATACACTCAGAAACCTATCCATGACCAGCTCTGATAACAGCTCTGATGGTAATTCCTCCACTCTGTTACGTCAGAGAAAGCCGGACAAGAAAACTTTAAGGATCAAAGTCCTCTGAAATTGACTAATTCATTATAACAAGGTAACAACGTTTCCTCTGGTGATGAATTGGCTCATGTACCCTTCAAAGGGTGTTTGATCGTCAACCTGCCTCATAAAAAAGAGGAAACATTTTCATCATCCCTCTGCCTTCATTTATTTGTGTTTGGCTCTGTATGAGAACATCGTTAGTGGGGAGGCTATTGTCATGTGATGCCCAGCCTTTTGATGAGAGAGAGAGAGAGAGAGAGAGAGAGAGAGAGAGAGAGAGAGAGAGAGAGAGAGATAGAGAGAGAGAGAGAAGAGAGAGTCTAGCGGCCTATAGATCTCTCTCTCTCTCTCTCGCTCTCTCCTCTCTCTCTCTTCGTCTCTCTGCTCTTCTCCTCTCTCTCTCTTCTCTCGCTCTTCTCTCTCTTCTCTCTCTCTCCTCGCTCCGTCTCTCGCTACCTCTCTCGCTCTCCTCTCTCTCTCTATCTCCCTCTCTCTCGCTCGTCCTCTCTCTCTCTCTGCCCGCCTCTCTCGCTCTCTCTCTCTCTCTCTCTCTCTCTCTCTCTCCTCTCTACTCTTCTCGGCTCTCTCTCTCTCTCTATCTCTCTTCTCTCTCTCTTCATCTTCTCTTCCACTTCTTTTTCCTTTTTCTTATTCTGGCCTTTCCTTTCCTTTCCGTTGTGTGGCTGGAATAAAGGCTAGGTTAATTGAAGGCTGTGGATATTCATAATAACATTGCAAATCAGACTGTGGACAATACCCCCTCTCCCCTCCCACTGTGCTCTAGCCTGAGTGAGGCAGGCTGCCCATGGAAGCGGCTGATTTACACATTAAAGCAGCCGTTCTGCCGGGTTTCTCCTGTCCTGCTCTCTCTCACTTTCTCCGCTTTTTTTCTTTATCTCTCCAACACTCTTTTCTCTTCTCAGTCCTCTTTCTTTGCTAAATGGTTGCACATCTTGATTTGCATAATAATAAAACGTAGGGGAAGGATAAAAGCTGATACATACTGTACAGACACTTGAAGCCGGGCCTTAACTCTCCCGAGGAAAAGCTGATAGCTAAATTATTCATTTGATATGTATTTGCCTGTATTCATAAGATTGCCTACAGAGTAATACAGGAGTGCCACGTGGACCTGTGTGTGGCTGCTGATACTGTATTATGTACGTGTCCTGCAGGTGCGCTCTTCCATCCCCATCCAGTGTGTGTGTGTCGTGGAGAGAGTGGATGAGAATGCCTTCCAACAGCAGCATGTGATGCAGGTCGTCACCCAGGACAACGATGGACAGATGCACACCATCTATATCCAGTGCAAGGTACTGGCAGACCTCCAGTCACTGACCACACTATTACAATTGACCCTTGACTGGGTTGACTATGTGGTGCTTTCTTTGCATCACTGTGATGTTTGAGTGCAGCCTCCCCACTACAAAATGGTGGCCGTTATCAGAGACAATATAAAAGGTAGAGTCTGTCTGTCTGCAGAATGTGAATGAGTTGAACCAGTGGCTGTCAGCCATCAGGAAGGCCAGTATCTACAACGAGCGCATGCTGCCCTCCTTCCACCCAGGGGCGTACCGTAGTGGCAAGTGGACTTGCTGCCTACAGGCCAACCGCACTAGTAATTATAACATTGACCATTATGTAGGACGCTTTGTTCAAGTGCCACACACTTAACATGTTAGTGCTTTTTTAACACTTCATAATCATCTTTTTACCTCACATTTATGTGCACTGCTCTTACACCAGCCCATAACTGTTTGCTCCCTCAGACTAAGTAACTCACAGACAGAAAGGAAAGTGAATACACTGTATGGCCCCTCTCTCTTGTTCAGCTTTAGGTTGCAGTCGCACTCACTCTGCAGTGACTCTGGGTGACTGGAGTGACCCACTGGATCCAGACGCAGAGACTCAGACCATCTACAAACAGCTTCTTCAGGGAAGAGACAAACTCAGGTCAGTGGCATACACTTTGACATTAGAACATTTAGAGGCTATGATAAACCTCCTCCAACAGAGGGTGCAGTTCATTTACTTATCACAAGGGGTCTACATTGCAACATTAGGACTACTCTCTACTCACATGAATTAGAAATAGCCTGTAACTCAGGAACATATCAATGTGGATTGATATGCTCAGCCTCTCTCACACTTGGTCACTACCATGGCAAGGAAATACCATGGGATTTTCCTGCCACGGTAGTGACCAAAAAACCATGATAGTACCATGGTATTTTTTTCATTGTACTTCCCTTGCAGGAAAATCCCATGGTATTTGCACCAGTACCATGGTATTTTCCTGCCATGGTAGTTTCCCAAAACATATGATAGTACCATGGTATTGAAATGTACAGTACCATGGTAGTACAATTTTAAAAATAACATGGTTTTGTGCTAGCAGTATGTAGTGAAACATGAAAGCATGGTAGTTGTTTACAATGTATTATCATGATGGTCTGTGTCCCACCATTTTTCGGGTAAAGTGACATTGACTTCTTGCTCTGCAATGGAAAAGTGTAGGCCTAGTGTACCCTCTTAAAACCCTTTAGCTCATAGTGAAAAACCACAACACACATGGTCTAGTACTGTAGTGTACCCTCTTAAAACCTGGGACCTGGATAGGGTATGGTGAGAAGAATGGAGTCTGACACCTTGAAGATAAGGTTTAAAATAATTAGCTAGTTTATCTGGCACTCTTCAATACAGTTTTCAGTTGTTTCTCTCTCATTCAACTGACTAGGCTACTCTAAATACAATTGTAAATAGCCAACATACTAAAAAACTATTTGTACAAATATGAATTATCATCTTACTTCATAAATACATTTTCATCATGTCATTCTCAACACATCCCTAACAATAGGAAGTTACAATGTTCGTTGGATTCCGCCATGACTACGACAAGCTAGCTTGACTGGCGCTAACGTTAGCCGATGTTAGCTTCTATGCTAAAGGATTTTATAGATTAATTAAACTCCACTTAACTTGGTGTTTCATATCCTATGCTTTATAACTCTCTCACCGTGAAGATAAGGTTTAAAATAATTAGTTTATCTGGTGCTTCTCTCGTCAGTTTTCAATTGGCTCTCTCATTCCACTGACTCGCTGACTATGGGACAGCAGATAGCGTTGCGGTTAAGAGCGTTGGGCCAGTAACCGAAAGGTTGCTGGTTCGAATCTCTGAGCAGACTAGGTGAAAAATCTGTCTGTGGCCTTGAGCAAGGTATTGCTCCTGTAAGTCGCTCTGGATAAGAGCGTCTACAAACATGTCAAATGTAAGCAGGCTAGAGCCACTGTGGAGTGAGAGCACATTTATTTAATGCATTATACTGCCATTGTACCATGGTAGCGCACAATTAATAAAGATGGTGCCATATGATGTTTGGAACCATTTATCTTAATTGTGCGTTACCATGGTAGAATGTATAATGCAGGTTAAAACCATGGTATTTTTATGATCCACATCTATACCATGGTATGTATAAATGATGCAATACCATGGTATTATTTAGGTGCATGGGAGGGTATGTATCATACATGTACTACAAAGCTAAAACCATGGTACATTTCCATGATTCAGATCTATACCATGGTATAAATGATGCAATACCATGGTAATATTTAGGTACAATGGCAGTACCATGGTAGTACCATCATACTTCAAGGCTAAACCCATGGTACATTTCTATGATTCAGACTATACCATGGTATAAGTGAAAGTACCATAGTAGTACCATGGTATCAAGGAAATTAAGTCCAGCCTCTCTCACAAACTCTGTTACACACTATCTAAACTTTGATAAACATGTTGATCAGTGTGTTAATGCGAGTGTGCCGTGCTGTGCCCTGTGCTGTGCCGTACCCTGTACTGTGTGTTTACAGGAAGCAGTATGTGGAGGCTGAGACGACCACAGAGGAAGAGAAGAGACTGAACTCTGGGCTGCTCCCTGGTGAGACTGTCAAAACAGTGCCTTTTTAATATGCAGTTTGAACAGTTGTAACACCTTAGCCCTCAGAGGTTGGTTCACTAGACTCTTGTACTGTAATTTAAAGCGTTCTCCTGCTTTAAATCTTTCTCTCCCCTAGATGGAACAGACAGTAGCAGGCAGCTCCTGAAGCACAGGCAGGCTGCAGCGGCTCGGCTGCTGGGGGTGGTTCTGGATCTGGAGCAGGCCCATGCCACCTTCCAGCAGCGGGAAAGAGAGGAGGCCAGCAGCCTCATCCTGACCCCCTAGACTGGGCCTTCCCAGCAGCATGAGCCCGGGCCTGAGGGGGAGAGCAGCGTCCTGCATCAGACTCAATGGAGGTTTGACAGAAGAGTGTCCATACATACCCTCCCAACTGTGTAGGAAAGCTAAATTATCACAATGAAGGCAGCGTTTCCCTTCTCCCTGTCATATTGTCTGTTACATGTGATATCAAGAGGAACTCTCTTCTCATCCAGATAACTTCTTCAAAAGACCGAATGGAGAGGATGCCAAGCCCCTCTGCTACGTTCTTTTCCATGAACGTTTGACATCACACTTACAGGTTTTCAGCTGTGGCAGAGGGGCTATCTAGGGACATAACTGATTGCTATAGGCCTTGCATGCAGATTGACTGCCACATATTAACTTCTGCTACTCTCACAAAGCTTGGGCTCTTGTCGATTGAGCAGGACACAAACTGTTATGTGGAGTGGAGGGGTTGGACATAGTGTGTCATTCGGTGATACTGCATTATTGTATGGCTATAATGTAATGCATGCCCTGCATCCAGCGTTTGTGAAATGTGAAGAAAATGCTTTTATATTCAATATTATCATACCTTGAAGGAGGACGATTATGCAATCTACTCTAGTTTTAGCTGAATTTACCTGAATGTATGCTATTTTGATATTGCTTTTATTGATGTTTTGTACTCTCTAATTGTACATATTTGAATTGAGAACAGCCTCAATGTAGCAGCGAGATTTGGTGTTCATATCACTGAGGACATTGCCCTGTGAGATGCCTAAGTAAATGTTATTAATACAACGGCACACGCGCCATAATTGCTTGAACAGTCACGTGTTTGCTATTAGGGTATTGTTTTCACTGTTGCCATGGGCACCTGAGATTAATATTTAGTGAAGCTTGTGTTTGGTACTGTTGCTCCGTGCATGTATGTGGAGTAACTCAAACACAAAGCTGTGGCTTTGAGATAATATATATTTTACATATACAGTATAGGGTTCACAGTTGATTGGTTAATTGGTTAACGTTTCTTTGTAGCAGTACTACTGACAATCTTATCCAGTCAATCCAGTAACGTGTGTTTATGCTTCTTCTCAGGTGCTTGTATTTTAAGTAATTTTAAGACAGATGATTTTGAGTGAAGTGTCATACAGTAACTGTCATGCATTGAATGAAATCGGACATATTATGTAGATCATTTCTGTTCTACTTCAGTTGGGCTCTCTGTAGAGAGCTTATGATGGCGACTCGTAACAGTATGAGCATGTCCTGTCTCAGCATTGATGTACACACTACATTACATTTTATATGCTCTACCTTATATTTTGTATACATTTATGTTTTTCCCCTACACTATTGACCAAATTTAGTTTGCTGGTTTCGAGCTAAGCTCAGAGGAGTAGAGAGGAGTAGTCAGACTCCAAGTGTGTGAGTTGAGTTGCGTGGAATGGTGTGCGCCATTTGAAATGCTTTTCTGTGGAGGTGTGGGAGATGTTTCAAATGCCAAACTGTCTTTATTTTGGTAATACTTTCTTTAATTAGTAACAAGGAAGAATATTTTATTTCAATAAGTCTAATCGATCAAGATAGAAAAGCCAAACTTATTGGAATGTTACAATTTCACTGTTATCAAATTATATTTTACTGTTATCCAAATAGATTATTGACCTATTACTGTAATCTGTTTTGTAAATTGTATTCTATACATTCCAAATTGTATTTACCATGGCTTGCCATCTTTGGAAGATTATTTTAGACCACTGTTGTATTCCACTGAAATTCACCAAGCAGGCTCTCAATTTCAAATCTGGACAAATATTGATTGTCGCTCATTGACTTATTTACTGAAAGTGGGCTGCAATTTTGAAAATGAGCTTCAATTTTAGTGCTGACACAAAGTGACTGCATGTACAAAGTGGGTGGTTACAGATAAATGGTAACATCAGCTGTATTACTGTGAACTGTATTGGAAATATTCAGTAAAATGGAATGTTACCACTACTACTGTTTAGTTTGAAACTGTGTTTATGCACACAATGGAAAACCTTTTCAACTTACAATCAGTCAAGTGTTTTTTGTAAGAGGTGTTGGAGGGTCTGGGGACACCTCCTCCAGCTCTTTCAGTAGGTCCCAATTCCCACAGCACAGCTGGGAGTGCTCTTTCTGACTAGGGTTAACTGGAGCCCGATTGTGTGGTCACAAAAGGATCCGTCCTGTGTTACTTATCAAGATAAGGTAGGGTTACTTCAGTGTATTTACTGAATCCCAATGCAGGCTATATCACACTACCCACCACAGTGATACTTTTCCCAGCTGATTATTACTCTAAGCTCTGTGAACACAGACGTCAAATCCCCCTGGATTCAGACCAGGTAAATCATGTTAAATATGAGTCATTGAAAGTGGCCTGAGAAGTACAAAGTCAGTTTCCCTTCATATTAGATTAATATTTAAGAATGAGTAAAATGTGTTCGCAGCACTTTCCCCTTCCTAACCTTATTAAAATGCTAATGAGAGGCACCTGCCATGGGGCAGCAGAGACTCCCTCGTTAACACCCTCATTACATTAGTGACGGAGGTGAGTGATGAGAGGAGGGGGGCTCGGCTGGGACAGGGGAGTCTGGGATGTCAGCCCCGGCCACGATAGACCCTCTAAGCTGCTGTGTCACAGCTATGCTTGGAAGAGGGGAGATGAGCCACATGACAGACACCACAGGCTGTCCACAGGACCAGTAGGGAGACCTCCCATGACAGCCCCACAAGCTGTTCCTCCAGACCTGGAGGGGAGGGGGGAGGACTGGGGTGTATTTGCTTTAGTATGCGCCACAGTGCCTGCATACCCAGCCTCCATTTCTTTCACACAGCACCAACCTTCAGCAGCCAGTGACAGAAAATGACCATAAAGCAACATTTACTGCCGGTTATAGGTTGAGAACTTTTGTGAAGGAGCACAGTTAGAAAGATATGACATATAGAAGCAAACCGGATGGATATCATGAAAATGATCGGAGAGGTTGAGAGTAGAAGAAGTTCAGAAGAAAAAACTAACAAAATAGAATTATTGTAAAATTGACTGTGTCCATAAAATGTAGATAGTAAGTATAAGCTGGAAGTAGAGGCCGAAGCATTGTTGTTCACTAGTTTACTCCAATTAGGGAAAGGGTATGTGTATGTATGTATGTATGTATGTATATGTGTGTGTATATATATATATATATATACACACAGTGGGGAGAACAAGTATTTGATACACTGCCGATTTTGCAGGTTTTCCTACTTACAAAGCATGTAGAGGTCTGTATGATCACATTGTATGATTTTTAAGTAATTAATTTGCATTTTATTGCATGACATAAGTATTTGAAACATCAGAAAAGCAGAACTTAATATTTGATACAGAAACCTTTGTTTGCAATTACAGAGATCATACGTTTCCTGTAGGTCTTGACCAGGTTTGCACACACTGCAGCAGGGATTTTGGCCCACTCCTCCATACAGACCTTCTCCAGATCCTTCAGGATTCGGGGCTGTCGCTGGGCAATACAGACTTTCAGCTCCCTCCAAAGATTTTCTATTGGGTTCAGGTCTGGAGACTGGCTAGGCCACTCCAGGACCTTCAGATGCTTCTTACGGAGCCACTCCTTAGTTGCCCTGGCTGTGTGTTTCGGGTCGTTGTCATGCTGGAAGACCCAGCCACGACCCATCTTCAATGCTCTTACTGAGGGAAGGAGGTTGTTGGCCAAGATCTCGTGATACATGGCCCCATCCATCCTCCCCTCAATACGGTGCAGTCGTCCTGTCCCCTTTGCAGAAAAGCATCCCCAAAGAAGGATGTTTCCACCTCCATGCTTCACGGTTGGGATGGTGTTCTTGGGGTTGTACTCATCCTTCTTCTTCCTCCAAACACGGCGAGTGGAGTTTAGACCAAAAAGTTATATTTTTGTCTCATCAGACCACATGACCTTCTCCCATTCCTCCTCTGGATCATCCAGATTGTCATTGGCAAACTTCAGACAGGCCTGGACACGCGCTGGCTTGAGCAGGGGGACCTTGCATGCGCTGCAGGATTTTAATCCATGACGGCGTAGTGTGTTACTAATGGTTTTCTTTGAGACTGTGGTCCCAGCTCTCTTCAGGTCATTGACCAGGTCCTGCCGTGTAGTTCTGGGCTGATCCCTCACCTTCCTCATGATCATTGATGCCCCATGAGATGAGATCTTGCATGGAGCCCCAGACCGAGGGTGATTGACCGTCATCTTGAACTTCTTCCATTTTCTAATAATTGCGCCAACAGTTGTTGCCTTCTCACCAAGCTGCTTGCCTATTGTCCTGTAGCCCATCCCAGCCTTGTGCAGGTCTACAATTTTATCCCTGATGTCCTTACACAGCTCTCTGGTCTTGGCCATTGTGGAGAGGTTGGAGTCTGTTTGATTGAGTGTGTGGACTGGTGTCTTTTATACAGGTAACAAGTTCAAACAGGTGCAGTTAATACAGGTAATGAGTGGAGAACAGGAGGGCTTCTTAAAGAAAAACTTAACAGGTCTGTGAGAGACGGAATTCTTACTGGTTGGTAGGTGATCAAATACTTATGTCATGCAATAAAATGCAAATTAATTACTTAAAAATCATACAATGTGATTTTCTGGATTTTTCATGCTTTGTAAGTAGGAAAACCTGCAAAATCGGCAGTGTATCAAATACTTGTTCTCCCCACTGTATATATAAACATGGGGGATTGGAAGTGATGCAGAGAATTACATTGATGGAAGTTACAATGTATCTGCAATATTAAGCTGATCTACCCCCCCCAAAAAAAACCATTTACTGCCGGTGCAAACTGTTACCACCACACTCCACAGCTCGAGCAAAGCTTGTTTATATCGGCAGAGCTAAAGGAAGAGGAGGACGTGGTGGCAACGAAAGACAGTAAAGAACGAGGAGGTCAAACAAACTACCCTGTTGAGGGCACATTTATTTTTCACATGAAACACACAAACATGCAACAAAGTCATCACAATCCAATAAAGACTGATAGATTAAGAAGCCCTTCAATGTTTTATGTCTCTAATCTTGCCTTTATTTCTAGTCATTTGATTATACATTTCAAATCTCAATTTCTCTTTGTGTGTTGTGGTTTCTTTTTTAAATCATAATATGTTGCTTCTGATGAGAAATGATTATTTGAATATTGAACCATAGCCACATGGCTCTCTGACATTTTGTCAGGAGAAAATGGGCACTTAAAATGCAGACGATTACCTCATACATACGATCACCATTTATGTGCAACCTGAAGAGAGGACGGAGCAGCAAAGCGCTAGCTCATTCTCATCTCTCTCCATCAAACCCTCTTTAGAGGTAAAAAAACAGACAAGCAGTCCACCATGCCACTCCACACGGGACACAGCTGGATGACATCTCTAATGACTCAATAACAATTGTCACATACAAAATATTTTCTTTGTCAGCAGACTTCTTTAGGTCTTGAGTAACATGCACTTCTATGAAAACATTTTTGTCTCAACCCCCAAACGTTTACTGTTTCAATCTTTTTGGAGCTTAAACCAAACATTTTCACACACACATGCACATACGCTCACACACGCAGACCCCCTATCTCACACCTACACAGATTCCCACCAAATTGTTGCAGGTGTATCTGTGTAGACATAAGCACAGTATGCTGTGGAGGTTATCAATATGATTGAAAATGTAAACTCCTAATGAGAAAGTATCCCTGTTAATGTATCCTTACAAGTCAGCGTTACCCCATTTCCCACACCTAATCAATATATGCTATGGAAAATCGTATGGAATGTATATTAATTACTGTAATGTAACAATGTTACACAGTATGAATGCTCAATTGAAGATATTCAATCTTTTAAAAAATACATCAAAAATATGTGTTCTCCTATACGGAGCATTTGAGCAATACCCTTGGATCACAAATGGACATACCTTACAGAATGTTGAACATCCATTCTCCTGTCCCCAAAACCTCCTGCTACACGTGACATGAGGTACAAATTGCTCGCATATATAATTGCATAAACTCTATTCCTCTGTCCAAAACCAGACAATAAAATGTATGCTCACATTAAAATTCCCCGGTGTACAGACTCCACTGAAAGCATACTGACCTTATGTACACACCTGAAAGGCTGAGGAGGCCTAGACCATAAAATTACAGTTACATACTTAAGCATTTGGAGACTGGAAATGTAAGTCTATAAATATGAACTGATACAGTACATCAGTTAAAGTACAATGACATGGAAAATAGGGTTGGCCAAGCAAAAATGTTTTATCTGTACAACTTAATGAGTCTCACTTTAAATGGGAAATTCCCTGATAAGACTGGAAGCATTTCTTTCCTGTTTTTCCCCATTTAAGAGAGTGACAAAAAGCTTAAAGTTAGTCAAACTTGCACAAGGATAAAGAAGAAATGAACAGGCAAGATGACTCTTGTTTTTCACTCACCAGTTTGGGGGTACTGACAGTATCCTCCTCTTGGTTCTATTAGGTTATACAAGGTAAATGACACAATTAGAATTCTCTTTCTATGGTCAATGACCCATCTGGGGGATAGGGTCGACTACATGCTGCTAAACTCCCCCCAACCAATAATAAAGAGGGACCTACTGTTTTTACTGAATACCTCAGCGACTCCAATACAGAATCTACATTAACGACAGCAGCAAATTCTAAGACTACTACTAATATAAGACGCTCATAACATGGCATACATATTTCAACAGTCCCTGACATACTGGCAAATCACATATGCCAGATTTGATGTATTAATGTTAATATGTGCCTGTGTGTATAGTTTTGTGGGCGGGTAAATGTGAGTGTATATTTTCATTATATAGAAGAGTATAAAAAATCAATTAAACTTACACCATATGACTCAAATTGAGCATACATGTACATTTAAAGGTAGATCAGATCTGCAAATGTATAGATATATATATTTGAAGCAATGCAAGACAAGTTTATAAACATAAACAGCTGAATTTGTAGCCAATACATTTAAAGACATCTTCCTAAAATGAAAGGATTAATTAAAGAAAACTGCTGCCTCAAAGTGCTACGGAAGACTATGATTCAGTCCAAAATATTCAAAAGCATTTAAAGGATCAAAACCCGTGAAGTGGGTGGCACACCATAAAACTTCAACATGAATCTCTTCTAGATTATACCAACATCTCCACTCATTAAAATTTGTCAGATCCTACTGAAGGAAATAGATTTTTGCAGCTTAAAGGTTAACTGTTATTTTTCGGAAAAGAAACTCACAAGATTTCATCATGACTAAAATCTTCAATAACTCTTTAGCTTATGGGCATAGAATCTGTGGGAAGGGAGATGGGAAGGAGCAAAGGGAGTAACATTCCCAGTGCAACATCAGCTTCACGTACTGTACTTTAAAGAACAACATTCTGAGTGATCCTACTGTAGAATGAGCTCCTCTAGCTGCTGAGGGAAGGGGAAACGCAGCAGTGGCCCGTACATCAGTATCAGACCTAAGAGCCTTTAGACAGGTGGGGGTCTGTTGTCTGCAGCACCAGGGAGCAGCAGAGGCTTATCATGCAACCAGCCCAGCATTGCAGAGCAGAGGATGAACACCAGGGGCTCGTACATCACTGTGTGTGTGTGTGTGTGTGTGTGTGTGTGTGTGTGTGTGTGTGTGTGTGTGTGTGTGTGTGTGTGTGTGTGGTGTGTGTGTGTGTGTGTGTGTGTGTGTGTGTGTGTGTGTGTGTGTGTGTGTGTGTGTGTGTGTGTGTGGCACGCTCTGCCTACTCTACTGTATGATGGATCAGAGGAGAGAGTCATTCTTTGAGGAGGACATCGCTCTCTGAGAAGCATGTTCTGCTTCTCTGTTGAAGCACTGAAGCGTTCGAGATTGCGCCATAGAAATGTAAAAGTAATTTCCGATTGAGCCGACATATACAGCGTTTACCGTGAATGCAGTCTCTGCTAACTCGGGAATATTGTCTTTAAATTTAAATCACGCTGTAATGCTCAACTACCGCAATACGGATTAAATAGAGCCCTTAGAGAGCGAATTAACCCCACAGCACACACACACTAACACACACTCAAAAACACACGCAAGTAGGCAAGCACATGTGATGCGAGCGTGATAGATCATTCCAACGCCTGGGCCTCCTCTAAGACAGGCTTATTCACAGAGGTCAATGTCACCAGTGTTTCAACAAAACAAATGAGGTTAACCTTGGAGTGGAGCGAGGCTTGCTCGACTGCCTCAGTTCTTAACTTATAGAAGCATACATTTTTTAACAATCATCTAACTGGTCGTTAAGATGCTTGTGGATGGATCTATATCAGGTTAACTTCCAAAGGCCTCCTCAGGTTGGCACCCCATTAGAATATACATTTACTGTGAGACAGCTGAATCCTCAAATCATCTGACTGTCTCTCTGTCAGGTGGTGCATGTCAACCTTCAACAGACTCACTGGCCAGTGACGCCAAGCCTTTGTGAAACGGCCCTGTGTAGCCAATCAGAGATGCCCTCTCTCCTTCCTGAGAATCACATCACCGTGACCGTCCACTCAGATCTACAGACAGTTTTGGTGCAGAAAACCACCAAGCTAAAACTAAGCAAAAGGCCTCACTTTCAAAAGACTCTCACTAGCAACCACATCAGCATGTCACAACAAGTTGAACTGTGTAGATTTAGTGTGAATTGGACTAATAAGTGTCAGATCTGGGAAAGCAACCACGCTTTTACAATTCTGCATATTAAAATTATCCTGAAGATTTCCACACAAATACCAACTACAACTTGAGAAATCACTTCCCTACTCTTTAAAAAATACACATCTGATAAAACTAGAACAAACTGTGACAGACATCTAAAGCCTTCAGAGCCCTAGCCAACTGTCTTTGCAAAAGTCCCAGGTATGCGGTCAACATTAAAATGCAATATCAAACTCTGGGCCATATGGTTTGGTGGTGAGTATAAACAGACATCTCTTTCAATGCCATGATGTCACAGTCCTAAAATCTTCTTCAGTACAAAAGAGGAGGATCAAAATCCTGTCTCAGAGGAATCAATTAACAGTTGATGTGCAATAATGTCTAAATCCCACAACAGCCAATACACATTGAGATCTGTTTTCATTTAAATCCTGTCTTCACGTTCCTTTACCCTATCAGGTTGAAATCTTGGCAAAAATACACATGCTCAAGGCACGGACAAAGTTTTACAGTTATGTTTAGGTAAATGCAAATAACAGTATAACACAATCATGATGTTATAATGTCATTTGCTATATTTCCATGGCCACATACAGAATCTGAGGGTCTTTAGGTGTGTTTTGGGTGTGGGGAGTAAAATATAGTTATCTCGGCTGCATGTTGCCTCTTCATGCAGAGGCCCACTCTATGTCAGAGAGGAGTATTGTATGGGTGGTGGTCCTCGGTGGCCTCTCTGTCCCCCTCAGTCCTTCAGGTTGTCCTCTCCCACCCCCTGGGCTGACAGCTCTGTCAGGACGTTGTCCAGGTAGTTGGGGTCTGGGTAGCCGTGCCCTGTCAGGTTGGAGCCAAACTCTGTCTTGTGGTGGATCTCGTTCCACACCACCGTGTCCGACTCGCCCGTGGTGCTGGACGTGTCGATGGTGAAGATGAGGCGGCGGTCCCACGCCATGATCAGGAGCTTCAGGACCTGGGGACAGACAGACAGACTTACATGTCCAGTCAAGGGTGTTGCCTACTACAGCATGTATTGTGGAAAACATGTTATTCCCATATACACACAGACAGTACTGTAAGTCTTACCTTCCTGCCCTTGTCATTGTCTGGGAGGTAGCAGTGCCGTGGGAAGCCTCTAGCGCTGAACTTCTTCCCTGGGTTGGGATGCTCTGTGGCCTGGTGAAAAGGACAAAAACATTCACAACCAGTGGCGGCTCCTGAAAAAATTCTCAGGGGGGGCAATTTTTCTGATGATTTAGGTGACCTACACACATTTTAAAAAAGATATGTCCAGCAACAACATGAAGACAGGGGCAGCATATAAGTCAATACCAGAAGCATTTATTGACTGATCTCAAAAGTGTTGGCTTACAAAAGCAAAATAAGTTATCACAGTAAAAATAATCAAGGGTGTTCTTTCACATTCCTCAACACTGCATAAACAATATGCATTTCCATAAAACACCTCATCTAATTGTGCCACAAAGTTGACAAGTCCAAGAAAAATACCAGGGTTGGTGGAGCCCTCAGTTTCATCTTTGCCTCGCAAAGCTAACTCAAACACTCCGCAAAACTTCACACACTGGATTAGCCGGCTGAGGATGTGGCGGTTCTTGCTAACCTCATCGTTGTGGCGGCGGACAGCTAGCCTGTATCCCTCATCCAGTTGAGTGAGTGGCAATGTTCACTCTCCCCAAAGCAGACAATCTCAAACAGCTATCCATGTGGGTCTTTGACAGCTCATGTTTCTTAATCTTTTCTGAAAGATGGTGCATGTCCGTTACACCAGTCGCTGTCCAAGCGGTGCTGTCTGCCGTGCCGCCTTCAGGGTGAAAGAGTAAGCAGGGGTAGCAGAAGACTGCATTAGCTACATCGCAGCCTGCTAGCCAGGTTTTTCGTTCATACCAATTTTTGGAAAATCCTCGGGTGTAGGACTTTCCCCCTTTAGTAGAAACCTGCTGAATTATTAAATTTGGTCTGGGAGGTCCTAATTGTTTCGTTGCCAATTTATCTTGATTTGTTCGCCGACAAAAAGGAACTTCTTTCAAAGAGACAATCGAGTTGCACTGAACGCTAGCCATCTTGACAGTAGTACGTGAATTGATTGACGCTGCTACCCGCTCTTTTCTTAGTTACGTTCATGGTTATGTTACGTATGACGAAAGCGCGTAAGTGCAAGCCCTCCCGGAACCCATAGAGATTGTATTGAAAGCTCTGATATTTGAAAAAAAAAGATTTTACATGAGAGTCTATGAGAGACTTCTGGGGCGATTTTCAACCTGACTGAAATCGCCCCAAAAGGGGCGGGGCCATTTGAAGCACGACTTTAGCCTGATTGGACATTTAGTGGCAGATCAGACGTCTAGATTAGAACACTGATAACTACTGTTGCCGTGATATAATTGATTAGAAAAAAAATCCCTTCCTTTTCCCGTTTGGCAGTGCGTCGCCCATATCGCCCTAATGAACACACCGCCCCTGTTCACAACCCTGCTCTTTCTCTTTCAATTAACATTCAGTCAGAGGGAAATGTCAAATGTGCCCCTGGGACAAGATTCTATACTAGTACTCAGACTACTCTGTGAGTTTATTTGCACTCTATCAAAGCATTAATTGGGGGGGGGGGGGGGTGAATGCCACTGCCAAAACAAAACCTTTTTACTTTTCATCAAGAAACATGTTCATCAAGAAAAACAAACAAAATATAATTATTGTAAAATTGACTGTGTCCATAAAATGTAGATAGTAAGTATAAGCTGGAAGTAGAGGCCTAAGCATTGTTGTTCACTAATTTACCCCAAGTAGGGAAAGGATGGCGGGGGTGAAAAGTAATAAAGGGGAGTATATATATAAAAAACATGGGGGATTGGAAGTGATGCAGACAATTAGATTGATGGAAGTTACAATCTATCTGCAATATTAAGCTGATCTACCCCCCCCCCCCCCAAAAAAAAAAAGAAAAGGAAAAAAAATAAAGAATACCAGTTGTATACCAGTTGTATAACAAACAAGTAACTGCCATGCTCTGTGATGCAGGTGATATGTGTTGACATGCCACACCATACTCATTGTACTCCACTCTACTTCATAATGTACTGTATCATTACTATATCATGACTTTCTTACACAGAGTACAGCTGTCAGTGAAGATGTGTTTGAAGGGGGAAGTGAGGAGGGTGAGTGGTGTGATGGGGCACTGTGGGTGGGTTGTGGTGTGATGTGCTGATGCAGTGTGGAGGGCAGGGGACAGACAGACATAGTCTCCCTCTTCCCTCCCCAGGGAGACTAAGCCTGCTCTTCTGAAAATAAAGGTCACTTCATTGACTCTATTAAAGCTCCGCTCTGCAGTCAGGATGAAATATGCAGCCCTCTTCCCTCCTCTCGACCGCCTCCGCCCACTGCAAAGAGAGGAGGTGAATCGTTCTCTCTCTCTCTTTACGAGGATGCAGTCACGCGGCTTTGGGACATTTCAACCCCCTCAGCAACACTAAACACATAATCAAATACCCTCTGAAGCATCCTCATGTCAGACACAACAGTCTTATACCAATGTAGATGGAAGAGAATAGACCTAGGAAGGAGAGCCAGTGGATGAGTGGACTGTGTGAGTGTGAAGGATATAAGGGTGGGACGTAAAGTGTCGTGCTTACCTGTATGCCAGCAGGAATGTCATAGACGATGCGGATGGTCTTGGCCTCCGGGTAGCCAGGCAGGCAGTGGGGAATGACATGGTACTCCATCTTCCCAGGGGGCTGTGTGCCTGTCTTCTCCCCATAGATAGCCTTACAGGTGGGGCACTGTAGACTGCCATCCTGGACAGGGACACATTAAATGTTCAATATTCATTCCTAATCTAATCAAACATATTTAATCTAATCTAGAATGATTTCATGGACATAGAGCCATCTTCTGTACTAAATAGACTTTAAATAAAAAAATAATTGTAATTTTGTTTAATGGTTATGCATTCAAATGAGCATGAACTGTGCTTTGCAGAGTAAGGCCTGCTTCTGAATGAGTTTGATCTCAATCTAGTCTAATCTCATCTCATCTAATCGAATGATATCAAAGTATAACACATCACATCAAATGGGATGTGTAATTTCACCCACTACTATACAATATCATATTATGATATGGTATCATTGATACCATAACAAGCGCTGGCGCGAATGCCCTTTCTCACCTTGTTGCCATTGTTGTACATGGCCACCAGGCACAGCAGATGGTAAATGTGCCCACACTTGCCAAGCTTGCCCACCATTTCTGGCTTTATGCCCTTGTGCTGCAGGACACCCTCGTAACCCGATGACATCACCAGCCTCTCCATGCAGATGGTGCAGTCCTGGGAAGGGAAAGTGAGTGGGCACCAGTTAGACCCTAACAGCTACTGTATCTTACTGTAGGGTTGGGATGCATAGCAATGATACACTGTACAGTATATTGATTTCAAACCGCATTAAAGTGTGTGTCACCCAGGACTCTCCTTACCTCATCAGGGGCTACCTTCACTTTCTCTGTGTATCTCCGCACTACATCCTCTGGGTTTTTCCCTAGCAATAAAACACAACATTGAAGGCATATGGTTAAAAGGAAAATATGACTAGATAGATCTGCATAAGGAGAAGTGAATGCTGTCTATTTGAGCAATAGGTAAACCCAGTGACTGGTCTGGCTCTAAAGTACCATAGACCTACTTGATTATGATGAGACAGACCAGTCCAATAAGAGAGTGTGAATAATACTGTGTGTGATGTTGAAGAGGAGGTCACCTTCAAAGTGACACAGAACAATGAGCCATCACCCACACACCAAGCTAATCCCAGTGTGAAACTAAGCTAGCATGGCTGTCAGAGCTCACCCACAGCTTACACCTCTAATACGCTTACAGACGGGCACTCTTCCCCCAGCACATTTGTTTGCTCATTTGGGGAACAGAGAGAGGGAGAGAGAGAAAGGGGGAAGGGGGAGAGGAAGAGAGTGAAAGAGACAGAGAAGCGAGAGAGATGAGAGAAAGCAATGGAGAGAGAGAGATACAGAGGGAGAGACAGGGAGAAGGACTGCATTATGCATTTTCCGGCATTGCCTTTTTGATGGTTTCATTTGCTAGATCAAAGGCCTCTCTAGCCTCCTTTAGAGTGGCAGCCGGAACAGGATAACCCCAAATCTCTTTCCCTCTCTGCCTCGTTCCATGGGGGCTATGCTGCATCAGTTGGTAGAGCATGGCGCTTGCAACGCCAGGGTTGTGGGTTCGTTTCCCACGGGGGGCCAGTATGAAAATGTACGCACTCACTAACTGTAAGTCGCTCTGGATAAGAGCATCTGCTAAATGACTAAAATGTAAAAAAAATAATAATAATTGGCTGCAACCCATCTATCAGTCCGTGGTGTCCTCCCGTCCCAATGCCCCCGCCTGAGTCTGCGGCCCGGGGATGGAGTGATGAAGGGGAGGGAGGGGAGAGATGGCGGAGGTGTCTGGGTGGAACAGAGTGATGCAGGGCTGAAAAACCCACCGCCTGCACTGACCAATTAGGACAGACACTCAAACGGGGACGCCTGTGGTTTCAACGGCATCAAATTGACATTGGCCTGGCGCCATTTTAGCTAAAGCCACACATCTCACCACAGGATCATCATCAACCCATCTCACTACAATAGATTCATCTTAATTATAGTTGTGGAAATAGCTAATTTAATAAATAGTTAATTTCAATGTGGTGGGAAACCCATGAAATGTGGTGAGTGTGACTGTAATCCCTCCCTTTCCCTTCATCAGGGTCATCAGGACTGCATTGTCCAATCTGCTGACAGGGTCATTAGCTACCCGCTTCTACATCTGCATTGCTTGCTGTTTGGGGTTTTAGGCTGGGTTTCTGTATAGCACTTTGTGACATCTGTTCATGTAAAAAGGGCTTTATAAATACATTGTATTGATTGACCTGCCCTCCACCGAGGACCTGCACGACTCCAGGACAAGGAAGCATGCAGGAAAGATCATCGCCGACCCCCCCCCCCCCCCCAACTTGGACACCCCATCTTTCAAAGAATCCCCTCTGGCAAACGGTTCAGGTCAAACATGACCAAAACCCCCCGCCGCCTCAACAGTTTTTTCCCCGGTACCGTGGTCCTCACCAACTGGCCATGAGGCTCATAGGAATTAAGAGACTTTGCATTGAGCCGAACACTGCACCTTGCCATCAATGAGGTGAAATAATAATAACTGCACTATACTGCATTTGCACTATGTACACCTCTCCATATATAGATATATCCCCTCTGTAAATTGTATGTCCTCACTGTGAATCAGCTTATACTCCAGAGTTGCACAGTCGTGGTCAAAAGTTTTGAGAATGACACATGTATTGGTCTTCACAAAGTTTGCTGCTTCAGTGTTTTTAGATGTTTTTGTCAGATGTTACTATGGTATACTGAAGTATAATTACAAGCATTCCATAAGTGTCAAAGGCTTTTATTGACAATTACATTACATTTATGCAAAGAGTCAATATTTGCAGTGTTGACCCTTATTTTTCAAGACCTCTGCAATCCGCCTTGGCATGCTGTCAATTATCTTCTGGGCCACATCCTGACTGATGGCAGCCCATTCTTGCATAATCAATGCTTGGAGTTTGTCAGAATTTGTGGGTTTTTGTTTGTCCACCCGCCTCATGAGGATTGACCACGTTCTCAATGGGATTAAGGTCTGGGGAGTTCCCTGGCCATGGACCCAAAATGTCGATGTTTTGTTCCCCGAGCCACTTAGTTATCACTTTTGCCTTATGGCAAGGTGCTCCATCATACTGGAAAAGGCATTGTTCGTCACCAAACTGTTCTTGGATGGTTGGGAGAAGTTGCTCTCAGAGGATGTGTTGGTACCATTCTTTATTCATGGCTGTGTTCTAAGGCAAAATTGTGAGTGAGCCCACTCCCTTGGCTGAGAAGCAACCCCACACATGAATGGTCTCAGGATGCTTTACTGTTGGCATGACACAGGACTGATGGTAGCGCTCACCTTGTCTTCTCCGGACAATATTTTTTTCCGGATGCCCCAAACAATCGGAAAGGGGATTCATCAGAGAAAATGACTTTACCCCAGTCCTTAGCAGTCCAATCCCTGTACCTTTTGCAGAATATCAGTCTGTCCCTGATGTTTTTCCTGGAGAAGTGGCTTCCTCGCTGCCCTTCTTGACACCAGGCCATCCTCTAAAAGTCTTCGCCTCACTGTGCGTGCAGATGCACTCACACCTGCCTGCTGCCATTCCTGAGCAAGCTCTGCACTGGTGGTGCCCTGATCCCGCAGCTGAATCAACTTTAGGAGACGGTCCTGGCGCTTGCTGGACTTTCTTGGACGTCCTGAAGCCTTCTTCACAACAATTGAACCTCTCTCCTTGAAGTTCTTGATGATCCGATAAATGGTTGATTTAGGTGCAATCTTACTAGCAGCAATTTCCTTGCCTGTGAAGCCCTTTTTGTGCAAAGCAATGATGATGGCACGTGTTTCCTTGCAGGTAACAATGGCTAACAGAGGAAGAACAATGATTTCAAGCACCACCCTCCTTTTAAAGCTTCCAGTCTGTTATTTTAACTCAATCAGCATGACAGAGTGATCTCCAGCCTTGTCCTCGTCAACACTCTCACCTGTGTTAACGAGAGAATCACTTACATGATGTCAGCTGGTCCTTTTGTGGCAGGGCTGAAATGCAGTGGAAATGTTTTTGGTGGATTAAGTTCATTTTCATGGCAATGAGGGACTTTGCAATTAATTGCAATTCATCTGATCACTCTTGATAACATTCTGGAGTATATGCAAATTGGCATCATAAAAACTGAGGCAGCATACTTTGTGAAAATTAATATTTGTGTCATTCTCAAAACTTTTGACCACGACTGTATGTTTACTGTATTTATATTGTATATTCTGTATGTTGACTTTGTGTCTGTATTCTGTTTGTATATTGTCTATTGCTGGAGCACCTACTCACTAAGTCAAATACCGGGTATGTTTAAATGTTCTTAGTGAATAAAGTTATTCTGATTCTTCTGATTATCCAGAGGAGAGATTTACTTTACATCTTAATGTCTCAATTGAATTCCTCTCACACTCCATGACAGCCCCTCCTCTCTAGTGTTCCTGGGAGCCCTCCCTGTCATACATACAGATGTAGGATCTTAACTTGAGCCAGTTTGCTACAGCATGAAAATAATCCTGCAGCAACAGGAAATGTGAATGGATTATAATTAATAGACATTTTTGTAGGGGTTGATACATTTTTCGTAAGGGAGAATCAACTCTGACATTTCAAAGTGGAAATTACAAACGTCAGAAGCCTTTTAAACCTCAAATACACTACAATTTGCATTACAGGAAAGTTCTCCTGCAACAGGGTGATCAAATTAAGATCCTACATCTGTACATACCTCTCCTGAGGTGCTTCTTCTTGGTCTTGCGGCAGATGCCATTGACCCCGGGCACAGGCTTCATGTCACTCTTGTTGATGGGCGGTGGGTGCAGGATGGGTTTAGGGGCCCGGGTCAGACACACGGGCAGGCCAGCAGCACACATCAGGATACCAGTCATACCTGGCACACACACACACACACATTCATACAGGAAAGAAAATAGCCATGTTGGTTTAGTATTATAATAATAATAATAATAATAATAATAATATGCCATTTAGCAGACGCTTTTATCCAAGCGACTGAGTAAGAACGGATGCGAAAACTAAAGCACTCATGTAAATGCAGCCTACAGGGAGAAAAATGTATTTTTAATTGCAAAAGATAAGAAAAATAGAACCATTACCTGCAATTGCTGGGTGAACTGGTCCAGAGCCAGTCAGGTTCTTAACAGGGAGGGCCGGGACCCTGCAGAGAGAAAAACGTCCAATATGAAATCATCAGGTTTTCAAAAGACTAAACATAATGACACTACAATTCACTGTTATAAAGTACTGTACATTCTCAGTCAGAATGGCCACACTTACACAGATGTAGAATATGTCGCCATAGTGCGAAAGAGTCCATGGTCACATCACGTGTCCTAGCTAGCAACTACACCAAAAACACAGACAAGACAGCCTGACTCATCAACAGTCACTGCTGTACCAGAGCATGATTCAGAATGACACTTAGAGAGCACATACTCACACACACTCCACACAGAGGACAAACACTGTTGTTTACTCGCAAAGACATCTAAAATAGGAAGTCATAGAGAGCTGTGCACAAAGCATGTGGGTCATGATGAGCTTGTGTGAGTGTGTGTCCCTTTTAAGAAACCACGGCCTCAGCTTCTGTCTGGTAATGGAGTGCCCTCCCACACAGGGCAGACCAGGCTTCAGGGAAAGGTCACCTGTCAGAGGAGCTAGGGTTAGAGACCGCAGGCTGAGCTTCTTTTGCTGCTGCTTCTGCTACTCTATGTGCAGAGAAAATAACAACTGATCTGTGGTGATGGAGAGGACCACATAGAAGAAAAGGAAGCCATTTTGATGTCAACACAGCCAAAACAGTTTAGCGGTCATGCACTGATCGCAATGAAAAAAGAGCAGCTTTGATGATTGAATTATTATCCTGTATTAACTTACACAGTATTTCAGTACATGCAAGAAGCATGTCACTGAATTACAGTAGAATAATAACATTTTCTTACTTTCCCAAAGGTATTGTGTAACGTTAATACCATTGATCTAAGAGATCCCTTCCCCCAATAGCAGCTCTGACTATAAGTGCTCCACACTAATCAGCCCCTCCCACCGGCCTCTCTCTCTCTCTCTCTCTCTCTCTCTCTCTCTCCATGTACAGGCAGTGTCCAGGACCCTTAGCCCATTATCTCTTCAGCACCTCCCTCACAAATCCCTAACGAAAGGCCGCTTTGATGTGAGTAGACCCTGTGTTCCTATGCCAGGGGAGCCCTTCAATGAGCTCTACAGAATTAACAAAGGCCTTCGTGTCCTGGACACTCTGGGTCTGATCTGCCTTATCTCCACTCACTCTCAGGGGAACTAGTGTAGTGATATGCCGGCTAGGCTACATAGTGGAGTAGAGATATGAAGCTGTGGCCAGGACAAGGTCAGCTAGCTGGGTAATGGCCTATACTATAGCATGATGCATGTCAGACAGCTGTGTGCATGTGTGGCCCATGTATGCTCAGGAAGGCTGAAAAAAAGTATGTATTGTGTTGGAGAAAGGCCAAAAGCCAATAAGTTTATCGTACTGGCATGTCTACAGTGCATGCTGTACACAGTGCCTCAAAATGGCAAATCAGCTCAAGCAGACAATCAGGCATTTTCAAAGAAAACAAATTAGGCATTGCCCACGGGGAGAATTCCTCCCTATATTTAAACATGCACTTACAGTATCTCAAATCAAGTGTGCCTGCCTCTTGAAATACATGTATAATTCAGGAATTTCATGGAGGATGATTAAACAACACATTTCCACCAGGAGAGAGCAACATACAACAAGAGCCCTTGGCACTGTTGCACACATGTGTACACACACATGCATACACACACGCTAGTGCACACAGGATGCATCTTGAGACAGTGGAAGTGTAACAGTATTTGTAAGCATAATGTTTTAACACCATGAGATCATTCAACCATATAATCTCTTGTTGCACAAAAACACACAACAGCATTTCTTGCCACATTTAATTTCTAAATATGGGACGCTAGTAACTCCAACTTTAAGCTTTTAACAAGACCCTTGAGTTATTCTTAGTAACACCTGGTCCACACTTGCAAACATTTAAAACGTTTAAACCTTTTCTCTGTCTCAAAATCCGCATCAGCCAAATAAAATCAAAAAATGTTTATTGTTATCTGCTCCCATGGGATACCCTGGCACAGTTAGCCCTATGATAACAAAACCAGCTGGCCATGATTATTTCCTGTAACAAATTCTTCATCAGCCAACCAAAGATCTTAGACTTTATATCCACCAACCAATGGCATTTCTTAAAATAGGTCAACTTGGCCACAAGAGGGATATTTTCAACCCCCAAATTCAAGGTTTACTATTGTTCCGCTTGGTCTGTAACAAGTTTAGTGTGACAATATTGCACGACGCAGCCTTGACTAGGCTACTAGTTACTAACGTTAGACAAAATTCAAAAAGGCACATTTTTGCATATATGACTAAGTCCCAAGTTTTTGCTTATCAGTTTCACACACATCCATGTGCTTTACGGAAAAATCATAATGGAGATCTATACAACATTTAAGTTTATCATACATTCCAAAACACACAAGCAAGTCTACATCAGAATGGCTGAAACGCAACAAATGCAAAGTTTTGGAATGGCCTAGTCAAAGTCCAGACCTAAACCCAATTGAGATGTTGTGATCTGATAACATTCAGGGTGTAATCTGTAAGCATATGGTTATAGTATCCCTCTTCTTCTCTGCTCTGCTCTTTATCATTGACCTGGTTCAGGGAAAGGACCGTCTCTGGGGCCAGTGACATGGTCCTTCCTGCAGCTGGGGCTAGGGCTGGGGCTGGGGTTCATGTGATGGGCCACTGCTGACCTACATCCCCCCTCCGCTCCTCTCCCTCTGTGGTCAGGGACATGGTCACGAGTCCACAGCTGGATGCCATGCTGCACACATAAAAGCCTCACAGTCACTCCTAAGATCTACTGATCATTTAGCTGTATTTTCATCTATTATTAAAACTGGTGTTCAGATTTGTTCAGGAGGTAGTACCTTACAAATGTGCAGTATATGGACACATTTTCACTTAAAACAATACCATAGCAGTGTTCAGGTATTTCACATTCAAGTAAATTCCATGAGTGAGTACAGACCCAGTAACCTCTATCTCTTTCGCTCCATCAACCCTTATCACTCTCTTCATCCTCTGTTCACTTTTCACAGTCCAGTCTACCCCTCCTCTCCTGCATCCCTCTCTTCTCCTCTATTCCTTCTCCTCCCCTCTCCCAGACTGACTCCCCAGCCTGACTTGAGCAGGAATTAATTAGGCTGAGAGCAATGTGATTTCCTCCGGATACAGAGACCAAATTAGGCCCAGTTACAGAAGTGCTGACGGAGCCCTTATTTCTCCTCATCTGTTTATCATGCACCAGAAAGACAGGGGGAAGTGGAGGAGAGGAGAAAACTCCAAAAGTGCTTAATCGCATATTGATGTGGTGGAGGACTGGGAGAGGAAGGCAGACCCTGACCCCGGCTATGCCCAGGGGAAGAATGTAATGCACTTTACAAAGCACCCCCAAAACAGACAAATAAGCAATAATGACACAGAGCAACTTTTACATAGCATCAGTTTGGTCTGGATGGGCCTTCATGATTTATTCAGTTATTTCTCCTTTAATTCTATCTAATGGAGATAGGGCTGAGGGGTCTAGTGGAGAGCAGAGAAGGGTAGGCTACACACAGGGCTGTGTAATCCCTGCTTCATCCACTGGCTTCCTCTCATCAGATAGCTAGCTCTGCTCTCCAGTCTGAACAGAGGACAACGTTGTTAATAATCACTTAACACAAGGAGACATGAGCGACAAACCAACCCTACTCACTCAGCCAAGGGCAGAGAGAACTGCTGGGCAACTGCATAGTAAAGTACTACATTTAAATTTTACATTTTAGTCATTTAGCAGACGCACTTATCCAGAGCGACTTACATGAGCAATTAGGGTTAAGTGCCTTGCTCAATGGCACATCGACAGAATTTTCACCTAGTCGGCTCGGGGATTAGAACCAGCGACCTTTCGGTTACTGGCACAACGCTCTTAACCACTAAGCTACCTGCCGCCCTATTCACTGTCTCATTATCAAACAAGCTAGTAGTGCAAGTAGAAACGATCTCTCTTACCATGTATCCCCCGCAGCCATCTTTAGTACATACACGGATAAAGTAAAACTAACATTTCCTGTCCGACAGCACAAAACCTTAGACTGCGGAAGTGAATTGAGAAAGTTGAGATGAGGAAGTGGGTTGCTGATGTTGAAATTACTAAAAAATCAGCTGCAAACTGCCTCTCTGTCCTTTACTGTAACTGTCAAACTCCCTAGGAAACTCAATGTCCAGATATATGGCAAGTTTTGAGTATAACATCTTGGTATGATAACAGAGGAAATGTTCATAAGAGGAGTGCATTATACACTCCAAATAGGCAGAGAATCAAAGGCCTTGTTGGAACACTAACATCTATTCAATTCCACTTTCTTCTTCCTTTGGATGAATATGTTCGTAGCTTTGAGATTGTTTTTACTGATACAAGTTCTGACATTTCTGATTTAGGTACAGAAGATCAAAAGTAAAGGCCAGTTGGAAAGTGAATTGCAGATGAAAACCATGGAAACCCAATATGAAAAGCAAATGTGACATGCCAGGCCAGACCAGTAGGTGGTGGTCTTTACTAGCCTGAAGACTCGCACAAAATTCTTCCACTGCGAATCTGGTTCTGTACTGTAGGTGGCACCATGTGCTCTTTTTAAAGGATGGGCCCCTATCTCTTAAAGGCCCTAGGATCCATGTCTACAGGGGGGGTCAGCCAGTCACTGGGACGACAACCCAACTTGAGATGGGGGAGAGGATTTAGCGGGTGGAATATTGGAGGACAATTAGAGGTTTACTTAGTCGCAGCTACAGTATGCTTAACAGTGCAAATATCATGCTACAGTTATATGGACATTCAATTATCATGGTACTTCTTAATGGTAAGTTTACAAACATATATTATGCTAAGTATAATGAAAACTTGTATCTCATTACGGTAGGTGGTGAAATAAGTATAACCAGTTATAATTGTAATGGCTTAGCAGATAATAAGAAAAGACGATCAATATTTACCTGCTAAAAGAGAAGGAATATAATATATATTGTTTACAGGAAACTCATTCTACACCTTTAGACGAAGTTGTATGGAAAAGGGACTGGGGGGACGAAATATATTTCTCCCATAGGCAAAGAAACTCGAAAGGGGTGATGATATTAATTAACAATCATTTTGATCCGAATGTGCAAACAGTTCAAACAGATACGCAAGGAAGGTGGATCCTTTTAAATATGCAATTGGACCATAAACATATTTGGCTCATTAATCTATATGGTCCAAATAATGATGATCCACGCTTCTTTGAAAATATATATAATAATTTATCAAGCTTAATTTATGACTCAATTATTATGGTGGGAGATTGTAATACGGTTTTAAGTACCTCAATGGACCGTAAAGGAAATCACACTACAAACTATCACCCTCATGTATTTAAGGAAATTACAAATATTATGGATATATTGGAACTAGTGGATATATGGAGGCTTAAATATCCTGACCTAGTGAGATATACATGGCGGAGGCTCAATCAAGCTAGTCGTCTTGACTACTTTCTTATGTCATTTTCGCTGGCACCAAAAGTTTAAAAAGTGTTAATAGGGGACAGAATGTGGTTGGACCATCAAATAATTGGTATACACATTACTCTTACAGAATTTCCGCAAGGGCGAGGATATTGGAAATTTAATCAAAGCCTACTGGATGACAACTTGTTTTTAACCAGGACAGAATAATGTATAACTGACTTTTTCCTACATAACATAGGTACAGCAGATTCCCTTATTGTATGGGACCCTTTTAAATGTGCCTTTAGAGGACATGGAATTCAACACTCATCTTTAAAACTAAAACAATTTAGGTCAAAAGAGTTTGTCTTAACAAAGGAAATTGAGGAAAAAAAAGAATACGTTAGACGGAAAAAACTAAAAGAAATGGAGGAACTTACTCAAGAAAGATTGAGTGTAATATATTATAAAAAAATTAAGCGAACAGGATGGAATATGTGGAAAAATGCACCAAATAATGTTTTACTCTTCAATATAGAAATGCTACCAAAAACTATTTACAGAAACATGTTACAAATGACGGAGTCATCCATGATTCACCAAACAATATTTTGAAAGAGGAAGCAAAGTACTTTAAGCATATGTTTTCATTTCAGTCTCATCCATCTCCACTAACTAAAGTTAATTGTAAGGATTTTTTTTCTATTAATAGTGTAAAATTAACAGCTATACAGAAAGACTCATGTGAAGGCTTCATGTGAAGGCAATTAAAGCCTTCAAGTATGGGAAAACTCCAGGGCTGGATGGCATACCAGTTGAGGTATATCAAAGGTCTGTTATCAACATGTTTTAACCACTCCTATAAAAATGGTAGACTATCAGATACTCAGCAAGAAGGTCTGATTTCATTATTACTGAAACAGGACCCAAGTGGTAAATATAAAGATCCAGTCCACCTAAAAAAACTGGAGAACACTTACACTTCAGTGTTGTGATGCCAAAATCCTAGCAAAATGCATAGCGCATAGAATTAAAAAGGTATTGTCGGATATTATTCATCCTAATCAGACTGTTTTTTTTACATGGACGATACATTGGCGATAATATAAGACAAGTACTGGAAACAATAGAACACTATGAAAAATCTAGGAAACCAGGCCTGCTATTCATAGCAGACTTTGAAATGGCATTTGATAAAGTACGACTGGAGTTTATATATAAATGCCTGGAGCATTTCAATTTAGGAGAATCTCTTATAAAATGGGTTAGAATCATGTATAGTAACCATAGGTGTAAAATAGTAAATAATGGCTATTTCTCAGAAAGTTTTAAAGTGTCAAGAGGAGTAAAACAAGGTTGTCCACTATCGGCATATCTATTTATTATGGCCATCAAATGTTAGCTATTAAAATCAGATCCAACAATAATATCAAGGGGCTAGAAATCCAGGACTTAAAAACAAAGGTGTCATTGTATGCTGACAATTCATGTTTTCTTTGAAATCCGCAATTTGGATCCCTGCACAGCCTCATAGAGGATCTAGATAATTTGTCTAACCTCTCTGCATTAAAACCAAAGTATGATAAGTGCACCATATTACGTATTGGATCTGTATAGTTTACCAAGGATAACACCTGTCTATTTGTGGAAAAATCACCCTGATTCATTCTTTAGGCATATCCCAGTTTACCTATTTACTTATGGCCCTACCTACACCTAACGACTTGTTTTTTAAATGATATGAGCAAAAAATATTTCACTTTATTTGGAACGCCAAGCCAGACAAAATTAAACAGGCCTATTTATATAAAGAATATGAATTCGGAGGGCAGAAATGATTAAATATTAAAGCATTGGACCTCTCACTAAAGGCTTCAGTCATACAAAAAACATACTTAAATCCGAACAGGTTCTCTAGCACATCAGTAAGTATAGCTCACCCCGTGTTCAAGAATGGCCATTCAGATTACAACCTCTCAATTTCAGTTATTTGAAAATGAAATTATCTCCAAAATATCGCTATTTTTATAACAAGCTATAGAAATATGGTTGCAATTTCAGTTTCATCCACCAGAAAATACAGAACAAATATTAAAAGAAATATTATGGTTAAACTCAAATATACTAATTGATAAAAAATACAATATATTTTGGAAAAATGTTTTAAAATGGTATAATCTTTGTAAATTAAATCATTAATAGGACTGGTGGAGTTGTGTCACACATGCAGTTCACAAAAATATATGGAAATGTCTCCTCTATCCAATATTACAACCAACTGACTGCAGCATTACTGCAGAAATGGAGGAGGCAATTGGAAAGGGGAGAAGGTAAGGAACTTGTCTGTCGGCCCTGCATTAAAGACCAAAATAGGATAAAGAAAATTGTGATAAATAAAAAAGTATCCCGTTTAATTTAAGGACCAAAAAATTCGCATCAGCGCCATACAGGTTGCAAAATAGTTGAGAGGAGATTAACGATGTACATGGCACATGGTTTATGAACTGATACACAAAACGACGCCGGATTCCAAACTGACCAAGGCCCTTCTCCCCCAATTGCTCAGTTTGGCCGGGCGGCCAGCTCTAGGAAGAGTCTTGGTGGTTCCAAACTTCTTCCATTTAAGAATGATGGAGGCCACTGTGCTCTTAGGGACCTTCAATGCTGCAGAAATGTTTTGGTACCCTTCCCCAGATCTGTGCCTCGACACAATCCTGTCTCGGAGCTCTACGGACAATTCCCTCGACCTCATGGCTTGGTTTTTGCTCTAACAAGCACTGTCAACTGTGGAACCTTATATAGACAGGTGTGTGCCTTTCCAAATCATGTCCAATCAATTGAATTTACCACAGGTGGACTCCAATCAAGTTGTAGAAACATCTCAAGGATGATCAATGGAAACAGGATGCACCTGAGCTCAATTTCGAGTCTCATAGCAAAGGGTCTGAATACTTATGTAAATACATTATGGGGTATTGTGTGTAGATTGATGAGGAAAATGTTTTATTTAATCCATTTGATAATAAGACAGTAACGTAACAAAATGTGGAAAAAGTCAAGGGGTCTGAATACTATCCGAATGCACTGTATATAGTATGTATAAGCTGGAAGTAGAAGCCTAAGTATTGTTGTCCATTAGTTTACTCCAATTAGGGGGTAGGGTTAGGGGAAAAATAATAAAGGGAAATATATTTTAAAAATATTTACAATAATATATAGATTTACAAAAAAATATATGTGGGGGATTGGAAATGATGCAGACAATTATATTGCTTGAATCCACAATCTATCTGAAATATTAAAGCTGATATACCCCTAAAAATATATATATATAAATATATATAAATACAAATTATTCCGTTGCTCTGTCGTTCGCTGCATACTTTAGTCTGAGACTGCCATCACTGAAGTCATTTGTGGTGACGAGGCGCAACGTCATCAGCAATTGGATTGTCTCTAACCAATCAGAATATCAAAGCCAATGACGACCTTTTAAACTGCCGCTTTACCCACCTGTGTTCTGGCTCTGGCCCAACCCATCGGTTTCTGGACCAATCAGACCACCCCGAATGCGTTCGCATTCGGTGAAGGGTCGGGGAGGTTCTCAGATCCAGACTCAAGAAACTAACATCCCTGGGCATGGCATAGCGTTTGGCCGGAGCAAGGAGTCTGGGTAGCCAGGCAAGCTCTTTACTCCACCTCTGATAATCATGACTACATTACAACAACCATGTTCGAGGAGAGTGAGACTAAGCCTAAAATTATCCAGTCATAAACTAGCTCATTAAACTACCTTATAAACATCTACATGTTTATACGCCCCCATTCTCATCGACGGGGCTGTAGTGGAACAGGTTGAGAGCTTCAAGTTCCTTGGTGTCCACATCACCAACGAACTATCATGGTCCAAACACACCAAGACAGTCGTGAAGAGGGCACGACAAAGCCTATTCCCCCTCAGGAGACTAAAAAGATTTGGCATGGGTCCTCAGATCCTCAAAAAATTCTACAGCTGCACCATCGAGAGCATCCTGACTGGTTGCATCACCGCCTGGTATGGCAACTGCTTGGCCTCTGACCGCAAGGCACTACAGAGGGTAGTGCGTACGGCCCAGTACATCACTGGGGCAAAGCTTCCTGCCATCCAGGACCTCTATACCAGGCGGTGTCAGAGGAAGGCCCTCAAAATTGTCAAAGACTCCAGCCACCCTAGTCATAGACTGTTCTCTCTGCTACCGCACGGCAAGCGGTACCGGAGTGCCAAGTCTAGGTCCAAAAGACTTCTTAACAGCTTCTACCCCCAAGCCATAAGACTCCTGAACAGCTAATCATGGCTACCCGGACTATTTGCACTGCCCCCCCACCCCATCCTTTTTACGCTGCTGCTACTCTGTTAAGTATTTATGCATAGTCACTTTAACTCTACCCACATGTACATATTACCTCAACTACCTCAACTAGCCGGTGCCCCCGCACATTGACTCTGCAACGGTACCCCCCTGTATATATAGCCTCCCTACTGTCACTTTATTTTACTTCTGCTCTTTTTTTCTCAACACTTTTTTTGTTGTTGTTTTATTCTTACTTTTTTTGTTTAAAATAAATGCACTGTTGGTTAAGGGCTGTAAGTAAGCATTTCACTGTAATGTCTGCACCTGTTGTATTCGGCGCATGTGACCAATAAAATTTGATTTGATTTGATTTGATGTTATCACAAGGTTACTAGTTCAACTGCATTCTTTGTCATCGGTGATAACTTACAATGTGGATGAATGTGTAATATAGCACCTGCCTACTACCGGCATGTGTGAAATTCATCCTACACAGTGCTGCAGAGTGGAACATGTTTTTTGAACATTTACTATGGAGAGAATTACTGCCACATCAGAAAAGAGGCATGTTTTCATTTCAGCCAGTTCGCACCATCCACCCTGAATGAGTGTGTTTCAAAATCAGCACAGAGAACAGAAAAGACGCAGTGTGTTTATGAGGTAGTTATATTATAGGGTGTGTAAAACAGGTGATATTTGGGTGTGGGTGTGTGAAAAACAAACTTGAAATGTTTTTATTCTGCGTGGGTTTCTGTGTTATCTGTCTGCAATGCACTTGTGGGAATGTGTTTGGGTGTTCACGTGTCTGTGTCCTCGTGTGTGTTGTTGTTAACCACACTCATCCTGTGTGTGTAGAGCCACTCGCATGGGAAATGTTGTTCTCCACCTCAACACTTTCTCTTTCTCGCTCTGTCTCTCTCCATTTTTCTCACAGTCTTCTCCTACAGCCTCTCACAGCTCCCTCCCGCCTACTGCACAGAGAGGTGAGAAACGAGCACTCCATCCACTCCAGCCCTCTGATTTGATAGGACCCTTAAAAATCACTACAGGGGTTCTCAGCTGTCACACACACACACACAATAATACACTATTGCCTGTTTCACATGTTCAGGTTTCCAGCTGCCACCTATCCACTCAGTAATGTGCTGCCATGAACTGCCAACATCACACATTCTCTTACACAGAACCAGGCCTTGTGAAGTCAGTGTGTCTGCCTGAAGGACAGTATCATTTCAATATATACTGTCTAACTGTGTCTCTCCCCATTAACTGTGAAAGGGAAATGGAATGAAATGAGATCACCAGAGGGTTTATTTGAGTAAAGAAAACAGGATAGGAACTGCGGTATTGGTTACAGTTCTAGACACTACTTTCCTTTAGTTCCCTTCACTAAATTGCTCTCGGGTCAGATCGCTCTGCTCAAGCTCCCATTTTTCCTTCATCCATTATTCATCTCTCCCCAGTGTATCTCTGCCTCCATGGCAAATGGGTTTCCACAGCTACATGGGTGCACAGCTTTACACATGCACACACACAGGCTTACACTCCCACAAGAACACACCTTCACACACACAAACAACAGAACAACCACCCCAAAACACACATACAGTGTTCAGCATAGAATAAAATGACACATAGCTTACTGTGTGGTAAAAATTAACTGGGTAAAATTAGAGGCATGGAGCAGAAAACTATTCGGAGTCTACTGAGGCAAGTGTAAGCTTGATATCCAGGACAACCATGCTAAGATTCAAATGTAGAGCAGAACAGTTCCCCACACTCCCCAGTGCAGAGAGATGAGAGAGGAGTAGAGAGAAGAGATGAAACAGGAGAAAGAGCAGACGAGAGAAGCGAGAGTGGAGGAGAGATAAGAGGAGAGAGGAGATAAGAGGAGAGATAAGAGGAGAGATAAGAGGAGAGAGGAGATAAGAGGAGAGAGAAGAGGAGAGAGAGAAGAAAGAGAAGAGAGAGGCAGCTGAGGCAGTAGAGCTGTCAATGCACCCAGGACCTGGAGCTCCCTCTGCAGAGCCATTGATCACCCAGTTAACAAGAGGTGCAGTAAATCAGCAGACACACAACATAGAGATAGAAAAGAGAGAGAGAGAAAAGAGAGAGAGAGAGAAAGAGAGCGAGAGAGAGACAAAGAGACATAATGTGATCCAACACAACACAATGCACCAGACACATGCACTGTATATGTCAGCAGAGGTGTTGTAAAGCTGTATGGCACAGTAGACAGGTAGACAGACAGAGCGAGATGGTGTTCTTTTTTTCCTTTTATACTTTCATCTATTGTCATCTCATTGAAAAAGCAATCTATAGACTAATTGAATGTGCTTTTGTTATGTTCCTACTGCTTGTGTGTTATTCTAATGTTCATATTAAAAGTGATGTGGTTTTGGTTTGCAAATCTATAGTGGAATGTGATCAAAATGAATCATTGATGTCATGGTTACCCTGGTGGGATGGCTCCTCTAGCAGTGCCCATGGAAATGCGCTGGGTGCCCGGCCGGTTCAGGTTGTTCTGCCCGTTGATGATGACATGGTGGCCGTGGGAGTGTGCATGGGTGTGGGAGTGGCCATGTGCGGGTGGAAGGGACGGCAGTGCTGGGGAACAGGGGAAGTTGGCACTAGACAGGGGCGACTGCACCTGTTCAGCTTTAGCTTGGCCACCTCCTGCACTTATGTTGTTATGCTGTATATTGTTGCTCCCGGCACCGGAGGTAGGGGACCAGAGGGTGGTTCCGGCGAAGGTGTTACTCTGCCGCACCACAGTGGGCGTGCCTGTGGCCCCTGTGGCTCCTGTGGCCCCCCCGTACAGCTTACGGCGCTGAGAGGCCAGGATGGCGTTGGAGGCGGCCCGCGTGCTGTTGACTAGAATGCACTGCTGGCAGGAGCAGGGTTGGCCGGAGCTGGCGCCCACAGGCCAAGACTGGGACTTGGGGATGGAGCCCATGATGAGAGGGTAGGCCAGGTCCATGCGTCGGCGCAGGCGGCGTTTCCTCTGGCTCTGCCGGTTGGTCTGGGCCATGCTGTTGAAGTCAATGAGGTAGCAGAAGCCCAGAGAGGTCAGGTCCAGCCAGGGGTGCTGCTTCTCATAGGCGTTCTGGATGGTCACACAGATCTCCATGTCGTAAGGCGTCCAGGAGCCGCTGTCGTTCTCCCACTCCCACACCACACCCTTCCCCGGGGCTGACGACGGCTCATAGAAGTTCCTGTGGACCGGCCTCATGGTGCCTGGAGGGAGAAAGAGAGAGGATAGGAGGTCAGAAGAGAGGGAACTACCGTAGATGATTCATGCATTTAAATGTATAACTCATTGAATAAATTGGCCAAGCATACTTCAAAATCAAAAAGTAACCCAGATTCTAATACGTGAAAATGATAATTTTCTTCATGTCTCTGTGTTGAGAAAGAAGAAGGGGAGGGGGAGACGGATGTGTACCTCTGCCCTCCTGCTGATGGCCACTCAGCCCCCACCTCCATTATAACACAATTACTGTGGTCACATGGGAAGTCAGGACACATCTCCCCATCCATCTCCTGCCTGCTACGCGGCACACCAGCAAGGGTATACAGGCTCTACGGCTAGGACCACCACCACCCTTCCCCCATTTAAATGTAACGGCTAAATGCACACTCCCTTGCAGTGGAGCACCGGGGTGATAATGGAAGAAGGACATGTGTGTGGTGGGGGGAAAGGCTGGCGTAAAAAAGGCTGCCATACAGCATAGCATCACTGGCACCAGAGAATAAAACGCATCAGCAGAATCAGCAGCGCTGACCTTGAATCCCTGCCGCAAACGGTGCTAAAGGACTTGGCTTGGAGGCTCATTTCATTTGGAAGGCTGCATGATAACCTCTGCACACAGACACACAGCCAGCTGCCTCTCTCACTCACCTCCCCAGGCAGTCAGTCATCCATTCCTTCATTCATTCTCCCTGCCTCAGTGGCCTATTGATTGACTTTCAATTTCATCCACACACACTCTCTTCACTCTCTCCCTCACGCATTACTTCCCATGCCTGATGTTAGGATAAAACTCACCAATTTACACTCACTCACTCATAGCTACCACTGTTTCATCCATTCAATGAGCTCACTCACTGCATCACTTATTCACTGTTTCACTCCTGACTACCATTACTCATCTAGCATGTTGATTTACAGTAGTATACCCAGAGCCTCAGGTGGGGATAGAGGATGAGACGGAGTGCACTTTAATGGTGAACAGCTTCTCTACAGAGTAGGCTTTTATCACTTAGTGTTCTCTCCTGTGGGATTCATTAACATGCAACAGACAAACACGCTCTCTTTCTCCCTGTTAGGCTGTGTGTGTATGTGTGTGTGTGTGTGTGTGTTCTCATGTCTCAGACCCAATCAATGGATGTGCAGCAGCGCCACACTCTCTTGTTAAACGGTGAGTTAACACTAGACTTATAAATATTTGATTGTGTGGAGACTTATTTGCTGGGCATCAATTCAGCTTCAGCAAGGAAAGATAAACATAGGGCCCTATAAAAATCTGTTTTATTTTTTGCCTGATTCAGTAAATAAAATTCCAAAGTTTATTTTTCTTTGTTTGTTTTTCCAGGTTTCCATTTCCCTGTTTTTTTCAGGTTTTCACTCTCAAAAACCACACTTTAAATTTATTTATTTTTAAACAACAACGCTTATGCTACATCAGAAGACCACTTTGAGGTCTGGGTATCTTTTTTTTTTTTTTTTTTTTACATTTTTGGGTGTAGTAACCCTTTAATTCCAGGCTGTTTTTTAGTGGGTGTTTTTGTAGCGCACATGTTGTTGGTAGAGTTTGCAAAACAAATACCAACTGGATTGACATAAATAATCATGATATCATTCTGCCAGGTAAGCATAAGCTACTTTGTAGTTAACATTTAATTGTGAAGGTTTTCGGGAAAGCCTTTCCATCTACCAGAAGACTTTTCATTAGCGTCATCACTAACTGCTACACAAAATGGTAGATGTGCGCATCACACATACACAGATGGGGAATTCTTGTTGCCTCTTCAGAAAGTTGCAGGAAATACGAATCACTGATGCGTTAGTGTTCATGTCTTATGATAAACTTTTGCAAATGAATTCATTTTCAATACATTTAGTTGATTCCCTACTAAGTTCAATGCATTTTTGAATTTTGTTGAATTCCGTTTTAATGTCTGGATTCTGACCGCGTTCTGTATCCCAGATTTTATAGGACCCTATAAACATTACCTTCCTTTAAGAGCCAATTAGGTATTCATATGCCCTAATGGAAGCTAATGTAGAGAACATACACAACATTGCTAAAATATATTCTATAAACGGTGACATGCCCAAACGGAGGTTTGATTGGAAATCATGTTACCCTGGTTATTACAGCTAATTACTTCAACAGGATATGATGTAGGGCCATGACATTCCCATGAGAAATCCAGACCATTAATCATATACCTCACATATAAACCCCAGGATATAACCTGTCAAAAGAAGAAACATGGGAATGTCGAACAGACAAGAGCTAACCCTCTAGCTGAGGGACTGTATCTGGTCTACTGTGCGTATTTCTATGATGAGAGAGGAGAGAGTGAAGGTCAGAGCAGTACAGTAATCACATGGAACCATAACTGGAAGCTCCACTCACATACAGCACAAACAACCTCACAGCACCTGATATGGCTGTCTGTCTCATGCACTAATTTACTGTTGTATATATAATGTTTCCAGCCCAAAGACTGAGGCTGAGTTGTTGATGCTCTCCGTGCGACCCAGCCGACCCTCTATGCTCTTCCTGACAGGAAACGGCAAGAGAGAGTGGTCACTTCCTGTCTGACCCTATGTGCCTTTGGCAGTGGTCTCTCCCTTCCCCCTAAGTCTCTCCTCTCCTCTCCCCCATCCCATCCTCCTCCCCCTCCTCATGACATCCTCCAGCTGTCCTTGCCCAACACAACAGCGGTCCCATTGGGTGTGGAAACGTGGCTGTGTCATGTATCACTGTGCCAAGCCTCACTGTGGGACTCTAACCCTAGCTCACACATGGAAAGGTGAGTTCAGGGTGAATTAAACTGTTAAGACTCTTATTCCTCTAGTTGTGGAAAACTTTGTGGCTTCCTGAAGATCTGTTCCCTCCCTGACAGAGTCTATCATTCTATCACTCTCTTTAATAGGGTTGTTTTGGTCTTCAGCTGAAGACAGGTCCTCACAGAGCAGAGTGCTAGCAGGACTGCCCCCTGTCCTCTCATCTCCCACTGACGCCAGCCTTCCCTTTCCCCTCCTGTCACTCCTGGCTAGTCACCAACTCTCTGACTAATCTTTCACATTTTCCACCCTGTCACTCATTGGCCACCATCCTGATCTTAGACAACACTCTTGTTGTCCACATTACCCAGCACTCATGCTCTCACTAGTGCTGCACTAGACAGGTTGATGATAAGCCCCTGTATGCCTCTAGATACAGGTCCATTATGTATCCTAACAATTGACAAGCTTCTCCAATTCCCCCCGGGCCACCCTGAGCTTATTAAAAATAGCTCCATGATTTCCTGTAACTACAGAGGGAGAGAGGCCAGTAACAGGTACACTGTGAGGCTGCTGAATGCTAGCTAGCTGAGTAGTATTGTAAGTCGCTCTGGATAAGAGCGTCTGCTAAATGACGTAAATGTAAATGTAAATGTATTTGTTTTATTACAGATGTAGGATCTTAATTTGAGGCAGTTTGCTACAGCAGGAAAATTATCTTGCAGCAACAGGAAATGTGAATTATTTGTGGATTATAATTACTGGACAATTTTGTAGGGGTTACTACATTTTTCATAAGGGAAAACTTCAGAAGCCTTTTTAAACCTGAAATACTGTACACTACAAGTTTGCCTGCAACAGGGTGATCAAATTAAGATCCTACATCTGTACAGCAGCCAAACTGACTGGCCAGTGGCAAACACTGTGGTGCTGGGTCAGGTGCACTCTTTTTCTCACTAATATATCATAACATAAGATTTATTATAGCTGTACCTTTCCTAAATCAGGGTTTGACATAGACAAGCTTTTCCATTTTACTGCTGTGGGATATATAGCCATTTGGTACAGTTCATCGACCTAATTTCTAACTAAATGTTTATTGGGCTGTACATCAGTTTGCACTTAAATTGATTTATTATCCTGGACACATTCTCTATGCGAATATTGTATATCAGTGAACGCAGTGAATAAACAATACATATTCCATTATGTGCTGCAACTGTATACAGGCAATAAAGTAATTGAGGTATGTTTGATGTTTTCCATAAACCCCACTAGCGCAGCTTGAAAGGAAATATAACTTTCATCTCCTGAAAAAGGCCTTCACAAACAATTAACCCGATACAGTTATGAGAGAACACACAGAACTAGGAGGGTCTCGATGAGATGAAACATCTAGGTCAAAGATCTGTTGTGAAGTAGTGAAAATACAATCTCTAGGTATGTACCAATTAGGACCCCTGAAACATATGGATGACATGCATACAGTATCAGCAAATATGTTCACAAAGTAATAAAATATACATCGTACTGAGATACTGTTATACCAGCATGTCACTAATTCGTCTGGGATCACAGAGCTATGTAATGATGATGACAGTGTGGTATCAGTAGCTGGCTTGAGAATGTTACTGGCTACAACATACTACTCCTCACCATCCTATCCCACCCAAGCTCCCTCAAACTTAATTACCCAGATCACTTTAACAAAGATAATTTCTATACTGCTGAGCCACTGTACAGTTTTGACATAATAATGCAGAGCTTAGCTATAAGGGAGCCATGGTGCTGGTAAGTAACCTAGAATCCCTACAGCAGCAGCCTTCTCTCTCTAGCTGACGTGATGGATGAACAAAGGATGAAAAGGTACAGGTGGTTGGGAGGAGAGCAAGAGGCTGGCGGGGGAGGGTTGATGATATGCAGAGAGCTTCTCTGCTAGAGTGGAATGAAATGAGGATGTCTCACTTTCTCTTACCCAGGCAAGCTTACAATGTGAATACTGCAGAGCAGCCCTCAATGACTCAGTCCTCCTAAGACAGGCTGCCAAACAAGACAAGGTAGCGGCCAGTTACAATGCAGCTACTTGTGCAGTTATGGTGGTAACAAAGACCCCCAAAAAAAACATACGTTCTCAAATTGAGTTAGTCTTGGGGTACCTGCCAGATATTGTACTGCAGCAATGCAACAGACCCCGAAACAACCCTCCAGACTGTGTGTGTGTGTCGTGACTGTCCTGTGTCAAGGTGCTTCAGCTCTGTCAAGTGTACTCTCTTTCTCCTTCTCTGCCACCCCGTTGAGTGTGTCACAAGTCGTCACTTCCACTTCACACGGCCACACAGACAAAGCCCCTCATCAGGCAGCAGGTCTAGCAGGAGCCTGCATCATTAGCACGTCACTGGGATGGAAACACAGAGCCCCACTCAACCCCGGGCCTGGGGTGCCACAAAGCCTCAGCCTGCCACTGCCTCTCCATAAGACACTGTCCAGACCTGCCACAGAGGATACAGCAAGCAGCCTTCTTGTTAGCAGAGCAGGCACTCTGCAGTACTGTACGGTGTTAAGGTGGGTGGTGGCAGTACTCTACTGTGTTAAGGCAGGTGGTGGGGGGTGGGTGGTGGCAGAACTGTACTGTGTTAAGGTGGGTGGTGGCAGTACTGTACTGTTTTAAGGCGGGTGGTGGGTGGTGGCAGGTGGGGAAGTGAGTGCAGGTGTCTGTCTGAGCCATCTGGAGACACAGTGGAGTGCTGGAGCTCAGACGCCTCTCCTCTCTATCTCTGACAGGTGACCTTGCATGTGAGAAGACCACATGAGGCTGGTGAGGATAGGATGGCTTATGATAATGGCTGGAATGAGGTGAATGGAGTGGTATCAAACACAAATGGAAACCATGAGTTTGATACCATTCCTTTCATTCTGTTCCAGCCATTACTATGAGTCAGTCCTCCCCAATTAAGGTGCCACCAACCACCTGTGGAGCAGACAGCCTCTCACTCCACTCACTACAAGAAAGAGTGACAAGGACACGCAACCCCTCCACCACAACCCTGCCTGCTCCAAGCAGTATTTATCTATGTGACAGGATGATATTTCATGTCAGCCATCAACCAGTTAGCAAGCGTGTAAGGCAGTTAAAATGGTTCACTAACTCAGCAGAAAGCCAATTGAGAGGCATACTAGTCTTTGGGGCCGTTGAGGGATGTTTGTGCACTCCCTTCTCAGCCTCAAGGGGAGCTGTACTAGCTGCATGGAAATGCAAATAAAACACAAACTAATGGTTATGAGTCAATGGATATGACAATGCAATCCCAGTGCAGTGCAGTGCAATCCTTCTGACCCTAGACGCTCATAGGTGGATTTAATCAAGCCCCAGTGAGGTGATTCAATTGCTAAGTACTGCATATCAAATAATACAATTCATTCTTGGCAAATATAGAAGATGAACAGATATAGCTGGTGTGGATATGGTGTCCTTTAGCCTCCTGTGGGATGATGCTGCTTTGGTTGAGTGGGCACGCTAGTATCCCCTGTGCTGCTGAGACAGGGTTTTTTAAACCCTCTGGTCTACCCAGCCAGCTGCCAGACAGGCTCAGTGTCTGGCCTTATCTGTGAAGACCCTACATAAAAGCAAGGTGTCACTTTCATTTCCTGTCTGTGCTGGTCAGCTTTGATCAGCTCTAACACGTCCAAGCATTCAGATGTGGTGTGAGGCAGCAGGTCAGCAGGCAGGCCAGGCCACACTGTTCCCTCTGCAGACAGATAGAGACAGAGCCGCACTGATTTATTACTGGAACAACACGGCTGAAGAGAAAGATTCTAATGCACTCTTTTCTATGAACTTTGCAACCTACATCCACTGGAAATGTCTTGACACTGCAGCCTGTTACAAACAAATGGATGTTGGTGTCTTTAAAAAAAAGATGAATGTTTAAATTATTCCATGTTGTTCCGATCTGGTGTATGTTACAATTATTCCATTTTGATACAAAAAGGTATCTGTCCTGCATTAACTCTCTCTTCTGAGCCAGCAGGGTGTTTAGAGAAACAGGACAAGCTCAACCAGGTCTCCTGAGAATGGGAGAATGTGCTTGTTGAGGCTAAAAGTCATATTCAGGCTCTAAATCAGGGACAAGTCTTCTATAGGAAGTTGGTGTAGGAGGTGTAAGAGGCTTCACCCAGCTTTAGCCAGAACACAAGTCCAGAGGGCTTCATCAAAGGGTAAAGCAGCGTAACAATGTTACCTAGAGATGGGGTCAGAGCCTTTGGAGAAACTCATTTCACAAATCCAAAACCGCCCAACAAGATTGGAGTATCTGTCCATAGGACGACTTTAAGCCGTACACTCCACAGAGCTGGGCTTTACTGAAGAGTGGCCAGAAAAAAGGCATTGCTTAAAGAAAAAAATAAGCAAAAACGTTTGGTATTCGCCAAAAGGCATGTGGGAGACTCCCCAAACATATGGAAGAAGGTACTCTGGTCAGATGAGACTAAAATTGAGCTTTTTGGCCTTCAAGGAAAACGCTATGTCTGGCGCAAACCCAACACCTCTCATCACCCCAAGAACACCATCCCCACAGTGAAGCATGGTGGTGGCAGCATCATGCTGTGGGGATGTTTTTCATCGGCAGGGACTGGGAAACTGGTCAGAAGGAAGGAATGATGGATGGCGCTAAATACAGGGAAATTCTTGAGGGAAACCTGTTTCAGACTTCCAGAGATTTGAGACTGGGACGGAGGTTCACCTTCCAGCAGGACTCTGACCCTAAGCATTCTGCTAAAGCAACACTCGAGTGGTTTAAGGGGAAACATTTAAATGTCTTGGAATGGCCTAGTCAAAGCCCAGACCTCAATCCAATTGAGAATCTGTGGTATGACCTACCTAATTTCTACCAGCATGTTAAATGTGCAACCAGAGGAAAAAAAACTCTAGACCACCTTTACTCCACACACAGAGACATACAAAGCTCTCCCTCGCCCTCCATTTGGAAAATCTGACCATAACTCTATCCTCCTGATTCCTGCTTATAAGCAAAAAATAAAGCAGGAAGCACCAGTGACTCGGTTAATAAAAAAGTGGTCAGATGACGCAGATGCTAAGCTACAGGACTGTTTTGCTAGCACAGACTGGAACATGTTCCGGGATTCTTCAGACAGCATTGAGGAGTACACCACATCAGTCACTGGCTTCATCAATAAGTGCATCGATGATGTCGTCCCCACAGTGACAGTAGGTACATACCCCAACCAGAAGCCATGGATTACAGGAAACATCCGCACTGAGCTAAAGGGTAGAGCTGCCGCTTTCAAGGAACGGGACTCTAACCCGGACGCTTATAAGAAATCCCACTATGCCCTCCGACGAATCATCAAACAGGCAAAGAGTCAATACAGGACTAAGATTGAATCGTACTACACTGGCTCTGACGCTCGACGGATGTGGCAGGGCTTGAAAACTATAACAGACTACAAAGGGAAGCACAGCCGCGAGCTGCCCAGTGACACAAGCCTACCAGACGAGCTAAACCACTTCTATGCTCGCTTCGAGGCAAGCAACACTGAAGCATGCATGAGAGCACCAGCTGTTCCGGATGACTATGTGATCACGCTCTCCGTAGCCGATGTGAGTAAGACTTTTAAGCAGGTCAACATTCACAAGGCTGCAGGGCCAGACGGATTACCAGGACGTGTACTCCGAGCATGTGCTGACCAACTGGCAAGTGTCTTCACTGACATTTTCAACATGTCCCTGACTGAGTCTGTAATACCAACATGTTTCAAGCAGACCACCATAGTCCCCGTGCCCAAGGACTCTAAGATAACCTGCCTAAATGACTACCGACCCGTAGCACTGATGTCTGTAGCCATGAAGTGCTTTGAAAGGCTGGTCATGGCTCACATCAACAGCATTATCCCAGAAACCCTAGACCCACTCCAATTTGCATACCGCCCCAACAGATCCACAGATGATGCAATCTCTATTGCACTCCACACTGCCCTTTCCCACCTGGACAAGAGGAATGCTATTCATTGACTACAGCTCAGCATTCAACACCATAGTGCCCTCTACGCTCATCACTAAGCTAAGGATCCTGGGACTAAACACCTCCCTCTGCAACTGGATCCTGGACTTCCTGACGGGCCGCCCCCAGGTGGTAAGGGTAGGTAACAACACATCTGCCACACTGATCCTCAACACGGGGGCCCCTCAGGGGTGCGTGCTCAGTCCCCTCCTGTACTCTCTGTTCACCCATGACTGCATGGCCAGGCACGACTCCAACACCATCATTAAGTTTGCCGACGACACAACAGTGGTAGGCCTGATCACGACAACGATGAGACAGCCTATAGGGAGGAGGTCAGAGACCTGGCCGTGTGGTGCCAGGACAACAACCTCTCCCTCAACGTGACCAAGACAAAGGAGATGATTGTGGACTACAGGAAAAAAAAGAGGACTGAGCACGCCCCCATTCTCATCGACGGGGCTGTAGTGGAACAGGTTGAGAGCTTCAAGTTCCTTGGTGTCCACATCACCAACGAACTATCATGGTCCAAACACACCAAGACAGTCGTGAAGAGGGCACGACAAAGCCTACTCCCCCTCAGGAGACTGAAAAGATTTGGCATGGGTCCTCAGATCCTCAAACAATTCTACAGCTGCACCATCGAGAGCATCCTGACTGGTTGCATCACCGCCTGGTATGGCAACTGCTTGGCCTCCGACCGCAAGGCACTACAGAGGGTAGTGCGTACGGCCCAGTACATCACTGGGGCCAAGCTTCCTGCCATCCAGGACCTCTATACCAGGCGGTGTCAGAGGAAGGCCCTCAAAATTGTCAAAGACTCCAGCCACCCTAGTCATAGACTGTTCTCTCTGCTACCGCACGGCAAGCAGTACCGGAGTGCCAAGTCTAGGTCCAAAAGACTTCTCAACAGCTTCTACCCCCAAGCCATAAGACTGCTGAACAGCTAATCATGGCTACCCGGACTATTTGCACTGCCCCCCCACCCCATCCTTTTTACGCTGCTGCTACTCTGTTAATTATTTATGCATAGTCACTTTAACTCTACCCACATGTACATATTACTTCAACTACCTCAACTAGCCGGTACCCCCGCACATTGACTCTGCACCGGTACCCCCCTGTATATATAGCCTCCCTACTGTTATTTTATTTTACTTCTGCTCTTTTTTTCTCAACACTTTTTTTGTTGTTGTTTTATTCTTACTTTTTTTGTTTAAAATAAATGCACTGTTGGTTAAGGGCTGTAAGTAAGCATTTCACTGTAATGTCTGCACCTGTTGTATTCGGCGCATGTGACCAATACAATTTGATTTTATTTTGATTTGATTTGAGATTGCTGTACACCAGCGGAACACATCCAACTTGAAGGAGCTGGAGCAGTTTTGGCTTGAAGAATGGGCAAAAATCCCAGTGGCTAGATGTGCCAAGCTTATAGAGACATACCCCAAGAGACTTGCGGCTATAATTGCTGCAAACGGTGGCTCTACAAAGTATTGACTGGGGGGGTGAATAGTTATGCACGCTCAAGTTTTCTGTTTTTTTGTCTTGGATAAATGCCAAGGGGGGTGCATACTTTCGCAAGACACTGTAGGAGATTCCAGAGTATGGGATAACTGTCTTCTATCTGTTATAGTCTTTAGCCTACACTGGTGCGAACTGTAAGTATTGTATTTTCAGTACAGTACAGTAAATGTATCATTACATATAGCTACAGTTGAAGTCGGAAGTTTACATACACTTAGGTTGGAGTCATTAACACTTGTTTTTCAACCACTCCACACATTTCTTTTTAACAAACTATAGTTTTGGCAAGTCGGTTAGGACATCTACTTTGTGCATGACACAAGTCATTTTTCCAACAATTGTTTACAGACAGATTATTTCACTTATAATTCACTGTATCACAATTCCAGTGGGTCAGAAGTTTACATACACTAAGTTGACTGTGCCTTTAAACAGCTTGGGAAATTCCAGAAAATGATGTCATGGCTTTAGAAGCTTCTGATAGGCTAATTGACATAATTTGAGTCAATTGGAGGTGTACCTGTGTATTTCAAGGCCTACCTTCAAACTCAGTGCCTCTTTGCTTGACATCATGGGAAAATCAAAATAAATCAGCCAAGACCTCAGAATTTTTTTTTTGTAGACCTCCACAAGTCTGGTTCATCAGCAATTTCCAAACGCCTGAAGGTACCATGTTCATCTGTACAAACAATAGTACGTAAGTATAAACACCATGGGACCACGTAGCCGTCATACCGCTCAGGAAGGAGACGCATTCTGTCTCCTAGAGATGAATGTACTTTGGTGCGAAAAGTGCAAATCAATCCCAGAACAACAGCAAAGGACCTTGTGAAGATGCTGGAGGAAACAGGTACAAAAGTATCTATATCCACAGTAAAACGAGTCCTATATCGACATAACCTGAAAGGCCGCTCAGCAAGGAAGAAGCCACTGCTCCAAAACCACCATAAAAAAGCCAGACTACGGTTTGCAACTGCACATGGGGACAAAGACCGTACTTTTTGGAGAAATGTCCTCTGGTCTGATGAAACAAAAATAGAACTGTTTGGCCATAATGACCATCGTTATGTTTGGAGGAAAAAGGGGGACGCTTGCAAGCCGAAGAACACCATCCCAACCGTGAAGCACGGGGGTGGCAGCATCATGCTGTGGGGGTGCTTTGCTGCAGGAGGGACTGGTGCACTTCACAAAATAGATGGCATCATGAGGAAGGAAAATGTTGTGGATATATTGAAGCAACATCTCAAGACATCAGTCAGGAAGTTAAAGTTTGGTCGCAAATTGGTCTTCCAAATGGACAATGACCCCAAGCATACTTCCAAAGTTGTGGCAAAATGGCTTAAGGACAACAAAGTCAAGGTATTGGAGTGGCCATCACAATGCCCTGACCTCAATCCTATAGAAAATGTGTGGGCAGAACTGAAAAAGCATGTGCGAGCAAGGAGGCCTACAAACCTGACTCAGTTACACCAGCTGTCAGGAGGAATGGGCCAAAATTCACACAACTTATTGTGGGAAGCTTGTGGAAGGCTACCCGAAATGTTTGACCCAAGTTAAACAATTTAAAGGCAATGCTATCAAATACTAATTGAGTGTATGTAAACTTCTGACCCACTGGAAATGTGATGAAAGAAATAAAAGCTGAAATAAATCATTCTCTCTTCTATTATTCTGACATTTCACATTCTTAAAATAAAGTGGTGATCCTAACTGACCGAAGACAGGGAATTTTTACTAGGATTAAATGTCAGGAATTGTAAAAAACAGAGTTTAAATGTATTTGGCTAAGGTGTATGTAAACTTCCGACTTCAACTGTAGTATCCTCTGAATAGCTAGGGAGGATGCTTATTCTTTCTCAAATAAAGTAAACAACTTTGGATGCATTTACCAAACGAAAAAAATACATTATTCTGAGGGAAAAAAGTATCTAGGTCATTCTTATGCAGATAATTAGATGTTCAAGAGGCTATATTGATTTACACTGAGCATAAAAAACATTAAGAACACCTGCTCTATCCATGACATAGACTGACCAGGTGAAAGCTGTGATCTCTTATTGATTTGACTTGTTAAATCCACTTCAATCAGTGTAGATGAACGGGAGGAGACAGGTTAAAGAAGGATTTTTAATCCTTGAGACAATTGAGACAAGGATTGTGTATGTGTGCTATTCAGATGGTTAATGGGCAAGACAAAATATTTAAGTGCCTTTGAACGGGGTATGGAAGTAGGTGCCAGGCGCAGCGGTTTGTGTCAAGAACCACAACGCTACTGGGTTTTTCACGCTCAACAGTTTCCCCTGTGTATCAAGAATGGTCCACCACCCAAAGGACATCCAGCTAACTTGACACAACTTTGGGAAGCATTGGAGTCAATATGGGCCAGCATCTCTGTGGAACGCTTTCGACACCTTGTAGAGTGTGGGGGGGGGTGCAACTCAATATTAGGAAGGTGTTCCTAATGTTTGGTATACTCTGTGTATATTTCATGAGATGCAAGACAAAGTCCCCAAGGGAATACAATAAAGTATAACTAAATTCAATGTATGCATTTGATCAAAATATTTAAATAATTGTATTATTCATCATATGTAAATGCCCATGGTAATGTTCCATCTAACAGATTGAGCTGCAATGTGTGATCTTTGCCTTGCTTCAGATCTATCGTCTGTTCAGGCGTCCATATTAACTTGGAAACCATCTGCAGTGAAAACCCACACACATTTCAACCAGAGACAATACATATCTCTGCTGTGACCCCCACTCCCTTTCACATTGACTAATGTCTCACAGACTGATAGCCAGCGTGAGGGAAAGAAAGGTAAAGAGGGATTGGCTATTTCTTTGCCTGAAGACAATTCACCTTGAGACAGTAGTAACAAACCCCCTGAGAGTGTGTTAGCTGTCATTATTAATGAGACATCTGGAAAGTGAAGCCGCTCGATGCCCCATTCAGGATCGACAGCACAGTGCTCCATGTGCCAAGAACACCTGGCCAATATTACTCACCTCACAGGCTGCGGCAGGATGTTTCTCCTGCTGGCCAGTCATAGGACTTGGAGTGTGACCAAGAACAGCGATTTAGCAGCACTTACAGGTGAAAGAGAGAAAGACTGAGATGAAGGAGAGAAAAGGAGAGAGGAGAGAGAGACTCACAATGATATTCTGCAGAGTGGCCATGATGCAAACACTCAAAATAAGTGATTGTAGTTCCATGGGTGGATGGGAGGGAGGGAGGAGTCAGTGTGTGTGTGGGAGTGTGAACCCCGGGTTGTCTGCCAGGTGTGTATCGTACCTCCCCTGGCTTGTCGCAGTCATCCCCACTCTCATTTTCATTAGTCCCTGGGACTGACAGCCTTTGAGGCTTTGAATAAATGATTCCCACACCAAAAACTTGGCAACAGACAGACTGCACAAGGCAGACCTTCAAGCCTCTGGGGCTTGGAAAGAAAGTATGCAGAAATAACACCAACAAACACTCCTACACCAATACTTAATTTCAAAGTGCCAAACAATTAATTATGTTTGTCTTTACCTGCATGAAAAAATACTACAGTACTTACTATAGAATTCTATAGTAAACTGTTGTCACGACTTCCGCCAAAGCTGCCCCCCCCCCCTCCTGGTTCGGGCAGGCTTCGGCATTCGTCGTCACCGGAGTACTAGCAACTGCCGATCCCATTCTCATCACTCCACTTGTCATGTCTTGTCAATCACACACACCTGGTGCTCATTCCCCTAATTAGTATGTGTATAAGTGTTCCCTCTGTTCCCCTTGTCTTTGTGAGTGATTGTTTTGTTGTGAGAGCGTGTAGCTCGGTTGAGCTACATTTCACTGTGTTATTGCCAAGGTGGATGTTTTCCCTTGTATAGTTTCGTTTGACGCTTGGGGCGTTTGATTTATGCAAACGGATTAAACTCTGGACTTCGGTATTTTACCTCCTGCGCCTGACTCCTTCTTTCACACCTCGTCACAACTGTAGTATACTGTAGTACTACAGTAATGTTCGCAAAAACACTACAGTCCGCAAAAAACACTACCATTTTTTAACTATAGTAAATAAATACTACGGTATTACATTTTTATACAGTTGAAGTCGGAAGTTTACATACACTTAGGTTGGAGTCATTAAAACTCGTTTTTCAACCACTCCACAAATGTCTTATTAACAAACTATAGTTTTGGCAAGTCGGTTAGGACATCTACTTTGTGCATGACACAAGTCATTTTTCCAACAATTGTTTACAGACAGATTATTTCACTTATAATTCACTGTATCACAATTCCAGTGGGTCAGAAGTTTATATACACTAAGTTGACTGTGCCTTTAAACAGCTTGGAAAATTCCAGAAAATGATGTCATGGCTTTAGGTACCACGTTCATCTGTACAAACAATAGTACACAAGTATAAACACCATGGGACCACGCAGCCGTCATACCGCTCAGGAAGGAGATGTGTTCTGTCTCCTAGAGATTAACGTACTTTGGTGCGAAAAGTGCAAATCAATCCCAGAACAACAGTAAAGGACCTTCTGAAGATGCTGGAGGAAACAGGTACAAAAGTATCTATATCCACAGTAAAACGAGTCCTATATCGACATTACCTGAAAGGCTGCTCAGCAAGGAAGAAGCCACTGCTCCAAAACCACCATAAAAAAGCCAGACTACGGTTTGCAACTGCTCATGGGGACAAAGATCGTACTTTTTGGAGAAATGTCCTCTGGTCTGTTAAAACAAAAATAGAACTGTTTGGCCATAATGACCATCGTTATGTTTGGAGGAAAAAGCGGGAGCTTGCAAGCCGAAGAACACCATCCCAACAGTGAAGAACGGGGTTGGCAGCATCATGCTGTGGGGGTGCTTTGCTGCAGGAGGGACTGGTGCACTTCACAAAATAGATGGCATCATGAGGAAGAAAAATGTTGTGGATATATTGAACTAACATCTCAAGAAATCAGTCAGGAAGTTAATGCTTGGTCGCAAATGGGTCTTCCAAATGGACAATGACCCCAAGCATACTTCTAAAGTTGTGGGAAAATGGCTTAAGGACAACAAAGTCAAGGTATTGGAGTGGCCATCACAAAGCCCTGATCTCAATCCTATAGAAAATGTGTAGGCAGAACTGAAAAAGCGTGTGCGATTAAGGAGGCCTACAAACCTGACTCAGTTACACCATCTCTGTCAGGAGGAATGGGCCAAAATTCACACAACTTATTGTGTGAAACTTGTGGAAGGCTACCCGAAACGTTTGACCCAAGTTAAACATTTTAAAGGCAATGCTACCAAATACTAATTGAGTGTATGTAAACTTCTGACCCACTGGGAATGTGATGAAATAAATAAAAGCTGAAATAAATCATTGTTTCTACTATTATTCTGACATTTCACATTCTTAAAATAAAGTGGTGATCCTAACTGACCTAAGACAGGGAATTTTTACTAGGATTAAATGTCAGGAATTGTGAAAAACTGAGTTTAAATGTATTTGGCTAAGGTTTATGTAAACTTCCGACTTCAACTGTATACCCTGCCCATTTCCCTCCCCCATGTTGCAATTTGTGCCACCCATAAGTGAGAAACCTACATGCCAAGTATAAACCATATTGTGTTCCCTACAGATTATAGAAAAGAGCAGAAGCGCTAAACCGTCTGTTCAGACCCCAGTCCTACCTACCTACAGGTTATAAAAAATGTGCTCTTTTAGTATCTCCAGTAGGTTTTCTGAAGGATAAAGCCTCCACTTATACGTCAAAGATAATAAAACAAAAACACTATAGTAAATACTACAGTAATGTCTGCAAAAACACTTTAGTAAATACTACAGTATACTACAATCTGCAAAAACACTACATTAATTACAATAGTATATACTACAGTTTTATTTTACTACAGTATTTATATGATAGTTAACTGTAAATACTACAGTATACTACAGTAAATGCCACAGTATTCCCTGTAGTGTTTTTGCAGACAAACTTCTGCAAAAACACTACAGTAAAGTCCGCAAAAACACTACAGTGAATATTGTAGTATTTATCCGATAGTATACTATAGTATTTTTTTCATGTGGGTAGGTGAGAGCTGATGTAAACTCTTGGCAGTATCATCCATTTATTTCCATAATGATTCAAAACATAAAACAGCACCAATATAAACTTGGTGTCAGTTTGTCATTACATCTATTCAATCATTAAAGCCTCAAACTAAGCTCTGCTTTCTCAGCTTTGCAGTGCAGAATGCACACAGTGTGGTGGCTGAATAGTGCGTTCTACAGAGAGGGAAGATTGGAACCAAAATAAAAGGCCCATGCTGAGATCTGTACTGTGAGTGATCAAGGGGAGCCATGTGCTCCAAGCTAGCTGTGCAAAGCTCCCTTAATACAGTCAAACAATGCTCTTTCTGCACTAAAGACCACATACCCTACTGATCAAAGACACCACTGCTGACTTAACATTCCTCTGCCACCTTTAACATAACAAGTGTCTAACTATCGTTTTGTGCTGCTAAGCATGAGTGTGCTGTATGGCTGAAATAGAGACCTGTGAGCAGTTTACTCTGCACAGTTGGATTCATTAGAGCATCTGTTACCATACTTAATTAATAGTTAACTTCATCAATCATGTTCTGTGACTGCACAGATCAAAGATATACCTGCTGCCTTTAATCTTAGTCCATGGTGGGTCATAGTCTCAAAGTACCTGAAACCATTTATCATGCAGGCTGTACATGGGCACATACAAACCTTACCATCAAACACCCACATCTACAGACCAGGTTTTGTATGGGCGCTCTGGAGTTGAACAAACCTGACTACCCCCATTAGCACATTGGTCCAGCTCAAACATAAAAACATTAGTCCAGCCCACTATTTTAGGGCACCCCAAGAGTCAACCCCGGTACTCACAGTTTAACCACCAGTGTCCCTCTGACACCCAGAAGATGGTGATAGATTAAACCAGGCAGCAGAGAGGGAGACCCTAATGGAGTTGTTTAGCGGGAGAGAGGTGGGTGGGCCTGGTTTAATCATAATCACAGCAGTGGTGAGTGAGTGAGAGTGAGCGTGAGAGCGAGAGAGAGAGGGGGGGGGGGCTCTGATCTGAGTGACCTCCTTGACTGGCCCTGATAAGGGAAGCACTGGCGGAGAGCAGCTTTAAAAGCTGTTGGCTCGATGAAAGAGAAAGATATCCACCTCAGAAGTTAAAAGTGGTGACTCATCGGATTAGAGGTTGAGAGGATGGAAAGATGCCCTGGGTGTCTAACTGTGCTTCTGTGTGTGCCAGGCTGCCAACCCAGAGCAGCTGCTACCATGCCCGGTGCCCAGCCCGCTCACCTTAATCACTTAGGGAGGACGTGGCCACATCTCAGACTGTCTCCTCCTCACAGGACCAATTCCAGAACTACAAACACTACAGCCCCAAGGTCCAGGAAATAAGAGCGCTACAGGGTCACTTTCACCAAGGAGCTGGCGGATGGCCTGGTCTGGACACTGAGCTACAAGTACAGTAGTAAGCTACTACCTCTCCAAGCTGCTAGAGAGTGTTACAGTACCACAGAGCTACATGTCCCCATTCCAGAAAAGGAACCATGACGTGGTGATGGAGATCAGGAGGCTAGGACAGTACTTGTTTGATTCTGAAATAATCAGCCTTCATAAACAGTCTTTCTGTTCCATATACAGAAATGCTGTATAGCCCCCTCAAGTTAGAATGTGATCCTGTAAATTGTATTAGAGCTTGCAGTACTTTTGCATTGATGTGACCTAGACAAAGACAATGGCAAAATAATAAACTAACGTTCTGAAGGACCAGATGAGGTGGAAAACTGACTTCTATCCAGAGTGAACAGGGGAGGGTGGAACTGGAAAAAAGAGAGGCGGGATAATGGATAAAGAGAGAAACAGAGAAAGAGAAACAAAGAGAAAGGAAAAGAGATGGCAGGTTTGGGAAATCACACCTGCCCTGTGCACATCTCAATTTCTTCCCTGTGTTTCTGTCTGGTTTTTGTGTTTGTGCTCCCCTCTTTCATGACGGTCACTATACTATACACTGAGTGTACAAAACATTAGGAACATCTTCCTAATATTGAGTTGCACCCCCTTTTGCCTTCAGAACAGCCTCAATTCATCGGGGCATGGACTCTACAAGGTGTTGAAAGCGTTCAAACAGGGATGCTGGCCCATGTTGACTCCAATGCTTCCCACACTTGTGTCAAGTTGGCTGGATGTGCTTTGGGTGGTGGATAATTCTTGATACACACGGGAAACAGTTGAGCGTGAAAAACCCAGCAGCATTGCAGTTCTTGACACCCTCAAACCGGTGCACCTGGCACCTACTACCATTACCCGTTCAAAGGGACTTAAATATTTTGTTTTGCCCATTCACACATACACAAGTCTCAATTGTCTCAAGGCTTAAAAATCCTAACCTGTCTCCTCCCCTTCATCTACACTGATTGAAGTGGATTTAACAAGTGACATCAATAAGGGATCATAGCTTTCACCTGTGATTCACCTGGTCAGTCTGTCATGGAAAGAGCAGGTGTTCCTAATGTTTTGTACACTCGGGGAACACTCCACCTCTCTATGTCTGTCTCTTTTCTCTCAGGATCTCCCTATCAGTCCTCAGCTCCTCTCTGCACCCTTCTCATAGGCTTTTGCTTCGTATGCTTTGTAACTAAAACTTCTCTCAAATACGGGGGGTGCAAGTGCTTTTGTGAGTTCACTTGGGAGCATACCGTAGCTTTTGATGAATTTACTTAATCTCAGTTTTGGATGTAATGACTGTAAACCATGACACCAGTGTTCATTAGAAGATAGGAATATTATTTATCTCTCTCTCACTCAACAATTGAAACACTGTTGTTGTTTTATCTAACAATGTGTAGAACATCAATATAACTCCATTGTGTCACTCAACAACATGCCTGCCTTGACAGGGAGGGCATCACACATTCAATCCGTATTGCTGACACACACACACACACACACACAAACACGCACCACCCCTCCCACCGCATCCACTTTTAATCCTTCAAGTACATAAACAAGCTCTCCCTCTCCTCCTTCCTTTCAGGTACACAATAAAACTGTACTGTATTATTGTGTACATGATTTACATTTATTGTGTGCAATTTCCAATAAAACAGAAATTCAGAGAGACAGAACAAGTAATAAGTATGAATGACAAGAATAGGTAGGCCTATACAGGAAATGACAAGAATAGATAGGCCTATACAGGAAATGAGAAGAATAGATAGGCCTATACAGGAAATGAGAAGAATAGGTAGGCCTATACAGGAAATGAGAAGAATAGGTAGGCCTATACAGGAAATGAGAAGAATAGGTAGGCCTATACAGGAAATGAGAATAATAGGTAGGCCTATACAGGAAATGACAAGAATAGGTAGGCCTATACAGGAAATGACAAGAATAGGTAGGCCTATACAGGAAATGAGAATAATAGGTAGGCCTATACAGGAAATGACAAGAATAGGTAGGCCTATACAGGAAATGAGAAGAATAGGTAGGCCAATACAGGAAATGACAAGAATAGGTAGGCCTATACAGGAAATGACAAGAATAGGTAGGCCTATACAGGAAATGACAAGAATAGGTAGGCCTATACAGGAAATGACAAGAATAGGTAGGCCTATACAGGAAATGACAAGAATAGGTAGGCCTATACAGGAAATGACAAGAATAGGTAGGCCTATACAGGAAATGACAAGAATAGGTAGGCCTATACAGGAAATGACAAGTATAGGTAGGCCTATACAGGAAATGACAAGAATAGATAGGCCTATACAGGAAATGACAAGAATAGGTAGGCCTATACAGGAAATTAGAAGAATAGGTAGGCCTATACAGGAAATTAGAAGAATAGGTAGGCCTATACAGGAAATTAGAAGAATAGGTAGGCCTATACAGGAAATTATAAATATTAAATGGTCCTCCTAATTGAATGGTCCTGTATCTCTTAGATCCAGCCAGTTTTCCTTCAGTTCAGGACAGAAGATTGATGGAGTTAGCCCTACAAAGGGCCCTCTGCAAAACATACACATAGCTTTCCTAATTCACATGTACTCCTTTATCTTTATTCTGCTCTGCTCATCCTTCCTGTTCACATGTGGGTCAATAATGTTTTGATTTCAAATGGTGATGGCTGAGGGCCAAGTCATACCCAACCTGTAGCACGTAGCAGGAATCCTTCTCAGAACTCCAGCCCACACACCACTGAAACGACTCCCCCCACACACACCGCAGGCTAGTAAAGAAATCACACACCGCCCTCCTCCAACACACCTGCAGTACACACACTCAGCAAGATGCCGTCAACAGCAATAGAACCAAGACTGCAGCTACTGCCGGTTGTCATCTACACATGAAAATGGAAAGTGATAGCTTTATTTTTCTGCCAGTCTATCTTTTTCCACCACAGGCAGTGTGGTGGTCACCAACCTGTTTTGAATTACTCAGGAGGAGGATTGCAAGCACAGAGAAAACAGGTCAGAGGAGAACAGGTTCTCACGCATGCATTACCAAAACAAATAGGGGAGGAGAAACAATGCACGTCACTGGCCATAGCAACGGAACAGAGCCACTCTGATAGAGTTTATCTCTGTAGTCTGTCACACACACTAGAATGCCAGACCAGCAACCCACACTGTGGCCCTCTGTAAATCTCACTTAGTAGAAAATAATGTCATCACCTAAGAGTGTTTGTGAAGAACACTGAGTAAATAATTTATCTGAAGGGGGATATATATATATATATATAATAATTATATAATGTCTTTATAGTCACAGCATAACATGAAGTAGTCACAGGTTCTACATTTTGATTTGTCATAAGCTGCTGTGGGTTTCAAGCGTGTTGATTTCCATGTAAAATTACATCTCATGGGATGAAATTACAAACAACAGTTTGTGTGTGTCTAATGTCATGTTCTGCATATGTAACAGTCATGTTACTGGCTTCTCTACATTGGCTTTCCATCATCAGGAGAATGAGAGGTAAACAGTGGAGAGGTAGCACTGAGGTTATGCATGGCAGTGTGAACCCTATCACTGGCCAGTGGCAGGGAGAGTGTTGGGGTACGATAGAGATGGCTGATAAGCCCCTGTGTTGCGCTATGGGAGTGGGTGGAGTGAAAGGGGATCAGTCCACAGCAGTGTTTAGAGGTTGAAACACCCCTCTGGGGAGGGGAATGGATCGATCCACTTTGGATATGAGCCAACCCATCCCCAGCCTCCAGCCAGAGATTCTTCCACAAACTAGGCAGCCCTGTAATCCTGTGCGCACGTACGCACTCCAATTTTTTACACTTCACCATAGACTGGTATCTTCTCTTTCCAAGCCCGTGCTGAGCTGAGCGTTGTGTATCCCGTGTTTAGAATGGCGGTAGCATGCAGATGTTTCGGGCAGGCTCATAGAGAGAAGGGCCCTGCTGCACAGGTTGTGGTGTGTGCTGCTGCCGTCATGCTCCACTGATTACAGGGAGAAGAAGAGTTCAAATAGAGCTGCTGCTGTCTCATTCGGGTTGTATGGGCTTGGTGTGTGTGTAGGTCTACGGTCTGGATCCCACCATAGGCGGTCCGGGTTCGCCCAAAGCCACAGGAGACTGTCCAGATCCCTGAGAGTGTGCAGAGAGGACACACACCACCCAACTGACAGAGCACTCCATCACTCACACTCCTCCTAGGACACCATGGACACACAAGCGTAACACAACCCTGCTCAGGGCCAGATTACCAAACGGGCACGCAGAGCACATGCCCCGTGGCCCCCGACCTCCAGGGGGCCCCAACCCCCTCCTACAGAAAGAAGATGATGAGCACCCTGAGGGGTACTTTAAAAAAAGAAATTGGCCTCATATCAAAAACAGTACTCAACTATCAAGAAGGACACGCTAGCTTTGGTACTGGCTCTTCAGCACTTGGAGGTTTATGTATCGGTCTCTACCCCTATGGTGGTCTATACCGATCACAACCTTCTCGTTTTAATGCAAAAGACAAGCTCCATGAACCGCCGACTCCTTCATTGGAGTCTCATATTGCAGGATTTTCCCCTTGAAATCAGACATGTCCGTGGTAAGGACAACTTGGTTGCTGATTGTCTTTAACGGTGGGAAGTCTATACGTTTTGTGTTTAGCCAGTGTGTATCCTGGCACACATTTTGTTTTGACTGCAAGTTTTTCTGTATTGGAGTTAAGTGTTGTTTTGGTTGAGCTCGTTCCAAGCGGATGAGAGTTATAGAGACGTACAACATTTGTATTTTCAAAACGTCTGAGTTTAGGCTACTATAAATAAATAAAAAGGAAAGAAAAATAAGGAAATTAGTATAAAAAATAGAATATTAACACAAAGAAAAGTGGTTGTTTTGTCTTGTATGAAAGACCGCCAGTGTTTATTGGTTTATTTTGGAGATAAAAAAATTAAAAATACATCCTTTATCTGCTCTTCCCTGATTTCATTTTGCTCCACTTTTTGGTTTGCTTCCTGTCTTTAAGTTTGGTGTGGATTTTATTTTGTTTGCCTCTTCTTGGGCAAATTTAGTGGGTGCTCATGGTGGGTGTCTTTTAGGTCCCAGTAGTTGTTGCTAGTCAACTTTCTCTCAGCCTCATGACAAAATGTGTAGAATAGCAGGAAATTTGCTTTAAAACTGCAACATTTTAAGTCGGTGCCCCAGGGCCCCAAATGCGGTAGTCCAACCATGACCCTGCTGTTTCCAGCTTCTAGCTCCATCCACAGCTGCAGTAGACAGCAGCACCACTGGCATATTAACCATGGTCTTCCACCAGAGGTACAATCTGAGGCCCTGCAGCAGGCTGGTTGATTGTGGTTTTGCGCCTGTCCTTCACACAGCAAACATCCACTGTAAACAAATGTATTGAAAGCCATAAAAAACAGATCCGAGGCCACGGTTTCCCATTCCACCGTTCATGTAAATGGTGGTCATGCATCAATATCACATTGCCTCTCACCAGGGCCCTATATGAAGACAGATCAATAGGACAGCCATAGCTGCAGGAGCCTATCACAGTTTTTAGAAGGTGGAGGAGGGGGGTCAGGGATGGGTGTCCAGGATGCTGTCCGTCAGCACCTGTTGTGACAGTTTTATCCCAGCTGAGGGGGAAGGTAACACGGAGAACAGCAAAATGAGGAGCGATAAACGTCAGGCCCAGGCCCAGCGCCATGGTAATGGCTGACAAACGGTTGGCTGGCTCCTCTCTCTCGCTCTCTCAGCAAACCAGTCTCAGACACATGTGCAGCTCTCTATTCTATCAAAGGACACGACGACAAGGACAGCAGAAATCACCCACAGCACTTCCTTAGGCTTTAGGCAAGTGTGACAGGCAGCCATGCTAAGATACTGCCTCGTCACATTCACACCAGCTAACATGATTTCACCCTGGCTATCAATAGAAGACCAATGACTATGAATCCAACTGAACAATTCATTTCACCTCAAAGTAACATTTGTTTTGTTTTGCCAATCCTCATAAGCTACACAGCATATAGGATAATAATAATGTTTTGCTTATACTGAGTGACAAATGCACCAGCTAGTAAAACTCTATGAGATATCCTTCCCTTTCTCTCCTGCACTCTCTCTGACACGGTGTCATGTTCTATGCCCTGTTAATATAGAAGTCTGGCCATTGGGACATAGAAGGTTCATCAATTAATTAATCACTATGAGACATTCATTGTTCAGGTGAATGAGCCTGCGAGGCTAATTCAGGTGTCAAAGGATTCTCTATAGCTGACACTGAACAGCTTTCTGAGACCTCCCCCGCACGCATGCATCCTCAACACACTGTGGCAGCAGGTACATCTAAAACTCCGAAAAAACTCAGACAGGAACGCTTTGATAATCTTAGGCAAAAACACCTTCATATCTGAGAAGTAAATGTGTCCAAGCAACAGAAGCAACACAGGCAGGCAAATGAACACCTTAGTGGAATACATTTGTAAGCTCAATGACCAAACAACCTATAGGGGGATCAGAAGCCTAGTATGTTTCTGTTGATTCTTGCTGGGATTGTGTCCTTTGGCACCAAGTTTTCTTAGACAAATAATAATAATAAATATATATATATTATGTTTTTAAATTGTTGGACATAAAAGACTGTAAAAACACCAGGAAATCAGCTCCAATTGATTGTAATTTTGGAAATCTGTTCCAAACTATTCCACACATAACAGAGATACACACTGAGTGTACAAAACATTAAGAACACCTTCCTAATATTGAGTTGCGCCCCCCCACTTTTGCCCTCAGAACAGCCTCAATTCGTCGAGGCATTGACTCTACAAGGTGTCGAAAGCGTTCCACAGGGATACTGGCCCATGTTGACTCCAATGCTTCCCACAGTTGTGTCATGTTGGCTGGATGTCTTTTGGGTGGTGGACCATTCTTGATACACATGGGAAACTGTTGAGCGTGAAAAACCCAGCAGCGTTGCAGTTCTTGACACAAACCGGTGCGCCTGGCAGCTACTACCACACCCCATTCAAAGGCACTTAAATATTTTCTTGCCCATTCACCATCTGAACGGCACACATACACAATCCATGTCTCAATTGTCTCAAGGCTTAAAAATCCTTCTTTAACCTGTCTCCTCCCCTTCATATACACTGATTGAAGTGGATTTAACAACTGACATCAATAAGGGATCATAGCTTTCACCTGGATTCACCTGGTCAGTCTATGTCATGGAAAGTGCAGGTGTTCATAATGTTTTGTACACTCAGTGTATGTGAATGTATACAAATGAAAGCAAGGTTTAAATGATTATGTTTTAGTCAAGTATTATATCTGTTTGGGCTTCTTGTGGTCAATTTGCCGTCTACAAATTATTTGTAATTATGTTCCGGCCCCCTGACCATCTGCTCAAGAAAACAATCAGCCCGCGGCTGAATCTAGTTGATGATCACTGATCTATAGGATATCTCTATGCTGTATTTCTAAGGGTATCTCTATTTACTAGATGGAGTCAATGTCGCTTTGCTCATCATAAATGATCATAAATGTTTGATAGGTTTGTACCAGAGAGTGGCAGCACTGTGAGTACTGGTAAGAGGCAAGAAGATGAAGCATGAAAATACAACATCAAAACCAAACATGAAAAATTATTATCTTTCACATTGTTATTTTCTGACAGAAAATATAATTTTTCTGTTTTATGGCGCTGGAGAGAGTGAGGATTACAGCAGTCGCTCACTTGAAATGCTTGGCTGCCTCATTCACAATGACCTTTGGCAAGGTCATGACATTAAAGCTGTGGCGTAGAAGATTAGGTAATGATTAAGGTGGTTACTAAACTTGTTTTTAATCTGATGAGCATTAATGGTCATCTGAGTGCTTCATCTTCTGTTGTAGCAAAGATACCCACCTCAACCTGTGGTTCAGATAGGTCCCAGTACATTTGGATCTCTCGCTCGACTTCCCCAAGGAGTTAAATTAGATTTGTTGTACGGCAAATACAGAAAAAGATGCACATTCTTCAAGGGTGGTTTCCATATTAAGTTGTTGAGCTAGGTTGCAAAGAAAATGAACACCATAATGGAAGGGTCTATTGGCTAAGAATGAACATTTGAATAATATGTACAGCATGCTGTGGCATGAACTGCACCTTTTACATTGTTAATCTATTCTACCATTGAAATTCATAATGGGGAAATACAGTTATATAAATGTCTGTGACCCCACATGCATCACATGATGATGATGATGAACGACACAGGTGTTTTGACTGGTTCTTACCTGTGTCCTGTCTAAACTGGTGCATGGACTGCAGGTCGATGATGTAAGGGGCCAGCTGGGCATCCACCTGTCCAAGGACCACAGTCCCCCGCGCGTCACCCTTCAGTACGTTCTCTATGTGGTGGCACGTTGCCGCGCTGTAGGGCCGCCAGCGCCCATGTTCGTTCAGCCACTCCCACACCACCACCCGGGCCAGGTTCTGAGGAGGGTACCCCAGCCCGTTGACCGACACCAGCACCCCAGAGCCTGGGCGTGCCATTGTCCCACTATGGTAACCGTGGTTCAGCTCCTGCTACTACGGTACAAGAAGACCACTGCTACCCAGCAGGCCACCAGAGATGCCCAAGCATTTGTTCTTCTTTTTTAAAACAACAATTAAAACTTTGATGTCAGCAGTCACTCTGATAGTCCTCAGTCAAATGGTGGTGTTTCCAGGGCACGGGTCCGGTGGAGTCATCTGGTTCACTTTGAAGAAACTCACTGTCATTGACTTGTTCTTTAATCAGCCTCTTTTTGAAATGCCAAAAGCAGCTAAGCTCCCTCTTCTTGTGGCTTGATGTGTTTGAAGTGGCAGATGATGTAGATGCTGATGCTGATGAGCCTTGCAGAAGCATACAGCCGGAGAAGTCTCAGAAAACCCAAGCAGATGAACATGGGATATACACTCTAAATCAGACAGGAGACAGGAAAGAATGACAGAAAAAACGGACAGAAAATGCACATTGGTAGGATTTGTCCTGAGCTGACTTTGAAACGAAATCTTACCATGTCTTAACTAAAAGGAAAAATGGCAACAAAAACATTATGATTTAAATACATTCATAGGATACCATCAATATTTGCACCACAGTGTTATTAGCCCATAATAAGCATACTGTTCCAGGAGCCTATACGTTGCATAGCTATTTGTAGGTAGTATGGTGACACAATGCATCTGCTAGCATATCAACAGCAATGTAAGGATAATGGGGGGGTGGGTGGGGGGGGGGGGGTTCGTTTGAGATTTATTTACTAGATCATATTTCTTCATTCTTCATGTGAACGATATTCCTCAACGGTATTCTACAATATTATCGAGGTCTCTTTTTTCGATACAGGTTTTGCATCCTATTCAGCTCTCAAGTGTTTATGTGCTGAATATAATTATATCTTAATCCAACACATACTAGGCTACCGAGATCTTTAAAAAAAAACATATATAAACTATAGCTACGTCCAAGCACAATTCTGGCTGGACTCGATAAACCATTGTAATAATAATCGAGGTTTTGTTCTAATCCCGTCGAGTTTGCATTTATTGCCTATCTTGGTCGGCAGACAGACCTGTAGGTTGTGATCGAGGCGAATGTAGCCTATTGCAGATTCATGCAAAACACAGGCGCAAATCAAATCATAGGTTGTGATCTAGTATAATGCAGGACTACTTACAAAAATGTGTATTCGATTCTTCAGGACAGTAGAGTTATTCAAACCTGTGATATTTCCTCCCTTAAAATTACAAATAAAAATACATTTCAGATGATGAATTGCCTCACAATCAAGCACTTTCCGTTCTATGCATCTCAGTTTATCTGAACTCCGACAGCCTGCTATGGATAAACAATAAAACGCATGCCCCAATTACAATCACCCGAACGTTTGAGGTGCGGAGCCATTCTTGCTATAGGACTGGTCTGGTGGTTTCCCCCTTTGATGTATTAAATGAATTCGCTCATAAACTGAACATGCAAAAATTGTCCAAAATTACGCACAAAGGTCCACGAGCACCTGTGATGCTGACCAAGAAAATATCTATTACCTTGGCTACGCGCGTAATCGCGATGCGTTGTGGAAAAATTACAGGAAGATGTTGCATCGCTGAAGTGAAAATGAGACGACGTTGAACAGTCTATTCTAAAAACAGCAATAGATTGGTAATGTGAATGAACGAAATTAAGTATATTATTTATTCATAAAATAAATAAAAAATCCTTGCATGAAATAGGTCATCTTCAACGCTTTGATTTGAGCGCTTCCTTTGAATTTCCTTAGCCTACATTCGGTAGACCCAAGCAGAGACTGGGAGAAAAGCCTGCAGTGTGTGCATCACAGCACTGGACTGTTGCTCCACAACTCTCAGTAGCATCGGCCTGGAAGATACAAAATATATGAGATAAAATAGTAAGCTATAGAGATAAACCTAACAGAAAGCACCAGTTTCGCGGCAGAGTATACTTCTACACATTACTTTTGTTAAGAACTTCACTTTATCATAGCGAACTTGACTTTATTATATGCTCGCCACTTTGATGGCAGCGGTGGGATTATCTCTGGTCTCCGTTAGCTCCTCTTAACTGCGTGCGCTCTCTCTCGCTCTCTATCGTGTAACCTACTAACGTCTCTGCCAAGAGGTCTGGATCTGTAGGCCTATGTCAGGAGGTTGTGTACTTGCTTTGTAACCCTATGGTTACATGGTTCAAGCTCTTACCTGGCTGTGTCTCCTCAATCACTAGGCCTTTGTTCTATCCCTAAATGCCTCATTTGGTCTTTTAAAATAAATGTTTGGTGTTGCCAGTCTGTACTGATTGTATAGTGACATCTTGTGTCTAGATATGGAAATATAGGCTAGAGGTAAACACTTCCACGAGTAATTCAATTGGATTGGTCCTAAGTAATGCAATATGATTACATTTATTTCACTCATCAAGAATTGTAAATGCAGAGTTTCCCTGTTAAAAAAGGCAGACAATTTCTTCCATCCCATAAGCTGTCTTTCTCCACATCTTTCAACCTTCTTTGATCAAATCAAAATTTATTTGTCACATGCGCTGAATACAACAGGTGTAGACCTTACAGTGAAACGTTTACTTACAAGCCCTTAACCAACAATGCAGTTGTCTTAGGTCAGTTAGGATCACCACTTTATTTTAAGAATGTGAAATGTCAGAATAATAGTAGAGAGAATGATTTATTTCAGCTTTTATTTATTTTATCACATTCCCTGTGGGTCAGAAATTTACATACACTAAATTAGTATTTGGTAGCATTGCCTTTAAATTGTTTAACTTGGGTCAAACGTTCCGGGTAGCCTTCCACAAGCTCCCACAATAAGTTGGGTGAATTTTGGCCCATTCCTCCTGACAGAGCAGGTATAACCGAGTCAGGTTTGTAGGCCTCCTTGCTCACACAAGCTTTTTCAGTTCTGCCCACAAATGTTCTATAGGATTGAGGTCAGGGCTTTGTGATGGCCACTCCAATACCTTGACTTAGTTGTCCTTCAGCCATTTTGCCACAACTTTGGAAGTATGCTTGGGGTCATTGTCCATTTGGAAGACCCATTTGCGACCTAGCTTTAACTTCCTGACTGATGTCTTGAGATGCTGCTTCAATATATCCACCTAATTTTATTCCTCATGATGCCATCTATTTTGTGAAGTGCACCAGTGCAGCAAAGCACCCCCACAGAATGATGCTGCCACCCCCTGTGCTTAACGGCTGGGATGGTGTTCTTCGGCTTGCAAGCGTTCCCCTTTTTCCTCCAAACATAACGATTGTCATTATGGCCAAACAGTTCTATTTTTGTTTCATCAGACCAGAGGACATTTCTCCAAGAAGTACAATCTTTGTCCCCATGTGCAGTTGCAAACCGTAGTCTGGCTTTTTTATGGCGGTTTTTGAGCAGTGGCTTCTTCCTTGCTGAACGGCCTTTCAGGTTATGTTGATATAGGACTCGTTTTACTGTGGATATAGATACTTTTGTACCTGTTTTGTACCAGAACTGGGAATGATTTGCACTTTTCGCACCAAAGTACGTTAATCTCTAGGAGACAGAACGCGTCTCCTTCCTGAGCCGTATGACAGCTGCGTGGTCCCATGGTGTTTATACTTGCGTACTATTGTTTGTACAGATGATCATGGTACCTTCAGACGTTTGGAAATTGCTCCCAAGGATGAACCCGATTTGTGGAGGTCTACAATTTCTTTTCTGAGGTCTTAGCTGATTTTTTTGATTTTCCCATGATGTCAAGCAAAGAGGCACTGAGTTTGAAGTTAGGCCTTGAAATACATCCACAGGTACACCTCCAATTGACACAAATTATGTCAATTAGCCTATCAGAAGCTTCTAAAGCCATGACATCATTTTCTGGAATTTTCCAAGCTGTTTAAAGGCACAGTCAACTTAGTGCATGTAAACTTCTGACCCACTGGAATTGTGATACAGTGAATTATAAGTGAAATAATCTGTCTGTAAACAATTGTTGGAAAAATTACTTGTGTCATGCACAAAGTAGATGTCCTAACCGACTTGTTAACAATACATTTGTGGAGTGGTTGAAAAACAAGTTTTAATGACTCCAACCTAAGTGTATGTAAACCTCCGACTTCAACTGTATACACAGGGGGTACAGGTACCGAGTCAATGTGCGGGGGCACTGGTTAGTCGAGGTAATTGAGGTAATATGTACATGTAGGTAGAGTTATTAAAGCAGTTATTAATGCATAGATAATAAACAGAGAGTAGCAATGCAAACAGTCTGGGTAGCCATTTGATTAGATGTTCAGGAGTCTTATGGCTTGGGGGTAGAAGCTGTTTAGAAGCCTCTTGGACCTAGACTTGGCACTCCGGTACCGCTTTCCGTGCGGAAGCAGAGAGAACAGTCTATGACTAGGGTGGCTGGAGTCTTTGACAATTTTTAGGGCCTTCCTCTGACACCGCCTGGTATAGAGGTCCTGGATGGCAGGAAGCTTGGCCCCAGTGATGTACTGGGCCGTACGCACTACCCTCTGTAGTGCCTTGGTTGCATCACAGCCTCGTATGGCAACTGCTCAGAGGCCGAGCAGTTGCTATACCAGGCAGTGATGCAGTGATGCCATACCAGGCAGTGATGCAACCAGTCAGGATGGTCTTGATGGTGCAGCTGTAGAACCTGAGGATCCATGGCAAATCTTTTCAGTCTCCTTAGGGGGAATAGGTTTTGTCGTGCCCTCTTCATGACTGTCTTGGTGTGCTTGTACCATGTTAGTTTTTTGGTGATGTGGACACCAAGGAACTTGAAGCTTTCAACCTGCTCCACTACAGCCCGTCGATGAGAATGGGGTGTGCTCGGTCCTCTTCTTTTTCCTGTAGTCCACAATCATCTCCTTTGATACAACATGGAGCCCTTTTCTGCCTAGAAACAATACATAGAATATGTAGTAGATAGACTAGTTGGGCCAGTCCTCTTCTTCATAAATAACCTAGGGATTGAAGTTGTACTGTAGAGTATGATCACTTGTTTATTACATCTCTTGCCTCTAGAAGTCACTCATGCTCTGCTTGTCTGTTTCACACATCCATCCTTGGCTCGCCATTGATTGTCTGTGAAAAGATGACCCCTGCTGGCTGTAGAGCAGACTCCTGGAAAGAGGATATTCGAATGAGTGGTGACAGAGTGCATGCATATGTCACGGGCAGAATCTCCCACGACACTGATTTTAGTCGCAGGCAGGGCTACCTCGTCATGAGACCGTGAGCAGACTCACGTCAAGTACACACAGGTGGGATCTGAACCCGTCTCCTGCTTGGGAAAACCAATCTCTTAACCATTAGGCCAAGAGGAAATGTTCTCATGGGCAGAGGGTGACACAGATTTAAAGTAGCAAGCAGGGCTGTCCATGTCTATGGCAAACCTGATGATAGAGTTTGTGGAAACTAGTTGTTTTCATTTAGACATAGAAAGACGATATCCCACACATTATTACCAATAATAGACCAAATCTATATGAATGGACAAATACCTACTTTAGATTACTTGTGCTATTATAATAACAGTACCATGACAGTGTGACAATGTTCGTCTTCTTTTGTTCACACCCTGTTTCAATAGCTGCAAAAAAAACGGTGCTATTAATTACCTGTTTCACATCCTATGTCCACTGGAAGCCTGAAACTTCAAGCAGTTTATGCTTCAGATTCTTCCAAGGTTCTGGTTCCAGGCTTCGCTGACGTGGTGAAAGCCTGTGACAGAGGGTCGATTCTTCCCAACACACACCACATTAGTAACAAAAAGGACTGCTTTATTATATTGTCATATACATAGTCTTCAAGGACCAGTAAGTGTGATGTGAGAAGCATGACAATAAGTGCTTATGCCACTTTTCGATATTTGAGATGTATTTTTCTATATTAAAAGTAAAACATCCAATAAACCAATAAAAACATTTCATCACATATTTACAGATATCATCAAGGACACATAGGTCAGACAGTTGTGTGTACATTATGTCTTAGAAATGCCCATGACGTACCAATTAATTTGTATGATAACTTGCCAATTACCAATTAATTTGTGTGATTTGTTCCTGTTAATGTATTGACATCACAAGATGAAAAACATTCAGGGAGTATTAGTTTAATAAGTTAACTTCTATAACATGTAAGTAGCTGCAGACTTTATATAGCTTGTTGATCTGACTGGACAGTATTGCTGACCAGATGAAGTATGGATAACTTAACTGTAGTAGTAACCTTGACGATGTGTATTGGATTCACCAGGTAAGCAGGCAATAATGCAGATGTTTGGCGGAGAAGTTTATGTGCACGATGTAAGATGGAGTGAGATGAGAGACAGTGCAAAAAGGACAGGATGTGTAAGTCACATGGGTTTCAAAACAAAACATTTGGCATGCTTACAGTAGTCCGTTTCTACAAATTAAAAACGTTTTTTGAAGGAGGACCATGAACAAAGTGCCATTTTTCTTTTTTGTCTGTTTTCCATTTTACTTTCTTTTGCTCGTTGCAGAATTGCATAAAAAGCAGCCGATTATACAGTAGTTGATGCTCCTTCCCGCTCTTGTTGTGTGTCAGTGTTAAACTGTTCTGTCCGCCCCGGATCGCTTCCTCACCACCTTGTCCCCATTGACCTGGTCCACGGCCAGTATCTCCACCTCTGGCTGAGACGGCGCCAGTGGAGGGGTGTTGTGGTGGATGCGGTGTGCCACGCCCACGTGTGCTCGGTGCTGGCGGTCCCGTGCCGGGCTGTGGCGGGGGCTGGAAGAGCGATCACAGGCGATGGGGGGGATGACGGCTGGCCGGTCTCGTACCATCTGCAGATCAGGCGTGTCTCGAGCTGCCTGCAGAAAGGGGGTGGGATCGGGCATGGCGTCCACCGCCTCCCGTAGGAACATCCTCCTCCCATCAGAACCCAGCCGGTACAGCTCGGTTAACTCAGAGTGCAGCGGCTGAGACAGGCTCTTCTTCATGCGACGGCGAGGGGTCTCAGGGCCAGGCTGCCTGTCCTTGGCTTTGGGAGGGGTGGGCTTGTAGGAGCTCACAGGGCTGACGTTGGGGCTGGCCTCGGAGGAACTGCCTGCCAGGAGCTTTTTCTTGGTGGCGTGGAGCTGAGAGGTGAGGTAGGCGATGGTGCAGCCTCTCTGCTCCAGCTCTCCAGACAGGACAGCCAGTTTGTGGCTCTTCATCTTGAGCTCCTCCAGGTACTTCTTCTCCCTTTCCTTGATGGTGTTCTCCAGGACAGAGATCATGGCATTCTTCTGCTCCAGGTCCCTCAGCAGCTCAGTGTTCTCCTCCTCCTTCACCTTCAGCTGAGCCTCCAGCTCCTCACACTTACTGTGCAGCTCCCTGCAGCGCGCCTCGCTGCTGTCTGCACACACACAAACAAATCACACTGTTAGACCTCTATATGAAGATAAAATATGCACATTCACACAACCATCAGACATCTACACCCTGTTGCAACACACAAAATAGTCACACATACAGTAGCCTACTTCATTTGGATCCACAATAAAACATTGTCCATTCCTCTCAAAATATTCCATCAGGAGTACATACAAGGCTGTTTTGCTATTTGCTCTGGTAGGGCTGCCATCTGCAGTCAACATACTGTAGGCTTGTGTACAGATATAGGATCTTAATTTGATTACCCTGTTGTTGCAGGAAATGTCCTGCACAGCAGGAAATGCAAACTTGTAGTGTATTCAAGGTTTAAAACTGCTTCTAAAGTTTGTAATTTCCATTTAAAAATGTCAGACTTGATTTGCCCCAACTAAATATGTCGCAACCCCTACATAAATGTCAATTAATTATAATCCACAAAATAATTTACATTTCCTGTTGCTGCAGGATTATTTTCCTGCTGTGAGAAACTGGTCAAATTAACATCCTATATATGTACATGTCAGACACTAAAAATAAATACATTCTTGCTTGAAAAATTGCTCTTTGCTAAGAAGCTATGTGTGTTTCTTTTTGACCATTTTAATTTAAAACAATCCCAGTAAGGTAAATAATTGTTACCCAGAAATGATATTGAGATAAAAAACTGCTTCATTGGGCCTAACACACACACACACACACTGCAAATTCCAAATATGGCTACACATACTGTGCATCCAACCCTCCACCCCTCCCCCACACACACACACACAACTTGCGTATAGGTACTTTAACACTAGAACTGCTGGGCCTCGAGGAACCCCCTTCGAGCTAATGAACAGCCAATCTGACTGCAACATTCTAACAGTGAAATCAATACATTTCATATATGCTATCGCAAAAATAATAATTTGGTTGTGTTTATAAAGGTCTTAGGTAACGTTAGAATAGAAAAGCTGTATATTATTTTCATTAGTTTATGTTACTGTAGGCTACATGTAAAAACAAAAAACACCAACATTCAAGTGTGTTTGTTACAACTATGAAACAGAAAGCATGTGTTGGAACGCAGTAACAGCTTCTTTTTATAAAACAGGTTTTTGGAAATGTTTGCAAATGTATACAAAATAAAAAACTGAAAAACCTTATTTACATAAGTATTCAGACTCTTTGCTATGAGACTCGAAATTGAGCTCAGGTGCATCCTGTTTCCATTGCTCATCCTTGAGATGTTTTTACAACTTGATTGGAGACCACCTGTGGTAAATCCAATTATATAAGGTCCCACAGTTGACAGTGCATGTCAGAGAAAAAACCAAGCCATGAGGTCGAAGGAATTGTCCGTAGAGCTCCAAGACAGGATTGTGTCGAGGCACAGATCTGGGGAAAGGTACGAAAACATTTCTGCAGCATTGAAGGTCCCCAAGAACACAGTGGCCTCCATCATTCTTAAATGGAACAACCAAGACTCTTCCTAGAGCTGGCTGCCCGGCCAAACTGAGCAATCGGGGGAGAAGGGCCTTGGTCAGGGAGGTGACTAAGAACCCGATGTTCAATCTGACAGAGCTCCAGAGTTCATCTGTGGAGATGGGAGAACCTTCCAGAAGGACAACCATCTCTGTAGCACTGCACCAAATCAGGCCTATATGGTAGAGTGGCCAGACGGAAGCCACTCCTCAGTAACAGGCACATGACAGCCCGCTTGAAGTTTGCCAAAAGGCACCTAAAGGACTCTCAGACCATGAGAAACAAGATTCTCTTGTCTGATGAAACCAAGATTAACTCTTTGGCCTGAATGCCAAGTGTCACGTTTGGTGGCAGCATCATGCTGTGGGGATGTTGTTCAGCAGCAGAGACTGGGAGACTAGTCAGGATCGAAGGAAAGATGAACGGAACAAAGTACAGAGAGATCCTTGATGAAAACCTGCTCCAGAGCGCTCAGGACCTCAGACTGGGGTGAAGGTTCACCTTCCAACAGGAAACCGACCCTAAGCACACAGCCAAGACAACGCAGAAGTGGGTTCGGGACAAGTCTCTGAATGTCCTTGAGTGGCCCAGCCAGAGCCCAGACTTGAACCCCATCGAATATCTCTGGAGAGACCTGAAAATAGCTGTGCAGCGATGCTCCCCATCCAACCTGACAGAGCTTGAGAGGATCTGCAGAGAAGAATGGGAGAAACTCCCCAAATACAGGTGTGCCAAGCTTGTAGCGTCATACCCAAGAAGACTTGAGGCTGTAATCGCTGCCAAAGGTGCATCAACAAAGTACTGAGTAAAGGGTCTGAATACTTATGTAAATGTCATATTTAAATAAATTAGCAACAATTTCTAACGACCGGTTTTTGCGTTGTCATTATGGGGTATTGTGTGTAGATTGATGAGGGGACAAAAACAATTTAATTAATTTTAGAATAAGTAACTAAATGTAGAAAAAGTCAAGGGGTCTGAATACTTTCCTAATGCACTGTATTTAGGAAATGTCAAGGAAGGAGGGGGGCATGACTTTAAAAATGGCAGAGTAATACAAAAATTACATTCATGAGCAGTCCAAATGACTACTTTAGTGCTTCTAGTGTAAGTGCATCCACTGGCCATGGATTGAGTCTGTCAGTTGAAGTGAGTGAGTGGGGGAGAGGGATGGTCTACAGAGACTCATCTGCAGTGGGCAGAGAGAGAAAGAAGAGCTCCTGTCTCATATTACAGATCTGGTAGATAGCAAGGGCACAGCACTGCTCTGACCTTCATCATTGCTCTTCCTCCTCCCCTTACCACATCAACACGGCTCCTACCGCGCCTCCCCCTTACCCCATTAGCATTGATCAGGTCGTTGGCTAGGGATGCTACAAAGTATGTGTATCAGCCCACCGTTCTCTGGCTAGTATATAAAGCTATTTCAGCTGCTTAATCAGGACCGTAATGATGTCCTGAAAGGTCAGCGTGAGGGCTTAGTTACGGCTGTTTACTGACAGAGCTTTGGCCTCTGCCCATTGTTAACAGTGTTTCTGTAGTACTGGCTGTATACTGAATATCTAACAACATCACATTGATTGCTATATTTTCTACCCATTCCACAGATCCCCTGTGATTCATGTTCAATTCCTATTTGAGTCTGTCTACTATGTGGTCAAATCCCAGAGTTAGACCTCTGTGGTTCTACTGCATGCCCTTGGTCAGTTCTCCTGTGTATTTAATTTAGACTTCTGTTTGATTCTGTGACATGTCCATGGTAACGTGGGGGGAGGGGCTGTGCTGTGAGCTTGACAGTGAGCTGACAGTGAAAGGAGGACAGTGCCCTGAACAGCAGGGGGTCCCGGCCGCAGCGCACTGCTTCCTGGGTGGGAGAGTGTTACCAGGATACAGCACCAGCCTTATGCTCTCTAACATTCCCAGGGCTAAGACATACAGAGGCCTCTGTTCTGTTCTGCTGCAGAAAGTCTTATTTATAGCTTTGCAGGTTTTAGTACCTGGGCTGTTCATGGGCACTGCCACTGTTTTCAAACAGTAAGTGTGAAGGCAAGCAGAGACTGAACTATATGTTGAGCGATTCTTAGGCTACATCATTTCATTAACAATATAACTGCCAGTACGATAGTTTGCAAAGGCACTGAAAATATATCCATTTAATTTCTAAAGTTTACCAATCAAAGTTAAATCAGTGTCAAAGAGAGTAACTACAAGTGGTAAAACATCAATGGCTTCATTCCATGTCTCTGTCTAACAGTGTACTATACTGCCAGTGCCGACATTACTTACACAATGACAGCAGAGTCAAGTCAAAACACAGAGAGAGAGAGAGAGAGAGAAAGGGTTCCCACAGAAATACATCTAGAAAAATCGTGAGAAAATTAACTGCCCCTGCCCCAACCCTATTTCCCACTGACTGGATCACACCCCAGTAAAAAAGTAGTAATCTCTCAATAACTATGCTATTACTATGTAATAATTAAGTATTTAAAAAGTCAGGCCAATTGCTCTAGCCACGGAATGTGAGGTGTGAAACCGATGCCTGCGTGTGTGTGTACCTGGGGTCACGCAATGAAAGGAAGCTTGTCAAACATCTTACCTGTTGGATTGGAACTTCTCACTGTCAGCTCATATGTCAAGTCTGTGAAAAGAGAAGAGGATCAAATGTCACCGTCAGACTAGGAAGTGACATCTTCAGCTCTGACAGGAGTGATGTGGTGGCATCAAGGAGCATGCTATTCAGAGAGCATGTCTAGCAGCTCTAGTGGAGACCAGGGTTTTTTCTGGATCAAAATGTGGCTTAGGTGGTGGGAATGGCCAGGGCGTGGCAGTAGGTGTGGCCAATGGCACGGTCGCCGACCCAACATTTTTGAGGCCATCCTGTTGGCCACAGAGACAACATTTAGCTTTTAAAGCAAATTTCCTTCAAATCTACACATTTTGCCATGGGGCGGAGAGAAAATGTTGCAGTTTTAAAGCTAATTTCTTGAAATTCTACACATGTTGCCATGACTTATGGCTGAGTGACTCAAATATCAAACATATAAAAAAATCAATGCCTAATTTTTTAGTTTTAGATTCTCCCTGACTGTCTAGCTTTTATTTAGGTGATTGTTAGTTGTCATATATGACCTTATTTAAAATAATATAGGTCCATTTTCTTTTCTACATTGTTTATAGTCATTCAAGTTTACACTGAAAAAGTTTTTCCATCCCGAAAATAATTTTCAAATTGAACCCTTTTCTCTTTAATGGACCCGGCCCTTGCTAGCCACTCTGGTGTGGTACGCTCTGGTTTGTGGCTCAGGGTATCATGCTTCACTTATGGTTAATCTTGTTTACCTTTGCAGAGTTTCTGTTCTGTGATCTAATGTGACTGTGCATGTTGTTCAGGCAGAACTGTAAATGAGTATTCAGCATGTATGACTCAGAATGTAATAGTCTACCAAGTGAGCTTGCAATCCAGGTTTTGAGAATGTTTTCCTTTGGTTAAGCGAGTATGTTTTCATATTCTGTAACAGTATGAAGTCAGGGTTCATACAGTTTTTGACAGATGGACTTTCCATGACTTCTCCTTGACCAACAATTAGCGGTGTCTCTATCTACGTATAAAAAAGAATGCGTAATGCTGTATCCCATGTACCTTCTGTCATTGAGCAAGGCACTTAACCCCCCACAAAGTAGAATACCTGTAAGGAAACTGTGTAAAACACATGTGATCAGCCCTCAGTCTGGAGAGCTACTGGGTGTGCAGGCTTTTGATCAAGCCCTGCTCAAACACATCAGAGAGTTTATCAAGGTCCGGTTGAGCAGCTCAATTCTAAAATGTGATTTGTTAGAGGGGGACCTTAATAAAAACCTCAACACCCATTAGCTCTCCTGAAGGGTGGTTGACCACCCGTGATGTAAAACATTGCAAAATTACAACCAAATACGTTTTATGCCTTTTGAAATAAGTTGCTCATTCAATATATCAAAGATCAAATGGCTATGGTAGGCTACACATCTTTTTATTCATAAGAAGCAAGCCCACACATTTTCAGGAAATGTACCTTTTCCAGTTTAGCCATATTTATCTTAGCTACCTTAGAAGTGTTTACTTTGCAGGCTGACTAGCATCTATTGAGTTCCAATGTCCCATACATTGGATGCTCAAATCAACTGGAAGTATCTACAAAACAAGTTTTGAAGCCACATAATCCAAAATAAAGGCTACATCTGATCTTTTTTCCAAACTTTAATGTTCACGATTCACAAATAATTATTTGAGTCGCATGATTTGATTCACTGCAATTGAACCGATTCCCAACTAATACAATGGCGAAGTGAATTGTTTGTTTCATCAAAAATAATTGTATGACCTTTTCGCGAGTGCCGGTGGAAAGTTTTTTGGGACATAACAAAAACATTAATATATGCTAATAATAGCTAAACAGTTAACTAGAGGGTACAAGATATGTTTTGAATTGGCTACCTAGTTAATCTGTTCTCTATCATATTTTATAGGCCTACCTGTTGCTGCAATGTCCGACTGTCTCTCTCTCCTTAAGCAACGGCCAACTCGTCTCGCACTATGCAGGTGATGCACGCAAAAGTGTCATTCCGATTCTGGCTGATATGTTGATTTTTATTTGATTGATAAAATATTTTAAAAACTCTGCCTAAATAAATTACATTAATATAAATTAATTTCCATTACTTCTCCAAAAATGTTAGGATTTTATCATTTTCCAAAAATGTTCGAGGCCTGGAAAACACCATTTTAAAATTCCATTACTTTTCCAGGATTTTCATGACCGTACGAACCCTGTGAAGTGTATGTATTTAGGTCTAGTGGACCTAGTTCAAGTTCAGTTTGAGGTTCAGCATGTTCACCTGTGCAGTGCTGTTGTAGTCTGCGGATCTCTGCATGGAGACCTTTCAGAGTCTTGGCATGGTCCTGCTGGAGGAAGAGCAGGTTCTTCTGGGCGCTGTGCAGCTGATTCTCCAGGGTACCGTTGGGGGACGCCATGGCAGACAATGCAGCAGACACACACCAGCCCTAGAGGCCTGCAAACACAGATGACAGACAGACATCAAAACAAGAGCCGTACCATCTGGGGTTCAGCGCTTAGCCTAAATGCTCCCCCTTTCACCCATAGACATCTGGGATGTGCTCCAGCTTTACTTTGCCTTTTGTTTTTTTACTTTTGGGGGGAGGCTAACTCAATATATACTGAACAAAAATATAAACGCAACATGCAACAATTTCAAAAAATTTACTGAGTTACAGTTCATAGAAAGAAATCAGTCAATTGAAATATAGTACATTCATTAGGCCCTAATCTATGGATTTCACATGACTGGGCAATTTAACATTAAATTCTCTGGCAACAGCTATGTTGGACATTCCTGCAGTCAGCAAGCCAATTGCATGCTCCCTCAAAACTTGCGACATCTGTAGCATTGTGTTGTGTGACAAAACTGCACAATTTAGAGTGGTCTTTAATTGTCCCCAGCACAAGGTGCACCTGTGTAATGATGATGCTGTTTAATCAGCTTCTTGATATGCCACACCTGTTAGGTGGATGGATTATCTTGGCAAAGGAGAAATGCCCACTAACAGGGAAATAAGCTTTCTGTGCATATGGAACATTTCTGGGATTTATTTCATGACACACGGGACCAACACTTTACATGTTGCGTTTATATTTTTGTTCAGTATACTTAAAAAATTACTCAAACCAAATTGGAACTATGTAGAAATTATAATGAACCTAGTACATTTCTACAGTTTCTTGACTGTGTCTAGCTCGCTAATAAATCACCTAAATTAAAGCTACCAGTCAGGGAGTATCGAAAATTCAAAAAAACAATGGACAGAGGACTGACTATCTTTTGTACATTTTGACAGTGAGGAAATAACACATTTTCAGTGCAGCCCTCCAGACCTCGTTGAAGACCAAATGCGGCCCTCAGGGCAAAATTTGTTTGACACCCCTGGACTAGCCTAATGCCCAAATATAGTCTGATGACACACAGGATCAAGAAAATAGCACAGTATTGAACTCAATATTGTCTTTGGAATGCTACTCAGTCAATACCCTTTTTTATCCTGATAGAATTCGCAACGCAGCCACATTCTATGTTTCTTGCATGGAGAGAAGGGGCACATAGGCTCATACCTTTGTTGCTTACTCTAATTGGCTTACAAACACTGATGTTGAACTATTGATTTTATCATCAGATAGAGAGCAGTCTACGTCTCTTAAGAAGACACCTCAGGGGGAAACAAGTAATCTGCATTTTGTTGAGTTTCTTTGGCCCTTTACCAGCATGTTGCTTAAAATAAACATCAACGCTTTAATGAGACAAGACCCTGGATTAAAAAGACCTCAAATGAATACCAATCCAAATACCATCATAAGAGAACACACATTTCAGAACACATGGTATGGATCTGATTAAATAAATAGGCTAATAGGCCAATGGGTATTTCATAGGCTGAATAGGTCATTATCAACAGGTCATCCAAAAAACTAGGCTACAAAGAACAAACAAACTCTGGCAGGAACTTACTCCACCATTTCAGTGCACAAAGCGCATGAGGCAGCTGAGTGTAAGTACAGAATGCTTTCAGAGATCCTGAGAACATTAGTAAACGTCACAGTGACACAGGGTGCGGCATGATGCAGCCAGTCTCCAGCAGCAGGCAGGGTCCGCTCCCCTCCCGTCCCTTCCTCCCTGCTTGGACGTCCTTGCATCCAGTGCTCAGCCAGAGACAGCGCCCAGAGGTGAGGTAAGAGACCATCACTCAGTCAGAGATGAGCAGCCGTCCCATTGTCTCCACCCTCTCCCAGACAACACTACTGGGCTGGGAGTAGAGAGCACATTGATTTTCCCCTCTGAGTGCAGAGAGAGCCTTCCACTGCATACATTAGCAAGCAAGCTTCAATAACACATCTCATAGCTTCTCCCTTACATCATCGGCTTACTAACATTAATAATAAATTGTGTCACCTCTGATGGCTCTCAAAGCATGCTCTTCAGCTTTAGGAGTTTTATGTCAAATTCTCTCATTGTGTACAGAAGCAAAGGACACCAGTTGTCCTCCAACACAGCCGAGTAATCACAGAGAGAGCGAGTGACGCGTCATAAAGGGTGCACTCAGAGAGATAATCTATAATAAATGAGTAATCCTGAGTCCTTCCTGTAAATCCTGGATGGCAGACACTCTCACACAGCACAACCCTTTCCTAACATCAGGCTTGGTTCTTGAGAGCTCAGCTGATGTCATAGCACAGTGACAACATTACAGGACCAAATTAAATTATGCTCCTTTTCTAATGATATCACATTGTAATGACATCACCAACAAACAACCCTCCACCCTCTTTCTCCATTTGTAGTGATCTGGTATACTCAGTTATACTCAATTAATGTTGCTTTTGGAGAGAAAATTGAACTCCCCTCCCCTATCTCCTCTCTCCAATGAACTGCAGAAGCAAGACAAACTAGCTACCATACTTCGCTAAACAAAGATTAATGCTCCAGACACACCCCCTGTGAAAAAAAGGTTGGGGAGAAGTCTCACACCCTTAACTGAGAAAATCCCTTTAAATTCACCTAACTAGGCTAAGTGCTGTCTCAAATGAGTATACTGAAAATATCATGAAGTCACAGCTTTCCTATGGAGGGTGGGTGTTGAGCAAATGTCTTTGTCTCATGGCTACTTTGTTCGAGTCCATATAATTAACTTTCTATGTGCTTTGGAAGAATCCATTGAGACATTTAGCCTGCATTTCTCTGCTAGAAAATGTGCAGAATTAAAATATATGCACTTGTCAACATAACAGCCAGGTAGCGAGTTGGGTTTGCAGCAATAAGACTGTCTTTGTAGGACTAATTATTAATTACAATGGAAAAGCAAGTCAAACTGACCTTATGCTAGGACAAAATTATTGTAGAATTTTTATTGGTTTCAGCACCTGCATTGCGGACAGCACCCGATCCGACTTTCACACGCAAATCTATTTGACAACAAAGATAGCTAGGCATCGAGCTACCTTAGTTAATTGTTTTATTTGATGTTAACTGTAATTCAGACGTACGATGATCGGTCCGTAACAATTGGTTAAGGCCGCCCTGTTCGTAAACAACATCGTCGTCTTATTACACTCCCAATCCAAATAGCTGAACTGGTAATATCTAGTAGTACTACTACCTCCTAGCTAGTAAATACGATTGTCATTTTGTGTAGCCAACCAACCATCAAGTAAACTAGCTAACGTTAGTAGCTATATTATTGATATGCAGTCACACATGGCATGTCACATTTAGCTACCTAACCAACCAAACTGTTAGCTAACATTAGCTAGCTACGTAAGTTAGCTAACTTTAACGTTAGTAACGAGTGCAGAAGCTAGCGCTACCTAAGATGCTGCATTCGAAGATAATTTCGAAGCTCTTGTATGTTCATTTTAGCATAACAAAACAATGCATGACAAAACAATAAATCATTGCCAATAGTTATGCTCATTTGGCTAGCTTGCTGCTAGCTAGATAACGTTAACGTAACCAGACTCCGAGAGAGGCAGGTGCAATCGATGAGGGGTCCTGCTGTTACCAATGTGGAAAACGGTTTATAAATGTAATAAAATATCGTGATACCTACCTTCAAAAATATTACAATATCGTCTAATATTCTCTAATATATAAATAGTTGCCGTATTTGCTACAGTGGCTAAATCCGTTCAGCCATGTTAAGGCATTGTCGTTGGTGCTGTGGGTCAAACGCTCCTCTTGTCTGCACTAACAGAGGGCTGTGTCAGTTCTCTCGCTCATCTCCCTGAGCTACAACAAAATAAGGCGATGCATCATGGGATACTACTAAAAGTAGTAACAATGTTCAATAAATGGTCTTTGTTTTATTACTTTTAAGTTGACACTCAGAAATAGATGGGAATGCGGGTATGAAAATGCATAAAGAAATCAAAGAAAATGTGATTTTAGTAAACATAACATTTGTAAACCCAGCGGTTGCTATGCATATTGTCAGTATCGAGCTGTATCTATCTAGGGCGTAAGCTATATTGCCATAGAAACAGAACACTGCTTGGTGCGTTCAGTTCTCTTGAATGTTTGCTACGTTGCGGAACGGTTTGTACTGAATGACATGTTTCACCAAAACGTTCTTGTACGTTCTGGAACAGACTTTGAGGTAAATTTGCTCCGATTATGTGTATAAACATAATTGGTTTGCTCCCATTTGGTGGGTGTGGCGACGTGTGGCTTGAAGCGATGAGTGACTTATTTAAAGGGCAGTGGCCATGCTGACAGCGTTCCCCAACCCCTCCCCGTTTTTCAACTGGTCGTTCAGTACAGCACCATTTCAGTTAAATGTTCCATAACGTAAAAACTTTTATCCAAATCATTCTTTTATGTTCTTGGAGAGACTTTGAGGTACATTTGCTCCCCTTTGGTGGGTGTGGTGAGCTGTTGCTTGAAGCAATGAGTGACAGTAAAGGGCAGTAGCCATGCCATAGATTGTAAAAAATAAGGCCATGCTGACAGTGTTCCCCAACCCACAACCCTACCCGTTTTTCAACTGGTCGTTCAGTACAGCCCCGTTTCTGTTCAATTGAACGTTTTACTTAATTTCGAACTCAAGTTCTTACTATGCTATAAACTGTCTCCAGACAGCACCACTGAATACTTTTCAACTTTGAAACCACCCAAGTTGATAACCATTGCTATGAACCACCCTCCTAGGAACCTCCCTCCATGACCCATATTGCCCTGCCCCTGATGGTATAATATGCACAGCCCTGCTGGAGAGTGTCATTGGTTCTTTTGAGTTTTGATGTTGTGTCTTTGCCTGACAAAGTGATACAAGCTTTTGTGACGAATACATTACGTTGTTACAGGTGTCAAGTTTATGAGCATGTGGCAGCAGTGTGTAGGAGGGAGGTTCCTAGGTGTGAGAAGTGTGCAGCAGGGCATGAGACAAAGGAATGTATAGCATTGGGGAAAGAAGCGGTATGTGTTAATTGTAGGGGTGCCCATGGGGCTGGGGATCAGAAATGCCCAGTGCGAGAAAGGCAGATTGAGGTCAGGGTTAGAGTAGAGCAGAGGGTGTCGTATGCTGAGGCAGTGAAGAAAGTTGAGGAAGATGGTTCAAGGGGGAGGGATCCTGTGTCACGTTCGTCATATTGAATAGACCAAGGCGCAGCGTGATGAACGAACATGGTTAACTTTATTATCTTTAGTGATAATAGAAACAACAATAAACAAAACAAGAAACGACTCGTGAAGTCCACGGTAACAATGACCAACACGGAACAAGAACCCACAAACACAAAGGGAAAACAGACAGTTTAAATATGGCTCCCAATCAGAGACAACCAACGACAGCTGACACTCGTTGCCTCTGATTGGGAGTCACTCTAGCCAACATAGAAATAAACACAACAGAATGAACACACCCTGGCTCAACATATAGAGTCCCAGAGCCAGGGTGTGACAGTACCCCCCCCTAAAGGCGCGGACTGCGACCGCGCCTCAACTTGAACAAAACAGGGGAGGGCTGGGTGGGCATACCTCCTCGGCGGCGGTTCTGGCTCCGGCCTTGCCCACCACCCTCCAATAAACCCCCCATAGCGCCCCTGGTCCAGTCTGGCCCCGCTGGCTGGAGCTGAACTGGACGTAGCAGGAGCGGTTAGCTTCAGCTCCGTAGTGGAGCAGTTGACCGGTACCTTACCAGGCTCCGGTGACCCAGGCACGGGTTGTGCTGGACTGACGACGCGCACCCCTGGCTTGGTGCGTGGAGGAGGAACGGGCCTTACCAGGCTGACGACTCGCACCCCTGGCTTGGTGCGTGGAGGAGGAACGGGCCTTACCAGGCTGACGACGCACACCGTAGGCTTGGTGCGTGGAGCAGGGACAGGCCGGGCTGGGCTGGCGACGCACCCCGTAGGCTTGGTGCGTGGAGCAGGGACAGGCCGGGCTGGCGACGCACACCGTAGGCTTGGTGCGTGGAGCAGGGACAGGCCGGACCGGGCTGGCGACGCACACCGTAGGCTTGGTGCGTGGAGCAGGGACAGGCCGGACCGGGCTGGCGACGCACACCGTAGGCTTGGTGCGTGGAGCAGGGACAGGCCGGACTGGGCTGGCGACGCACACCGTAGGCTTGGTGCGTAGAGCAGGGACAGGCCGGATTGGGCTGGCGACGCACACCGTAGGCTTGGTGCGTGGAGCAGGGACAGGCCGGACCGGGCTGGCGACGCACACCGTAGGCTTGGTGCGTGGAGCAGGGACAGGCCGGACTGGGCTGGCGACGCACACCGTACACTTGGTGCGAGGGGCCGGAACAGGCCGGACCGTACTGTGGACACACACCACTGGCTCTACCTCGGGATCTGGAACGGGCCGGACCGGACTGGTAACACACCCCAGTACCTCTCGCCGTGCCTCTACACTTTCCTTCCCTACTTTGACCAGTGGCCCCCGTAACCTGGTGGCCTTCTGAATCCGCCCCTTTTCTGCCTCCGTCAGCCCCGTCGTCCATGCCGTGTGCCCCCCCCTAAAAAATTTCTGGGGTTGCCTCTCGCCTGTCCGACGTTGACACTGCTGACGCCGCTGCTCCTCTCTCGCCAGGGCCTTAATCATAGCCCATGGCCCTTTTCCCCCGAGCATGTCCTCCCAGGACCACACTTTGCCCACCTGGGCCATCGCCAACCTCTCCATCTCCTTTCCCGGCGCTTCC